GCGTGGTTCACGAATAATGACTGTCTCATACCAGACCGGTGGGTTCGTGGGGCGGTGGAGAGTATACTGTAGATGAAACCACCTCTGGTCTCGCCATTGCGCCATAAAAGGGCAATGGATACTGGATAGTGATACTGATAGATGGATAGAGCCCGCGTGAGTCACTCCGTGACTGAGAGTGCATTTCCTGGATGCGTTTCTCGCGTGGAGAACTATCCACCGCAAGTGATAGTGTGAAAAATGAAAACCAGAGGAAAAATGGACCCGAGGAAGATGACACACGTGACCAGGCCAAAAGATGATGAGAGCATTTGGGTCAATTGACTTTGAACTCGTGGAGAAAGCTCTTTTCATCCCTGGAGCGCAGCAGGATTCACAATCCAGGCCAAGGAAATCCTGCGAGATATCACCTCGCTAGCAGATATCGTTCCATCCTTCGTAACCGTCCGGCGGCTTTGCCCCGGACGCGACCGCAATGGTGGCTACCTACTATTATGATAGCGCGACTCGTGAACAGACCTCACCAGAGAGCTTCAGACGTGCCAGAAGAAATCGTGGCATGGGGCTCTGACAAATCGTGAAACGTCATCAACGGGTGGTCACTGGTATCAACATAAGACTGACCATGGACAGTTGGACACCGTCTTGGTCCAGTTCGTCCCGTCCCGCATTGCGTCGACTCCGGAGTACGCTTGCTCCAGACTCGAGCAGGAGTGGAGCCAGTCGTGAACTTGTTGGTACAGGGGAATTGCTGTTCCGTGGATCGCCCGTCCCAAAGAACGATAGCTAAGCCTGGTGGAGGCGTCTCCGAGGTTACCCCCTTTCTTCGTTGGCTCGGACTGGGGTAGCCTTAGCTGTCTCGCCCCTCCTTTCCTTTATCTTTTGAATACTTGGACATTATGCTGGTAGTGAGGATGATATGTCACCTTTCATTTTGAAAAAAAAAAAAAAAAAAAAAAGAAATGGAGAGGCTACTTCCCTCACTAATTCGATTCAGTACGGAGTAGCCCAACCTCCCTGGTCAACCACAGCATGACAAAAGCACGACAGTTCCGCCCGCATACAGCAACGAACACGTGCCCCGAGCTAAGACCGTAATGGTCGAATCAGTCGAGCCCGTGTTGGACGGATTTCTTTGTTCGCGTGTTAGTTTCCAACTAGTGGGTTGCCGGGGGTGGTTCCTAGAGGGTCCTACTAAGAAGGCCCCAACCGACGGATGGTCTGGACTTGCCGACAATTCCGGCAACAACGCCGAACGGTCCTCACGTTCACTGTAGGGGACTACCTAGGACTAGGGGAGTACAAAGTGCGACAGGATGGTTGCACGGTGCGACCGTCACGATCGGTGCTTCCACGGTAGTATGTACGACCGACTTGCGAGAGGACGGCGAATTGCGCGACCGATAGGTAATGTACTTGCTGGAGGTCGCCGGGAAGCCTTCGAGGGCGAAGTTTCACCCTGCAAGCCGCCCTGTGATCTGTCAACTGGGCTCTGCTTCCCTTTGTCCCGTTCGCTCGCAGTTGGCGTCAGCCTAGGCGCCACGGACCAAATTGCCTAGCCAGCCATCGAGATCTACCTGTCTTTCTATTCTCCCCTGATTAGAGAGCCGGCTCGACGACTTGGCTAGCTTTTGTTGTGGCATTTGATGTCACTGGATCCGACATCCGTAGACAAGGTCCTTTATACCTTGGATTATAGATCGAGCTGCGGGTGGACGAAAAGGGAGGACGGGCGATAGCTCCGCTTGCTGGATTGGGAGTGACGGGACCATGACCTACTCCATTGCTAGTTTAGTATTTCCTACCTGTCATATCGACTGGAGACCAGGGCGATCAGGACCCGAGAACCAAATAATTGGGTTAATTGAGCTGTCTCATACAGTTGGACTATTCTTGGAAAGTCAATTTCATCGAGACGGTGGACTGCCTCGGTAGGGCTCTTCCCCGGACAACGTTACATTTGATGCTTGACACTGTCTTTTACATCCCAGAAGCACGAATGGCGTCAGACAGGGATATATGATATCCTTAAAGAGGACATTCTCCGTGCACCGGGTTGTGAACATGTCGCAAACAGGTTGTCAACAGCCGTTGCACACAATTTGTCATTGCGTCACCACACCCATCGATCATATGCAGCTCTATCCAAAGTTTTCGACCGGATCCAAGCGCGGACAACCCGGATGATGCGCAGACGGATGGGGTCTGGGGTGGTGTGTATCCGGATTGTATACAAAAATAGGGCTCTGCTTGACACCCTTGCGTCGGGGCAATGACAATTATCGATCTGGAGAGGCGATACACTATACTCCGGACTCAACCGAGGTGTCTCTGTTAGCTAGCTTGACTGTCTCCCTGACAGCGACATGGATCTTCTAGATATAGTAGTGTGGCGAAGGTCGCGCTACTCGCCACCCTGGGCTGTGGAGTTAGTTGTATAGGTAGGGTACTACATCCTGGCGTAGCACCGTCGATGGGCCCCGTCGTACGAAATACCGTGTGGTATGGGTTGACTCGGAACGATTGATTCGATCTTTCTCGGATGTTGTCTTGATTTTCTTTGTTGATTTCAGTCTATTTTAATACTATGTGTATTGATCTCTCGGCCGTTCCGCAGAATACTCTTGGAAGATTCGAAAGGCCTGGACGACGGAGATCAAGACAGTCGAACAGGATCCACTCCCTTTTTTTGCTGGACAATTTCTCTAAGAACAATACTGCTTATGGGTAATCATAATCAATCCTGTGGGGGGATCCATTGCGGGTGAGAAGGAGCTATTATCTGACTATAGTCATACTAGGGAGGAGGGATCCTCGAATGGAGATTTGGGTTGTTCATGCATGTGGTTGCACCGTCTGATTGTATAATCATGATTGAGGATCATGATCGAGGATAGATATAGAGTCTAGTTCACAAAGTATAAGTAGTCCATAAGTGTCTATACTCTACCATGGTACTGCGCGCCGTTGGTGATCTGGCCAATGGATGCTGCGGCAATGGAGCCACCGAAATAGATTAAAACGAATTAACTGCGGTATCTTTGACCCTTGCTAGTCATGTATATTAAATGGGCCATACAATGAATCAGGATTCGAGAAAAATAGAAATAAAAAAACACGAAAGAGAAAGGGGAACGGGACAGTTCAAGAAAAAAAGAGGGCAGATGGAGTGACAGTGTGTGATGGCAGATCATGGACGGTTTAGGGATGGTCAAGCTGGTTAGTTGCTTTGGGGCTGTTTTTCTTTTATTTTTGATTTATTTTTCCTTCCTCGGGATAAATGAACGCTTTTTCTTTCTTTTTTTACGTACCTTTTTATTTTATTTTATTTTTTTATTATTATTATTGATTTTTGATATTTTATTCGATGTTATTTTCTTGTCGATCGAGTGATGGGATCATATTAATATATTCGTTATGATTATATCCAAGACATCCATGGATCACCCACTCCACATGAGTCGAGTCGAGTCCATTTGATAGTATCCTTATTAATATTCTTCCTCTCAACTCAAGAAGAAAAAGGGAAGAATCAAGTGAGGAGAAGAAAACAGGAAATCAAGCAACCCCCGTGAGAATAGTATACTATAATACTAGTGATATTCAGATCCACCGGTTCCCCAGTGGATAAAAGTGCCTGGACGGGTTAGTTTGACTAGTGAAGTTTACTCCAGATAGCAGTTTTAGTATTATTATGTGCCCTTGACTTAGTATTGACGAGGTACTTTCTTTAATTATTATCATATTATAATATTCTGATCATATTATTATTTAATAAATCAGTAAAATAAATTAAATATATGCGTTATTCTTCCACTGGAGTCCTGCTTGACTCTATCTTGTATATTGTTCATACTTCTCCCCCCTCTTCCTCTCCTGATCTTCGATCTTCCTCTGCTTCCTTTCCTCTCCCGTTTGAAACTTCCTCTCTTTCTCTCCCCTCCCCCCACTTTGTTGTCATACCTTCTCTTCTTTCTGCTTTACTGTCCTCTCCTGCCGCTGGTGGCAATCGCTCGTTATCCCCATTTCCCTTCCTCGCCTTCCGTTGTCGGTGTGTCTTGGACACCCTGTGGCCCTTGCGTGCCTGTGTTGACCCTTCCAGTATACAATCTCTCCTTTCGCCACTCGAGACCTGCGGCCGTTGTAGATCGCATTTCCTGCTCGACTCCTGCGTGGTCATTTCTTATGCAGCGCGACTGTTAACGTCCGACTCCGGGGTCCGGATCGTGGTCCTTGCTGCCATCCCAGAAACTCTCTGCACACCGGCCCATTCAACACACCCTTCCGAGGCAGGCTTCCTCAGTTCGATCAGTCCATCAGTCCCTTGGATTGGACAAAGGGTCACCGGCTCGAGCTGTTTACTGTTCCCTCCTCACGTCACTCGCTCCGTCATTCAATTCGCCGGACTCGTGCCCACCCGGGATTTTCTTGCTTCTTGACTCTCGTTTCTTGTTTATACTACCTCGTTCCATCGAAGGTCTCCTGGGGAAACGTGTCTGTTTGGTTCAGTATAAACCACAGCTTTCGCTTTTCACTCAACTCGCTCCCTGTCTTGAGCCGTGTCTGGAGGTATGTCGAGTACCCGGTTACCCTTCCCCAGCATTCTTTCGCTTCCTTCCCTCCTCCCCTCCCTAGATTTTTGGCATTCCCTAGCTGTTGTGCAAAACCCTTGCCAAAACACCCCCCCCCTAAACACTCCCAACCCCTCCCAAAAGGCTCCTCTGTAATCGCTGGCTTCAGCTCTGTCGACAACATCTAATGGAATTCCACCTTGATAGATCGTGATCCCGCACTGGTCTTGTCAGACACCTGATACAACACTGATTGGACCATCATCGGATCTATTACCACTGCTGTGAACATGCTCATTGTGTGCTCCCAAGTATAATTTGTGGTCTGTGGTCGTTGTGTCGAGACGATTAGTATAGTCAACATTACACGTTCGAAGTCTCTTTGGCGACCTTATTGATCCATCTGTGTGAAAACGCAACAGGCAAGACATGGAACCAATGAAGCCTCACATTGCGCCCTTGAAGATCGACAAACAACACTCCAACTTTCACACGAACCGTTTCTACTCCCCAGAACACAGCCGCCAGATGACTCCGCCGTTGACGCCATCCACCACCACCACCACTCAGGAACACACCACCATGGAAAGGGTCGAAACCCCGAGAGCCGTCTTCCACAACTACCTACGAGCCTTCTATCCCTTTCACCCGTCCGGCGACGTATCGCCTTCCACCGTCACCCTTCCCTTAGACCAAGGCGACATCATCTTGGTCCACTCCGTCCACACCAATGGCTGGGCCGATGGCACCCTGTTAGACTCCGGGGCCCGCGGCTGGCTACCCACCAACTACTGCGAAGCATACGACCAGCTCCCGATGCGTCCGCTGCTCAAGGCCTTGACCGACTTTTGGGACATCATCCGGGGTGGATGTGGCTCCCCGCTGACCGATTTCCGCAATCAAGACCTGGTCCGGGGCTTGATTGCGGGTGTGCGGTTTCTCCTGGTAAGTTCCCCAGATAGGGTCCACCCGGCGATGGGGCTGACGCAAATACCAGGAAAAATCCGAATGTCTTACCCGGGACTCGATGTTAGTCCGAACCCAGGATGCGTTGCGCAGGAACCGGAAAGCCCTCCTCGCCGATCTGTCGTCTTTGGTCCGTACCACGAAGAAATTCCAGGATATCGCCAGCGGGGACCCGATGGAGGATGAGGTGGAGTATATGGTCGACGAGATGCTGCTCAAGGCGTTTCGCATCGTGACTCGAGGGGTTCGATTCCTGGACGTCTGGAACGAGGAGGTTGGCCTGAGCAGGACGATCGCCGAGCTGGAACAGCAATCGCAAGACATGCCGCCGACGCCCGCCTCTGAGACATTTGGATCCGCCTCGTCGGAAGCGGACACCGAACGGAACGAGTCGAGACTCTTAAACCGCAGCCGATTGGATACGAGTCGCGCCTCGACCCGAAGGGATCCCACGGAGACCCAACCGCTCCGCCCGGTTTCAGTCACCACCAAGCGGATCTCCGTCTCCCATCGCGTGTCTTACACCCCGCCCGCGGCCGCGGCCCGCAATCCGAACCTGGCGTCCGAGAAACTCAACGCCACGTACGACGCGTTCTTGGGCGTCCTAGGCTCGTTCATTGGCCTGCACCTGCAGTCGCGCTCCTCCACCGAGCTGGTCCTCACCACGGAACAGGCCGTGCGCTCCTGCCGCGGCCTGCTGACGGTGGTGGAGGCCGTCTGCGAGCACAATCCCCAGGGCAGTAGCCTGTTGGAAGTGGCCCGTGACTCGATGTACGAACGCCTGTCCGAGCTCGTCTACGCCGCGCGGGACGCCTTCCGACCCGCCCATTCCCCGGACGACGAGCTGGTGTTTATGCCCGATGAGGGCAAGCGCTTAGTGGATGCCGCCACGGACTGTGTGCGTTCGGCCGGGAATTGCACGGCCAAGGCTCGCCTGGTGCTTGAGCAGAGCGGCGATTTCGAACTCGAGGCCCTCCCTCAGGATGTCCCGACCATCAGTGTTCCCGACGTCAGCAGCACGCCACAACCCCCGCGGCCCAGCAGCAAGACCGAGGACCCGGGCCCGCCCCAGGAGGTGTCCCTGCGGCCCCCTCCCCCTCCCTTGCAGATCCCCAGTGGGAGCAGCAGCCACTACTCCCCTTCCACGCCTGGTATGGCCGACATGCACACCCCTTCTTCCTTCAATTCCCACGGAGGGGTCCACACTCCCTCTACTTCCGCCAGCGATCAGTCGTTTCCTCCCTCCTTCACTTCACGTGAATCCCACAGTGCCCACCACCAGCATCGCGACAGCCATGCGAAATCCGAAGTCAGCGATTCCTTCGGCCGGGGCATCACTAGCAACGGCAGCAGCTTCGCCTACAGTAACCATCTTCGCGACTCCGAAATGAGCGGAGTGTCCCAGACCTCCACCCGTGCCACCTCGCCCGACATTGGCAACCACTACCAAGTTCCCTCTCTCAAGGGTAGTATCAGTCACTCCACCCTCGCCGAGGAGAACGAGGAGACGGAAGCCAACATACTGGAGAAGACCTACGCCCATGAGTTGATCTTCAAGGATGGCCAGATCATGGGAGGGAGCCTGCGCGCGTTGGTGGAACGGCTAACCGCCCATGGTTCGACTCCGGACGCCGTGTTCGTCTCGACCTTTTATCTCACCTTCCGGCTTTTTGCAACGCCCATGGAGTTTGCCGAGGCGTTGGTGGATCGCTTCAACTACATCGGAGACACCCCGCACGCCGCGGGTCCCGTCCGCCTTCGCGTGTACAACGTGCTCAAAGGGTGGCTCGAGAGTCACTGGCGCCATGACTGCGACAACACGGCCCTCGACTACGTGATGCACTTTGCCACCACGACCTTGATGGAGAACCTCCCGTCGGCCGGCCGGCGAATGGTCGAGCTGGCTGAGAAGGTCTCCATGGTGCACGGTCCAGTCGTGCCTCGACTTGTGTCCTCGATGGGCAAGACCAACACCGCCACCGCGCAATACATCCACCCTGACACGCCCCTCCCCCAGCCCATCCTCGGCAAGAAGGAGGCCAACCTCCTCAAGCAGTGGAAGAACGGTGAAGCCAACATCACCATCCTGGATTTCGATCCGATGGAGCTGGCCCGCCAGTTCACGATCAAGGAGATGCGCATCTTCTGTGCCATCCTCCCCGAGGAACTCCTCGCGACGGAGTGGATGAAGAAGTCGGGCTCGCTGGCAGTCAACGTGCGGGCGATGTCGACCCTCTCCACCGACCTAGCCCACCTGGTCGCCGACTCGATCCTCCACCTCGAGGAGCCCAAGAAACGCGCCGTCATCATCAAGCACTGGGTCAAGATCGCCAACAAGTGCCTCGAGCTCAACAACTACGACTCCCTGATGGCCATCATCTGCTCCCTGAACTCCTCGATGATCGGGCGTCTGAAGCGCACCTGGGAGGTCGTCTCGCAAAAGACCCAAGCCACCCTAAACTACCTCCGCGGGATCGTCGACGTCTCGCGCAACTACGCCGTCCTTCGCCAGCGCCTCCAAGGCCACGTCCCCCCATGCCTCCCCTTCGTAGGCACCTACCTCACAGACCTCACCTTCGTCGACCACGGCAACCAACCCGTCCGCAACCTCCCCACCGAGGACGGCGAAAAGGCCGTCATCAATTTCGACAAGCACATGAAGACCGCCAAGATCATCAGCGAGCTCCAGCGCTTCCAGATCCCCTACCGCCTCACGGAGGTCCCCGAGCTGCAGGCCTGGATGCAGAACGAGCTCGTCCGCGTCCGCTCCAACGGCGAAAAGAGCCTCCAGACCTTCTACCGTCGCTCGCTTGTCCTGGAGCCGCGCGTGTCCCAGCCCCAGCGCCCTCCTCCGTCTCTGCATTCGGAGTCTAGCTCGTCTTCGATCCTCGAGAACGCGAAGGACAAATTCGACTTTTTGTCCTGGACGCATCCTTCGAAAGCCAAGTCGGTCGCGACAAATGGCTAGCTTCTTCCTCTTTCTTCTTTCCGCTACCTTAACTCCCACTATCACTCTCACACTCCCGCCCCGACAATCCTTAACGAATTACGACAAACTATACTCTACCTAATGCTTCCACGGTGTTATTCTCAGCATTTATCGGCTTTCTCCTTATTATTTTCTGGCCTTGCGACTTTCAATTTCGATTGCGTTTTTTCTTGTGAATATTCTCGGGCGGCTCTTGTGATCCTTATTTCATCCCTCCCCCTCCCTCGCTTCCCCACCATTTCTCTCATCGAACTCAAAAGTGATAGACGGGTGGACTGTGTCATTGTCGAATCATATGCATTTTTTCATTGTCCTGGATTTGAAAGAGGGAAGAAGGGAAATGGGAAATGGAAAGAACGGGAGAAAAGAAAAATCACGGCATGATCTATACGATACTTCCTTCCTCCTTTCTATATACTTACCTACTTACCTGCTTTATATGTATTGCTGGCCTTATTTTTTCCTGTTTGATTGTTTGGTTATACGAAGACTGATGCATCTGCGTCACTCTTGGGATTGTTTATTATTTTTGTATTATTGGTTTCATTGTTCATTTTTTTTTAATCTTTTCTTGTTGGTTTTTTCTTGGTTTGTTATCTGGATTGGTTTGATTGGTTTGAGCTGGACTGGACTGGTTTGATTACATGGATGGACTCAATGGATTCAATGGATGGATGGATGGATGGATGTATTTATTGTCCTCTGTATATATGGCTATGTCTGCTACTGCTCTGTAGTAGACCGGTATTCGAAAATTCGCAGTTATTATCTATATTCCTTGAATGATATAGTAGATTGATATAGTAGGAAGTATAGTAGACAATATACCCAAGCAGATGGGTAGAGTAATTCAATCACTTAAGTCTATGCGACTCCGCCACCGCCGAAACGCATCCACGAAATCTACCCCTACCCCTTCCTCCCCAGATGTATCTCCCCAGTGGTCTTCTTCTGCATCTCCCATCCCAGTCATAACGACAGGGATCATAGACGGCCGACCATGCGCACACTGAAACGGAAACACGCATCGAGCCAGCCGGCGGACCAGACTCTGGCATTCCGACGTGTTCAAAACATCGTTGAACATGATCGCCGTGCGGCAGGCTCGCGAGTTCACCAGTTCGATGATCCCCTGTGGACATCCGTCTAGTCGTCTCACCCATGTGTTCTCTTCGCTAGTGTCCGAAGGTCTGACCTTCGCTGCGACGGTTGTCGGTCTTCCGCCGTTCTCTTCGCGTCGCCAGATCTCGCCGCGGATGAGGTCTGTTACTAGAATTGGTTCCACTCGACATCGTTCTGCGATGAGCCTTGGAAGGGTATTCACGGAGACAAACGCTCGTCTATCTTCAGGTCCCTGCTCCACCGTGTATCCTACTCCCCAAGAATTGAAAAATCCGGCATACCGCTTCAAAAGAGCCAATTCGGTGGACGGGGTCTCAAAAACAATGGGTTCCAATGCGACGGTGTCTATCCGCCGGGAATCCCACTCCAAAAACCGTTCGAAGAGAGCTTCCACCCGGCATCTCTCATCGGCTGCATGCTGGTCAATAAGGACTAGCACTGACCCTGCGACGTCATGGTCATGACCGCCTGGTGCAGTTCCCAATTTGACCAAGATGAATTTTCGATCTACCTGGGCAACTATCTCGGCCCTTTCCAGATCTTGTCTGCTTAGCTTGCCGCGGAACTTCGACAACCCGAACTTTTGTAGCTCACACATTTCACCGCTGAGATCACGACATTTGGCCTCCAAGCCCGAGACATCTGCATGAGCGGCGCCGATATCAATCGCGCTGATCGGGCGTTCGGCACGACCAAAGGCCGGGTTATCCCAGTTCTCCAAAAGATTTTCGACCCACTTGTTTTCTGTTTCATTCAAAATGGCGGATCTTGGTCTGGTTATGCTGTCTGACATTCGCATGGAACGAAACGAGCTCGTCGACTGAGGTCGTCTCAGAACCACGTCCATCGGCGACTGGGGAGCAATCGACTGGCCGGTCCGGGGATTTATTAGATGACTTCTTCCAGTCAATGGATCAGTCCAAGTGACAGCTGTATCCGTGTCTGTCCCCTTGTCGTCAACCCCTGGGTCTGATTCACCCACGGTTTGCGGTGTTTGTGGGAAGTAACTCGCCCTTTCTGGAGACCTGCGCTTCAAACGCTGGTGAATGGCCGGGTCCGTCGGAGATGGAGTGTGGTGCTTCAATCTTGGGGAGCACATTTCGGAAATATCTCTTGCACTTTTGATTCTCGACCAGTCTCCGAAGTGCTGACTGATTATGGGTGCGCGCCTCTTGAAGGATGGGAGTTTTACCTGCCCACCCAGAGCTTCTTCGGTACTGGAGGTTGTGCCTTGTTTGCCACGAGAATGAGGGCTCGGTTTGTCTCCATTCTCGACTGCCATCTGAAGCTGTGTTTCGTTCCCAGATCCTTTCGTAGCACGTGGGCGTAGGTTATGCTGTTTTAGAAATTCATTGACCATCGCGCCGAGAACATCTATGATGCGCTGGATGGACTTTTCTGGTTCAGGGCCTTCCTGACCGTCGCCGTTGATTCTCTGTGGATCGGTCGTGTATATTCGAATGCAAAACACTGGCCACTTACTGACTGACTTGGCTGCGGATTTTGCATATAGGCCAACACGACTTGAAAACTCCCTTGAACCAGAACTTAAATTCGAGCCCGTACCGAAATCGGATAGAGAAAAGATGCGATTGACTTCGCCGTACAGGATATTTGCATTGTTCCGTTGTTGAAGCGGATCAATCCCTATGGAAATGAATTGCACTCTTTTTGACGGGCTGGGAACGAGAGAGATGGCAGCATAAATAGCAAGATCGGGAACGCAGGCGGAGACAGTGTCCCAATGACTAGCATCTGGGGAATCAATCAACCCAGCCTGCGCGAGGATGGAACTAACTCGGAGGCGGTCCAAGCCACCGTCAGCCGGTTCGTTAGTGGCGCGCGGCCGTATAGTAAGCTTTCGCTCTTTCCCAGCATCAGATACTACCAATCTGTTTAGGCGGTCATTGGCCACCATCAACGACACCAGAGCTTGCTTTAACTCATCCCACTGCCGCTCAAGTTCGTCTGGCTTTTGGAGGGTTAGCGCCCTATTCTTAACACGCACGGGCATGTTCCCAAAAAGATCGTTGACAGTGACACTGGTCCCATGCGCACCAAACCTAGGCTCGCGTTGAGCGGGAGCCGGGCACAATCGCGCCACCGGAGTCGCATGATGAAAGACCACCGTATTTGTGGTTGAATGACGAACATTCCGTGATGTTACAGTCAACAACGACAAGGAGGACAACGAAGCGAGAAATAAGCCCCGATGGCCGTAAACCATTTTGGACGCATCGAATCTCGAGGTATCTGCGCTACGCTGAGCAAGGGCTAAGACTTGGGAGAACAGTCAAACATACGGTGCGCTTTCATTAGTCCGCCATGCGCTTCAAATTCCCCTGGTGGAATGCCGTCTCCATCGTCATCTACCACGCAGCCTCCGCGCTGGAAATCGACCGTGACGAAAACCGTACGAGCGTTTGCATCCAAGGCATTCTTGACCAATTCCACGATCACGTCATTCAAGTTGGTGACCGATGTAGAGGACTTGATCTTCGCCACTGCTTCTGGCGGAAGTGGTTTGATACGATCTGTTGAAAGCATGACGGGCTCAACTACATTCGAGCAGTGTCGGGTGCCTTGGATCCCCTGGTGATAATTGAGAGGAGTCCGCGTCAACGCCGGGCATGGTGAGCACAGAGAGCATCTGGTTCCATTCGTAGATGTGACCTGGAAGAATCCAATGGTTGATAATGTCCAAAAAGCGATACACGGAAGGAGAAACAGGTGGAGAAGAAGGAAAATGCAGCAACTGCAATGGAGATGGATGATGTCGTTGTCACGTGTTGATAAGAGCATGGGCGTGCCGATAAGACCAGATACATGCGAGCGACCTATACAGAGCATACTTCTCCTGCACCGTATATTCGAACCGACATATATAGATCTATAGTAACTAGTATAGTAATCTCGTTGTTCCATTGTCAACTCTAAATTGGTACACATTCAGGCCATCGACATGGCCCAGACCCCCGCCCATCCAGCCACTGATGGCATGTCTCAACTAGATTACTGGATCTGCAGGTCCTTGATGCCCGATTATATCTCCACTTTGATTGATGCGACGATGGCCGATACAAATAGACAGCAGAAGCCTTAATAAGTATATGCTGTATTGATGCCCTCGGCGCGCACTGCAACCTAGCTTGTTAAGATGGTTAGTTCATATGCAACGTCATGGATGAACTCGGACTCATAATGGTCCAACGAAGATAGTACTGATAGCAGCCATCGTCAATCATTCCTGAAATACCTGCAGCCAAGGAAGGTCCTCATGTGTTGACCAAAGGTAGACTTGAGAGTCTAGGGGTAAGTTGGAGTGAAGCAAGAGACCGCGATCGATCATTGGGTCGGGCTGCATCACGTGCGGTGTGGAATAACAACCGTGATGGAACCCAATGAACTATTTATATGTCCTCTCTCCACACTCATCCCTCTGAACCTCAACTGTGATAAACATTTCTTTGTTCCTTTTTTCATGATTTGTTCTCCTAAATAGACTACTCTCTGTCGCCTTGCCTATTCTCTCAAACGGAAGCATCGCCCTTGACCCTCCCTCCGCTGAATCTTACCTGGGTTGTCTTATCTGATTGATTACTCCACCGCGCCCTCCCCTTTTGTGCATCAACATCGCATCGTCTCATCAACGAGAGGGTCCTCGGAAATCCACACCACCCACATTTGATCACTTCTTTCATATCCGACCGGCCAGATGGCCACCGCGGAATTATCTCCCCGGGCGCATGGTACGTGGTCACGTTCATCCCGACCCCCGCCACCCCCCCGACCTACCTGACTAACTCCTCTATCCTCGGTAGATCGCAATGGGCGGCGTCACCCCTTCTCGAGCTGGATGAAGCGCCTCGCAAGTCTCAAAAGCTCTTCCGATTCGAGTACTATCCGCTGGTCCCACAAACGCCATGCCGTTCCCAAGAATAAGACCTGCCTCAAGAACAACCCATACCCGCTGTCCGGCACGACCAACGTGGTGAACGACCAGAGCAGTGAGGTCCACTCCCCGGATAGCGGAAACGCGCAGCGATCCTGTTCACAGAGCGCGCCCTCGCTTTCGTACTCCGTATATGAGAATCAGGCGCCTGCGACCAGCACCAAATCCACCGCTCCCACAATTTCAACCAACGGGGATACGGCAATCTCCGAGGCCGCATATTCCAAGGCAGGAACGATGGCGACGGCCGGTGGAGGGATCAGCTCCAACGGAGGAGGCGAAGGAAGCACTTTTTCCTCGCCCGCGCCGTCGGTACGGTCGCTGACGACGACCTTGACAACCGTGCAGTCCGCAGCGCCCTCCGGCCACCTGTACAACGTGCAGAATGCGCATGCTGGCACTCACCATGCCAATTTCTCGCAGGGCACCCAGCAAGTGCAGTTTTCACAACCGTTCCCTCCGTCGCCTGCGACCGCGGTGCCGCCCCACCTTGCCCCTCACAATCAGTCGATGACTTACAGCGCGGCCACCGCCAACAACATGCTCACCGACAATGCCTCGATCCTGACTTTGGCTTCCTCCTCGAAACGGCGTCGGAGGAATTCGCTGGATACCAATGCGTCCGTGCGGGCGTTGGCGCCATCGTCGGTTTTCGGTGGGAGCCGCGAGAGTCTGCCATTGAGCGTGCTCAGCGGGAATGTCGGGGAGCCCTCCAACCCTCCCACCTTCAACCCCGCTGGTGTGCCTAACCGACCGAGTATGGTTGGGCTGGCTAGCACCGAGCGGATCAGCGTGTATTCGTCGTCTGGCACGTCGCCCTTGGTCGGTGAGCGCGGCAGCTTCCACGCAAACAAGCAGGGCGCGGGCGCGGGCGATGGAGCCAGCGTGGTGAGTGGGACTCAGTCCCACAGCCGCCACGATAGCAACTCGGCCAGTATCTCCGGGGTCGTTGGCGCGATCCCCGCCGGTCAAGCCATGCCCGCCGGGAGAATCAGCCGTCGTAGCTCTGGCTGGGGTGAAATCAACGGGGACGAGAGCGATGAGGCGAACACGACGGAAACGGACAGTACGAGGAGAGATTGACGCCGCTTACTATCACCTGTCTGCAAGAAGACAACACGATGTTATGCCGATATTCCATGATCGATGCTTTTTCTTTATTTATCTTTTGAACCCTAGCCATTCTGATGGTAAGGGTATGTTTTTGACGGCGTTGACGATGGCGTTTGCATGGATTTTCCTTTTTTCCAACTGACGATAACAGGATGGACATGATATCCCCTTGGTCTGGATGAGTCTGATTGTTTGTGATTCGTACTTATGTTTTAGTGTGACTAGTCATTGTGATCGTTGACCTATTGATATTGGCTCTTTTTGCGAGACCTGGATCCCTGATAACTGTTTATAATGTATTTTATTCCGTCTGTATTGTCCTCCATATTAAGATGGTAATCCAGAAGCCTTCTATCATACCACATTGGCCTACGGCGCCTAAGTATCCTTCACCATCACCCATGTCATGTGATCCTAATAATAATAGCCCAGCTGGGCTCCTCAGGCTCCCGTCTCAAACGGGTTAGCATCGGCATCAAATTAGTCATGATATATAGAGATCGAAAGATAATCCATTGTCAAGGTGATAATGCCAGGTTGCAATGCTTCAATGCGATTGTATCAAGTGTCAGATTAACTCAAATAAAGCATGTTTTAAGTTCTCACCTCAGCCGTAGGTAAGCAAGCAATGCAACCACATGGCGAGTTTCGGATATCTCCACCTCGCCAACTTACATAGAGCAACTACCGATCTGATAATAACGGACCACCTATAGCTTATCAACTTTTAAGGATTTTATCAGGATCACAAGAGACACTGAAGCGTCTTCATAACTAAGGCCTAGCAAGCAGGATGGACAAATCAATACGACGTGATCGACAAGGATGACCCAAGCGGGGGCGGGTCTGATCGCGCGAAGAAACCAACGTACCGTCACATTTGAATACGCGCAGCACTTCCCACGCTGCGAGTCACCTCTCCTCATCTGGATATTCTTCAAAAGAAGACAAGCTGGACTTCGATATAGAACGTGGCGAACCAATAATGTGATGCGATATGGCTGTCGTGGGGACAGGATTAGCCGGCCTAGGCAGCGTACTTGCTACATACATCACGATCCGCGCTAACAGTATCGCGTGCGACTGATTGACAAGGTATTTTGATACTAGCTCTTGCCGCCTTGTTTTTTACAGCCATGGGCGAAGGGATGCCGTATGGGTCTTTGTTTACAGGTACTACAAATAGGACTGACGATTACAAGGCTTCTGGACCGTCTCTGAGTGCGGAGTCGGTGTCGATGTCTGTGGCCTCTATAGCCAAACAACATTGTGTCGCAACTTGGAAGGTTACTTGTTCTGGTTGTACATAGTTCATTGACATCTCGTCATGCCATGCGGCCGTGTGGAATGTCGGATAGCCCCACTTGAGAAATGTTGAGTCTGCCAAGCTTCCATCACCATTCATTCATACTTGGGGCGAACGGCAACACATCAACCAGTATCCAGCCTTGAACTGGGGAGCTATCAAAGTTTGGGGGACGGACCCAAACAGCGTGCGAACTATAATCCACTAACAAAGCAGTTCTCAAGAGCAATAACTGGTTCAGGGTGGATATGTGTTGATCACGTGTGAGCTAATGGTACGGCCTCGGTAGATGGTCGTAATTTAAGTACGAATTTTTCTTCCCCCAATGTTGAGAAGGGAAAAAACAGCCGCTAATGAAAGAAAACATTCCATAACATGATATGAATTGATTACAAATAATTCTTCTTCATCCTATTCTTTCTACATATCCAACAACCAGGTTCGACTCAGCAAGCAAGCCTTAACCAAAGAATATACTATCAGTCATAGCCATGGGTGGCCAATCGAAGAAATCCGTGGCTGTTATTGGCTCTGGAATGGCTGGCCTGGTATCTGCATACTTGTTACAGAGAGACCGCGAACAACGATATACGGTTGAGGTTTTCGAGATGGTAAATTAGCATATATCTCTTCGAAGATATTAGTTTCACTAATTAACGGACATGCGACAGCAAGACCAATTATCGTTAGACTCTGCGTCTTACACTGTACCACCAGGGGATGATGACGATGATGATAACTCGCCACCGTGCCGCATTGATATCCCAATGCGCGCCCTCGACAACGGATTCCACAATAATCTAAAGCGCATGTATGACTATCTAGATATCAAGTACAGCTCTCCCAAGTTCATATACCCACTATCGTCCATTTCCACGGACCGGGGAGCCAAAAAGTCGCCCTACTATATACACTCATCAAGCAACCACATGGTACCCCCGTTACGGCCGGAAGGCCGTGGTTACGTGACTTGGATACTGCAAATGGTATTCTTAGCCGTGTGTTACTTCTGGTTCACGACATGTTGCTTTTTCGTCCGGCCCAAACCCGCTACCAAGTCCCGTGAGGACGAGTCGTTCAGACAGTACCTGGAGCGAATCAGGTTGCCGCGGAGTTTCATCAGGAATTATCTATTACCGCTCATGTCGAGTATCACGACCTGTCCGCATGATGCGCTGCTTGATTTCCCCGCCATTGACTGCACGGAATACGCAAGGAGGACGTATCGTCAGCCCCACTTCACTGTCGACGGGGGTGTCCAAAACGTTCAAACAACGATCACAAAAGGACAGACCATCCGACTCGGCGCCACTGTCACTGCGGTTGAAACCATCGGCGCGAAAGTCCGCGTCACTTGGACCGATTCAAGCACCAAAGATAGCCGTTCGAGCGACTTTGACCATGTCATCATGGCAGTCACGCCTAACGTGATCAGCGCCATATACAAGCCCCTGCAGGACACTCTGGACTCGATCCCCGTTACTTCTGGAGAATCCGTCGTCCACCGCGACCTATCAACCATCCCGAAATGCGATCGCGTGCTCAAGAAGATAGCCAAGCAATCGCATCCCGAGTCCTCAACCAAGCAACCCCAGCTCCTGCATATCTGCTCGAACGATTCGTCGACGGAATCGACACACACATATTCTTCTTCTATTCTAGTAACGAATTTTCCGATTACCCCTATAGACCCGTCGAAGGTTATCCACCGCGCGCGGTTAGCTAGAGTCTTGCGGACTCCCGGAAGCCGGAAGATCGTCAATCGGATATTTGACATCGGTGCCTCCAAGAAGGACGACGAGCGGGTTTGGCGCAATGGAGATGGGAATGTTTGGCTTGCGGGCGCTTGGTGCTGGGATGGGATGGTGCTGCTGGAGGGTTGCGTCGTGTCTGCTATGAGGGTCGCTACGAGCTTAGGTGTGGAAGTGCCCTGGACGGCGGAGGAATAGTTGTTGTTATGAATGCATGGTCATAGATTTGTATAATATGAAGTAAGCCGGCTTTTTCGCAAAGCTGTTAATCGTTTGTGCATATTCATACATACATACATACATACCTACTTTGTTGATACACGATATTCGAAGATTAAACACACTTCTGTCAGCCATACCCAGCCCAATGTCTACATGGTATCATCCCATCAAGAATCCCCCCGTCGCGCAACGACCACAAACCCCCTTACAACTCCGCTCTTCGCCCACCAATTAAACACCTTCGCCGCGCCGCGAAACTTCCCCATCCCCATACTCACCCCATATCTCTTGAAAACCTCATCCTTCTTCCATATATCGCGCGCAATACCAGCAAAAACATGCTCCGAAATATCTTTCATATCGACCATGTCACGTTCATACCCAGTCTCAACCAGCATATCCTCATATTCCTTCCTGGTCATGAAATTTGAGTAAGGAATCCCCGTCACGAGACACATTGACCGCAGGATCAGTCTGTCTCGGAGAGATGCGCGGTCGGATATGAGGAGGTCAAACGCCATGAACGATGCTCGCATGTCTTGACGGGCGAACTTTAGTAGTGGTTTGCGGGACGGTTTGAAGTGGTAGAGCGTGTCGAGTGCTAGGAGCCATGTTTGATGCTCCTCGTCTTTGGTTGTGCCGGTTTGAGAAAGCTCTGTCTTGTCTTCTTCTGCGGCGCTGCCGCTGTTGTCCAAGACGGCTTGCGTTAGGTCAGATCCCCAGGCTAGAGGATCCGCCGCATCAGCAGCGAAGATCTTCACATTTGGCACCGGACTGGGATGGTCATCGGTCAATGTCGTCTTGAGAAGTCTTTCTCGAGCAAAGTCTGCTTGGGTCTCCGCGATCGTGATCCCGACATATGAGTCGAAAAGTGGTTTGTCGTCTGGTCTGTTAGAGCTTGTTCTTCTCGCCCGGTTGGAGTCCATATTTCTTACCAGAAGGGCCTCCAGTTTCTTTAGCGGGTGTGCTTGCAGGCTTGGAAAGTTTCCGTGTCAGGTAGAGCGTTTGATCACCGCATCCGATTCCAACGTCGACTAGTTTTACATGTCGTTGTCGTTGTTTTTTGCGCTGATTGGGTGTTGCACTACCTGCAGGAGTAACAGCCGCACACTTCGCGGCAGCGGTCCCATCTTTATCGAGAAGATTTGCTGCAATTAAGACCTGGTCCAGTAATGCTTCGCAGGCTTCGCGGAAAGAATCAGTGTGCTATAACATGTAGCAATTCAGCTATTGTCCAGGGGCCCGCACAGGTAACAGAACCTGTATCATAGCAAGCAAATCAGTCGCATAGTTTCCTGGACATACCTCCCAATACCCCATATTCATCCACATACTCGGAGGAGGAACCTCCAAGTTCAGAATCGCATGATCCAGTCCATACAGTTTTTTCTCGTCCACTCGAGCAAAGAACCGAACGATACGCCCGAGCAACTGGGTAATGAGCTTCCAGAAGCCCATGACTACGATTCGAAAAGAGAACAGTAATTGGCAGTTGGGGTTCCTCTAATGATGCGGTTGAAGGCCAGGAGATTTATTCTGGAGTTCATGGTTGGGATTGGCAGATGTCCCCACACCAGTCCCACTAGGGCACTTCTCTTGCCGTCGGGCCCACCGTCTGCATATTAGTTTATGGCATTTGACCGGGGTTGATCGTTGAATGCGTTCTGTCAGTTAGGTTTCAGTCTAATGTATGTATAGATGCAGCTAGTAGATCGATGGTTACTTTGAACTGGCCAAAAACTGTCGAGTGACAAAAACTAGTAGACGCCATCGCTTGGAATACGCCTAACTGGGCAGTTCAAGCAATTGTACTCTCGAAACAGAGGCTACTCCTATAGCGGCAGATCGGATACAGACGATAACCTATGCTCAAAATAACCCTGCTATCTACCTATCTACAGCCCGCGCATTGGTAGCGGATGTTACTGCCGTGATATCGGCTGTCATACGCGTCATGATATCACTCCAGTTGGAGGGCGGAAATTGGCCTGGCGCGGATTTCCTGGTCAGCGCCAGGACATCGCACCGAAATCTACTCACTACTTGAGATCAGTGACTGCATGTCTTGCAAGTGTCAATTGTTCCTATCAATTTTGCACCCATTCTCTCGGATTCGATGTCATCGTTTTCATCAAAAGCTGATAGTTCTCATCGGCTAGCCCACTACTTATGAGCCCGAAGCCTCTATGGCTACCATGTATCGTTTATGGAGCTATTCGCGCTCATCCTACATCACCGTCTTGCCAGGACGGATCTTTCTCGCGTCCACATCCATCCGGTTCATCAAAGCCATGTCTAAATTTCTGCGGAGGATATCGGGGAGATGGAAAGAGTATGGAATCAAATTAGGCAAGGTTGGCGTTGCTGGGAAGGTATTCCTGTGGTAGGGGCGGTGGCTTATAAAGGGGATGGTCGTCGTAATAAGGCCAGGAGATCCGCTGTAAGGTTTGAGGAGGCTAGGAACATCTTGTCGACAGGAGTTCTCGATGTGGTTTGCTCATGAAGAATTCCCCGGCTGGACACTATCCATCATTACTACCCGGTGGGTTGCCACGGATGTCCACGCAGACTTTGTGCACCGGGTGCGACGTGTCTGAAAGATGCAAGGGCTCTGATTACATGGACGGGCAGCCATGCCCGGTTATTGTCTGGAATGCAAGATTACATGTATGATGTATGCATCTCGTGCCTTGCATGCTTTCACCCCTTGATAACAGCGAAGAGTCATGACCGTCACATTGGAACGCCCCAATTCGCGGTTTACGTTGTGATTTCAGCTTTCGAATAAACAACACACTTCTACCCTGGCAATTACACCTCATAAGATGGATCGTGAGGAACAAGAGTCCTACCTACTTGGTGATGGTGCCTCGAGTCAATCAGCAACCAGCGATGATGAACACGAAAAGCCCCGTTCTAGAAAATCATATTCCTTGTCTATTTATGTGACGTTTCTTGGTACTCGCCCTGAAAAGATGCTTATTTTGTTACCCGATCTTTAGAAACTAGATGAGCTGACAGAATGACCATTTAGGCGTCTTCCTGGCGAGTATCGATGAAACGATTGCCATATCCACGTATAGTGCGATTGCCTCCCAATTCCACTTGATGACGGAAAGCTCGTGGTTGTTAGTCGCATACAGTTTTGGATATTGCATTTCGTTACCCGTGGTATGTCCGACGGCGTTATATCCCTCATAGGCGTGCTATATTTGTTCATTCTTGTTGACATTAAGTGGATGCTAGTACGGCCGTTTGAGTGACGCATATGGGTGCAAGAGAGTAATCATCAGCGCGTACGGGCTATTTGCGTTGGGATGCTTAGCATGGTATGTCCTGGAGCCATTTGCTTCCCAGTCCTGGTTCAAGAATTGACTAATGCATCAAACAGCGGTCTAAGTACATCCCTGTTCCAGTTGATTATGGCAAGAGTCCTGTCTGGGATCAGTGGAGCGGGGATGATCATCCTAACCGCCATCATTCTTAGCGGTACATTCCAGGAGCTATTCATGGGTTCAATCGTTCTTTGGGCCCCTGCCAAACGTCCCGGCGGCTGACAAGGTCAACCAGATATCGTGCCACCCGAGGAATTGGCATTGTTTAGAGCCTACGAAAATACAGTGTTTACCATGGGACGCAGTCTGGGTGCTCCCCTGGGCGGCCTCCTGGTAGACATCATTAGCTGGAGGTGGCTCTTTCTCGGCCAGGTGCCAGTGGTTCTGGTGTGTGTCCTGTTCGCGGCCAACCGATTGCCATCGTTCAAACCCAAGCCCGAACACCAAGAAAACCACCAACCACGTTCTGGCCTCTGGAGCTTCGATTTTGCGGGTCTCTTTAGTTTCGCGGCTGCAATAATGTCACTATTATTTCTTCTCCAGGATGCCGGTGCACCCGCGAAGAACTCCTCCGGATGGACACACGTTCCGGCACTTGCATTTATTACATTCGGCGTGGGCTTCCTTCTTATCGAAGTCTTTTGGGCGTCAAACCCAATTATTCCTGTGGATTTGATGTTGAAGTCCCTAGGGGCATATTGCCTGGTACAGATTACGCTTCTCATTGGGCGCTATTCGGTGAGTGCTGGAGGCCATAGGAGGTGAAAATAAGTTGAACGCTTACTGTGTGTAGCTCAACAGCAGCATTGTCCCCTACTTTGTCCGAGTCGAAGATAGCTCAGACTTCTACGGTTCTATGATCTATCTTATATCGTCTCTAGGCATCCCAGTCGGGAGTATCATCGGCGGTAATGTCATCAAGCGGTAAATCGAACTCCGATTGAGCGAATGAATCTCGCGCTAGGTTTGTTGGCTTCCTAGCTGACTATCTCCAGCACCCATCGCTACAAGACCATGACAGTCGCTACGGTGATCGGCTCCGTGATTTTCTATCTCGGTGTCTTCATCCTGTGGCGCGATGGTTGCCCCCTCTGGGAAACTTCTATCATGTTCCCCATTGGAATTTCAATGGGTCTTGTTTTCTCGTCTCAGTTCATCAGCATGACATGCAGCTCGCCAAAGTCGCGCCTGGCGGTCTGCATCGGCACGTATTTTGTCTCGCAGCAGCTGGGGATTCTCTTGGGTCCGGCTATTGGTCTGGCACTCGTGCAGGCTTTGTTTGGGGCAAGTCTAGGAAGGGACTTGCCGGGCAGTGGAGATCAGGCAGTGGTATGCTTTCCCCCCTCCCCTCTCCATGCGCATAACAAGACCCAGTCAAACTTTCTCTTTTGAAGTGTTGTATGACCTAGCAAGCTAACAAGGTGGTGACCAACAGCTCATTTCGAATATCCTGGACGACGTAAAGTACGCTCGGTCCCTTCCCCGGGCACTTCAAGAGATAGTTCGCTCCAGCTATCTATTTGGGTTCCAGTTCCTTCCTTGTGAGTTTCTCTTACTGTGGTAGGCCATGAAGCGCTTGCGGACCCGTCTAACTGTACAATAGTGCTCTCTGCAACATGCAGCATTGTTGTCCTGGTTCTTGTTCTGTTCTTGAGGGAAGAAAAGATTACTTGAGTTAGATGTTTGCTTTGATACAACGGGATGTTTTGGCCATGTATGAGCTTTTTTCTGGATTACGAGATGTTGGGGGGGGGGGGGGGGCAGAATTTATGAAGGTGTATACTGTAAGTTGACAAGAATTACAACTGTAACACCATTTTTAAACGATATATCTTCACTCTCTTGGCCTTCGTGTAATCCGCCTTGTCGATGAAAGCTCGAGGGCCACATGGCCATGGCCCGTGAGATCTATAGAGAAGGACCATTACTGTTTCTTTTACGCGAATGGATTCACCCATTCCATACAGGTTTCAAGCAAAAAGAAGCAATGTAGTATAGTATATATAATGAATGGAGACCAACTGGTATATGTCAAATAACAATGTGAGAAAAAAAAAAGCAATTCCGATGCGGGGAATCGAACCCCGAGCTGCCGTGTGAGAGACGGCGATGTTAACCATTACACCACATCGGATATTGATGGAAGATGCTCTTGGAATCTGGCACTATCAGCCAAACCAATTAGACGTACACCGGCAAATTACTTAAGTATGACTCACATGCCTAGGGTTTAGGGTATCTTGTTCCGCCGGCATCGGATTCCAATTCCCCAACTTCCGTCTACCCCGTTCATCTAGAATCAAGCATCCATCATACCGATCGATAAGGAAGATGGCGGGGAATTCGAACAGCCTGTTGCCCGATCCGACCAGTGATCTGCACTGGAATGATTTCAATGGAGGTAAATGCTCTGATGTCGCGCGATCACCACTCACACTGACGTTGTTGCCCCTCCCCCGCTAGCCATCCATCAAATCTTCGCGCGCAATGCCAATGAGCACCCGGACAGGCTCTGCGTGCTCGAAACCAAGGGCATGCGGTCGCCCGAGCGCCAATTCAACTACAAGCAGATCAATGAGAGCTCCAACCAACTAGCCCATTATCTTCTGAGCAATGGGTGCGAGCGTGGGGATGTCGTTATGATCTACGCCTACCGAGGGTCCGTACACTCCGCAAACCGACCTAGCACCCGCTCGGAAGACGTACGCTGACAGGTGGTTTTTGATAGCGTTGATCTAGTGGTTGCCTACATGGGAGCTCTCAAGGCCGGCGCAACTGTTAGTGTGCTGGATCCGCAATATCCCCACGATCGTCAGAAGACCTTGTTGGAGGTCGCCAACCCCCGATTCATCGTCCACATCCAGCGAGCCGCCGAGGAATCCGGTCCGATCGCCGAAACGGTCTCCCAATTCATCGCTTCGTCCTTGAGCATCAAGGCTCACGTCCCTGCGCTTAGGCTCCTCGACGATGGGCAGCTCACCGGTGGTCTTGACGCTGGTCAGGATCAGGACTGTCTTCAGCCCTACGAGAACCTCAAGCAGCAGCTGCCTGACGTCGCTATTGGTCCTGACTCGGTCCCTACTCTCAGTTTCACCAGTGGATCCGAAGGCAAGCCCAAGGGTGTCCAGGGTCGGCATTTCTCCCTGACCTACTATACGCCTTGGATGCAGGAGAGATTCGGTCTCTCGAAGGACGACAAGTTCACAATGCTGTCCGGCATCGCCCACGACCCAATTCAACGCGATATCTTTACGCCCCTCTACCTCGGCGCCCAGATTGTTGTGCCGCACCGCGACAGCATCGGTCATGAGCTTTTGGCTGAATGGATGAAGGAGTACCGCGTGACCGTCACCCATCTCACACCTGCGATGGGCCAGATTCTTGTCGGCGGCGCCACCGCTCAATTCCCATCGCTCCACCACGTGTTCTTTGTTGGAGATCTCCTGACCAAGAAGGACTGCCGGAGATTGCAAGAATTAGCCCCTCGCGCTTCGATCGTCAACATGTACGGAACTACGGAGACCTCCCGAGCTGTGTCGTATTTTGCGATCCCCAGCAAATCTGATCAGCCCGAATACCTCGACGGCATGCCGGATATCATCCCTGTTGGCCAGGGCATGCTCGACGTTCAACTTCTCGTCGTTGATCGTAACGACAAATCTCGTATCTGCGATATCGGGGAACAGGGCGAGCTTTTCCTTCGAGCGGGAGGCCTTGCGGAGGGATATCTCGGCGATGATACCGTCATTCAGAAACTCAACGAATCCAAGTTCTTGACGAACTGGTTCGTTGACCCTGCAGTGTGGACTCGCCAATACGAGCGCATTGCCGCAGAGTCTCCGAAGCCTTGGATGGAGCTATACAAGGGACCGCGGGATCGGATTTACCGGACCGGTGATCTCGGTCGGTTCCGTGCCGATGGTGCTGTGGAATGCACTGGCCGGGTTGACAACCAGGTTAAGATTCGCGGGTTCAGAATTGAACTGGGCGAGATTGACACTCATCTGTCCCATCATCCTTTCATTCGTGAGAATGTCACTCTGGTCCGGAGAGATAAAGACGAAGAGCCGACTCTGGTGAGCTACATCGTTCCAGAGGCGAAGCGGTGGTTCCAGCAGCTTGCGGAAGACGGAAACCTGCCTTCTGAGCCGGAGTCTTCCTCGGAGGATGAATCGCTGGTTGCCATGCTTAAGAAGTTCCGCTCGTTGTCGGAGGACTGCAAGAAGTTCCTGAAGACCAAGGTGCCTAACTACGCTGTACCGACGATGTTCATCCCTCTTGCTCGCATGCCTCTGAACCCCAACGGCAAGATCGACAAGCCTGCCCTTCCTTTCCCGAGCACCAGTGATCTCGCCCTCCTGAACAGAAGGGCGTCAAGGAGCTCTTCGATGCAAGCAACGCTCACTGAAACCCAACAGAAGGTTGCCGCGATCTGGGCAGGAGTCCTGCCCAACATTACCGCGCGGATGCTCACTCCCAAGTCCAACTTCTTCGAGGAGGGCGGACACTCGATCCTTGCCCAGCAAATGCTGTTCAAGGTTCGACGGGAGTGGAAAGACATCGATATCCCCATGAGCGCCATCTTCCAGTCGCAGACTTTGGAGGCATTCGCCACGGAAATTGAAAACGCCCAGGATCCTACTGGTCTCCGACTCGACCAGAACGTCCACGAGAGCTCGACCATGGTGGACGAAGCGTACTCGGCTGATGCCCGCGATCTTGCTGGAAAGCTCCCAGCCAGCATTCCCAAGTCGGTTAGCTCCGGAACTGCCGGGACGACTTTCCTTACCGGCGCCACGGGATTCCTCGGTTCCTACATCCTCCACACCCTCCTCGAAACCAACAAGGAAGCTCGTGTCATCGCCCACGTGCGGTGCAAGGATGCTGCATCCGGGCTCCAGCGTCTCAGGGGCATTGCCGAAACCTACGGGCTTTGGCGCGAGGATTGGAGCGGCCGGGTAGAGGTCGTCCGCGGCGACATCTCCAAGCCCCAGCTTGGCATGACCTCAGAGGACTGGGACCGCGTTACCAAAGAAGCGGATTATGTCATTCACAACGGCGCGCAAGTGAACTGGATGCTTCCGTACTCCAGCTTGCGCTCGGCCAACGTCCTGAGCACCATGGAGTGTGTGACTCTCTGCACCAGCGGCAAGCCCAAGCGGCTGGCATTCGTCAGCTCCACCTCGACTCTGGATACCGAGCACTATGTCAATCTCTCACAACAGAGCGTCGCGTCCGGTGGATCGGGCGTCCAAGAGACAGACGATCTGCAGGGCAGTGCTAAGGGCCTAGGCACAGGGTACGGCCAATCGAAGTGGGCCAGCGAGTACATCGTCCGCGAGGCTGGCCAGCGTGGTTTGGACGGCGTTGTCGTTCGCCCCGGTTACATCACGGGAGACCCGGAGTCGGGCTTCTCGGTCACCGACGATTTCCTCTTGCGTCTGTGGAAGGGCTGCATCCAGGTCCAGGCCCGTCCGGACATCCCAGGCAACACAGTCAACCAGGTCCCCGTCACGCACGTCAGTCGCGTCGTGGTCGCCTCGGTGCTCTACCCCCCCGTCGAGCCCCTGGGAGTCGTGCAGGTCACTAGCCACCCCCGCCTGACCACCAACGAGTTTCTCGGGTCCCTCGAGACCTACGGCTACAACGTGCCGCAGGTCCCCTACCGCGAGTGGTGCTCTCTGCTGCAGGAATACGTCGCCGACGAGGGCAACACCGGACCCAAGGAGCTCGCACTCCTTCCGCTCTTCCACTTCGTTGTCGGCGATCTGCCGTCGAACTCTCTTGCCCCTGAACTCGACGACACCAATGCCGAGACCTCGTTGCGTGCATTTGGCGCCACGCCGGAGAAGCTGAGCGATCGTGCTGTTACCACGGAGATCATTGGCAAGTACCTTGCCTTCTTGATCGCCACTGGGTTCGTGCCTAGCCCTTCCACTCCGGGCGCCAAGGCGATCCCTGAGGTAGATACTCAAAGGTTGCAAGCTATGGGAAGCCTTGGTGGACGGTCTTCCAAGTAGGCCCTATATGAAGAAAACGAGTGCATTGTACTGGTAGATAGCGCGGTGTTGCGTACCACCTGGCCTGATTGGTAGATTTAGTTTGCTTGAATAGAAAAGCGTTAGATTGTTTATGCCGGTATACAGGACGGAGTCCACCGTTGCTCTAGGCGTGGGGGCCATGGCAGGTGTCTTGATTGTATTCAGCGGGTTTCCCAGGGTATTGATTCCTTGCCTAAGCCGTAGTCGCTTGGCCAATTTATCGACCAAAGACTAGTGTATTTTCGTACATTCCCGTAGGAAAGCTGCTTTGAAATACTAATTGCTTTGAAATATTATTGACTAATCCGCGAATAAACCCCTGCAGCTACGCCGATAAGTCCTGAGGGATTCGTCCGAGCCGGAGACTTTCCAAGCCGCTACATAAATCCACCAACTATATAAACAGCACCAGGAACTCCATTACCATTTTCGCTATATATACATATTTATATAACTCCAGACTCCAACCAGCGACTCAACAATGACAGGCAAGCTCGGCATTTTCCCAGCCGCCGGAGGCCTCGGCGGCAGCACCCTCACACACCTTCTCCAACGAGTCCCAGCCACCGAACTAGTGCTTATCACGCGCAAACCAGAGAACCTGGCCAAAGAGCAAGCCGCCGGAGCGACCATTCGCAAGGGCGATTTCAACGATGTCCAGACCCTCGAGCACGCATTCGACGGCATCTCGACGCTGAACCTGATCTCCTACGCGAGCTTCCAACACAAGCATCGATTCAAGGTCCACAAAGCCGCGATCGACGCGGCTCTCAAGAGCGGAGTGACGCACATACACTACTCGTCTCTGGCATTCGCCGGCGATGGCGATCCCGATACCAAGGCCCATGTGATGCTCGCGCACCTTGCCACGGAACGGTACTTGGCTGAGCTGCACGATCGCAACCCGCTGTTCACGTACTCTATCATTCGCCAAGGGCTGTACTCGGAGTCTTTCCCCATCTACACTGCCTATTTCGATGTCGAGGCTCCTTCGTGTGAGATTCGCATCCCCCACGATGGCTCAGGCCCCGGTCTTGCTTGGGCGAAGCGGGATGAGCTGGGCGAGGCTACGGCGAACTTGATAGCACAGCACGCTCGAGACCCCGCTGCTTTCCCTTACTTGAATAAGACGGTCCTGCTCTCTGGCCCGAGGGTTTGGTCTCTCGCCGAAACGGTCGATGCTCTAAGCCGTGTGCTCCGTCGTCCTGTCCGCATCCAGCAGGTACCTGTGGAAGAGTATGTTAAGCAGCCACGGCTCCATGCTGGTCTCGGTGGCGAACACTTGGCGCCTCGCTGGGCGACTGCTTATGATGGGATCCGCGCTGGCGAGTGTGCGGTGGCTACGCCGACTCTGGCGAGGATACTTGGGCGCGAGCCGGAGTCGTTTGAGACGACTATCGGGCATATACTTTCGAAATGATGGAGGGGAAAGGATGGAAAAGGCATGTTTTAGCACTGGAGAGGGATCGGGTGTGGTACATCTCTAGACTTGATACTTGTTTGATATGCATTTTATTGATAGCTCATGTTGTATGTTAGCCTTAATACACTACTCGTGGAACCTAAGTCTTGTTCTCAAAACAGATATACATCAACATCCGATATGGTGTAATGGTTAACATCGCCGTCTCTCACACGGCAGCTCGGGGTTCGATTCCCCGTATCGGAATTACTTTTTGTTTTTCTGTCAGCATCTCCTGTCCAACTTGAAGAATCCATCACAATTTTGTATACAAAACACTGATGCAATACGATACGAACCTGCAGGGATCAGAAATAAATTAACTTTTTGGGGCCAAACGTCCTTATCGGGTGCTTATCACCACGTGCCGGCTTGTTTTGATGTCGCGACGGAATCATCTCCGCTTCTTCCTCCGTGCTTCTTTCTCCTCAAGAAACCTCCTCCGACATGCAATACGCCCAAAGCTTCTGACCATCACAGTAATTTGTGCAAGTTATTGAACATGGCGCGTCCCAGAGCCTTCCGCGCCCCCACCACAGCCAGTATTCCAAGCAATCTCCGCATCCCCTCAACCACCCAATCGCTCGTCAAATCGTTGGCGAAGCTCTCGCGCCAATCGCTGTTAGACCTCGTATTCGAATGGCTGGAGGATCGCAATGTGCAGTCGTTCCGACCATACTTAGAACAAGATGAGGCCGAAGCCATGGACGAGGACGAGCTCAAACCGTACCCCGCCGAACCCACCATCGACGACGTGCGCAACGCCTACCAAGAACTACAAGTCAGGAAAGGCGGGAAGCGCGAAGTCATCGATCGCATCCTAGAGGGAGACTGGCGACATGGCATCACCCTGCGCCAGCTGGCGATGGTCGACCTGCGCTACATGGATGACCACCCCTCCAGCCTCCGCTGGACCGCCCTAGAGCTCGCCCGCATCGACGCGACAGTCCGCGGCGACTCGTCCTCCTCCCTGCCCGACGTCTCCGCGTGCATCCCGCGCATCCACGCCTCCACCTTCCTGCACAATCTCCAGCAGCAGGTCGCCCCGCTCGTCAAAGCCCATTTCTATCTCGCCCGCTCGCGCTCCCTCCCCCTCACCTTCCTCCGCATCTTCACCTCCAACTCGCCATACCAGAACCCGCGTCAACCACCGGAGTCGCTGACGGATTCATCCCGTGTGATCTACGTCGCCTTCCCGGACAGCTGCCCGTTCATCTACACCTCCATCGCGTCGTCTCCGGCGGGGCCAAGATCCACCAATGCGCCCACCGCTCAGGCCGTCCCGACCGACTCCCGAACCCTCCAGCGGATCGTGCGCGATGCCGTCCCCAAAGCCCTGTCGCTTCCACAACAGAGATACACCCTGAAAGCGACCTCTCTAACAGCCAAGAACCTCGAAGCCCTCCTGAAACTCCGAGGTCCAGGCCGATCCAACCAGTCAAACGGCACGTTCAGCATCTTCGCCGACGCAGTCGTCGAAGGAAGCCCGCTCGACCCCCGCCCATCAAACACAGTAACTCCCGAAGAGCACATGCACCAGACATCATCGTCATTATCATCATCAGACCCCGAGAAAGAGAACCGAGCCCGCGACGAGCAAGACGAATCTACCTCCACACAACCAACAAAGAAGCAACGACGACAACGCTCCGGCCTAGACGCGCCTATCCCCAAGAAGCGCAAAACCGCCATCAACACTCGCTTCGGCACCTCGGGCTCGCTGTCCACCGCGCCCTTGGACCGTCTCGACGTTCGATTGCTCGATCCGCCCAAGGAAGACGACAATGACACCGCCGACGACGCAGACCTCGCTAATCCCGCTGTCTCGCTCACATTCTCGGGATCAGACGTTATCAGCGGCATCAGGAAACTGGCCGAGTTGGGTATCGTTGATCCTGAGCGCATGCCTTCGTGGATGACTGGTGAGGAGGCTGTTAGTGTGGCTGTTATTCGGGGCGGTAGTCGCGTGCTCAAAGATGGATGATAGGATGCGAGGTTGTCGATATCATTATACCTTATACACCCGTTCTTCAGGCCATGCGCACACATATATATGCCGCCACCAGACCTTCCTCTACAGAGGGCGAGAGAGAATACCAAGACCAGGCCTGACTGGTATCTTCTGTTAGGCCGGCTCCTTCGGGCATTTGCATTTACGCCCCGACAGGATTTCCAAGGCTTTGGTGGATGGATCGTGAATTCGGATCCGCTAGCACTGTCGTCACCTTATCTATCCATTTTACGAAGGAAATCATTATATAATATACCTTATATACCTTTGGTTGAGGATGGAGTGACGAGACTACCACTACCGGGTCTGATCTGGCTCGCCAGGGGAGACAGCGGCTTGGGGCTGCTGGTCTTGTGGACCATATCGTTTTATGGATGAATTTATCGATAAAACATAATAAATTGTCTTCTACTTTGTTTTGATATTACGTTCTACTGTAGTGGCGTGGTGTTTTCGTGTTTTAACCAATTTATTGAACGCTTTAGTAAAGACACCCCAGAAACCAGCACCGGGTATTCCATAACTCCCTTCAACTCCTCGCAGCCACGATATGATACACTCACTTCCCCTAGTACCCCCCTTCACCGTAATCAGGATAATAACTCCTACGCCAACCAGAGGAGTACGATCCCCGGTAAGCCCAAGGCTGATGATAGGTTGAATAATCTAACAAGACGGATGGACGTTAGAATCGCGCACTTTCTATACGCGCAAATTGGGAAAACGGGGTAATCACAAGGATGGTTTCGTACCGCGTTGGCCTGAAAGGCCCATCTGTTGTGCTACGTTTACGTAGCCGTCTTCGCTAACGGTGCCGTTTTGTTTGAGGGTTTCTAGGTTCGGGGTGCTGTGGTCTGTTTCCCATGGGGAGCGGCTGCATATCCCGTCAGTATGAGTTCATCGTCTGGCGAGAGAAGCACGGTGGGGAATGGAAGGGAGGGGAGGGGCGCAACATACCAGTATACACAGCGAACTCCCACGCTGCGCTGCGTGATGGCCCATTTTTCGAAACAGGCTTTATGTACGTTGTTCCCGCACGCTGCGCGACACCATACGATGTCTTCTTTGTCGGGCTCGAATTCCATGAAGCAGATGGGGCAGTCTCCTTCGATGGGCTTTCTGTTGCCGTTTGTGTCTGCGCCCGGCTTGGATTCGGCTTCTTTCTGCGCGAGGGGGGAGTGGTGGTAGATTTCGCGGAGTTCCTGTTGCGTGTGGTGTGAGATGGGATGGTTTGTAGAGGTGGTTGGTCAAACACTCACTGATGATAGGAACGCCGCCTGGTACTGCAGATGTGTTGTCGCTTTGAGGACGTTGACTAGGACTTGATGGGCCATTGAGATTAGAATGACGAGGTCAAACAACGGGGGTAATAATACGAAGAGAAATAAAACTACGGTGGTATGGCATGGGATATGGATAAACTGTACCGTAGCAGATATGTTTGCACAGGGTCCCTCTCTTGGTGGCATCTGGACAGTCGCACGACGGCACCTTCCCGATGGTCGTCTTGTACATGTTTCCCGTTGTGCCAACCATGTCAAAGGTCATCTGGGGGTAGGGAAACTCGGTATTCTCATCGGTCCAGACGACGTTGTGTCCGACGACGAACATCCTTTGCGCAAAAACATCATGTTAGTCGGAGGGCTAGAGTTCGAACGTATAAAGTTTTCTGACCCACCTTTGAGTCGCCGCACGGGCTAGTCGGTCCCATAGAGACTGAGGTGGCCGGGCGCGGAATCTCCGTGCTCGACGTTCCTCGTTGGTGCTATCAGCCGCGCTGTTTGGCGTTCTCCTGGCCCGTGGTTTTGTCTGTTGTTTCGCTGGGGTCTTCACGGGTGAATCGCCCGTTAAGTCGACCACCTCGGAGAACTCTGGTAAGGTCGCGGCATTGTTTTGTCCCCGTCGCCGAGTACGCTTCACTGGTGTAGGAGTCGCTTCGGCTGGTTTACTTGCACCTCGCTTTCTTTTCAATGCCGGGGCGCGATCTGGGGTTGTCGGGGTGGCGTCGTGAGCTCTGCCCATTTCCCGCGGTATCTCGGTCGCGCTGATCTTCAAATATTGGTTTGTCTGCCTCAGTGATGGGGTGGAAATGGATGTAGGCTATGATTCTGGAAGGTGGCCAAGAAGATGAACTGAAACGCGTCACAGGTGAGATGAGCAGCCCGCTGCGATAATAGATAAAAAAGTCCGCTAGTTCAATTTCCAACAAGATAGTCAGTCGCAAGCCCTGTAGCATCCATTGACAAGAGGGCTATACCAATTCAATAGATACAGCTAATGATGTTCAGAAGTAAATGCATCTGCTGCTTCGATTTCGCGTCGATAATGTGGAGGTTTGCTTGGTTTGTCCAGTTTGTCTAGTTTGCCACCAGAGCCCAGCTGATAATCACTTTGATAAGGACCATCTGTGGATCACCGCCAACTCCGCCTCAGTCTCCGGTCGGCCACGGAGAAGCACCATTCCACCGCATCTTCGAATTGAGGTTGACATTGATTATATCAATACTCACCTTTTGCCATGGCACGCGCTCGAGCGCACTCCAGTGCGGAGGGTCCCAAGGAACCTCATTCGGTGTCCCTGAAAGGTACGCCCCGTTAGACGCCCGCCCCGCAAGTGACAGGACTGATCAGATCCCAGTATTGCGGTAAGCGACGGCTTCCAGGGCCGGATGGACATCGTGCATTTGCTTACTGTCGAAGTCTGTCGCGTCCGTCTCTATCCTTTCAACATCCTCTTCCTACGACGAATACCCGAATCCACAGTAAAGCATCGTTGAGCTATCCGTCGGACCAGACCGATGACGGGTTCATTCTCACCCCAAATGTAGGACGATGAACGCTCATGTACGCCGATACTTTACTAAAGCATACAATCTACGTCAAGGTAACATTGCCGCCTGCGTTCGGATCGGCATACGTCGGGGAGACCTTCGCCTGCACCCTCAGCGCCAACAACGAGCTCGCTGAGGATGAGGCGTCGCGCATCGTCAAGTCGGTCCGCATCGTCGCAGAAATGCAAACCCCATCGCAGGTGGCCGCTCTGGACCTAGAACCCGCGGACGACATGGACACCAATGACGGCTTACAACAGGGGCAGTCGTTACAGAAGATCGTCCGGTTTGATCTGAAGGAGGAAGGGAACCATATCCTGGCCGTCAGCGTCAGCTACACCGAGACGCTGATCGGGTCCGATGCACAAGCCGCCAGCGGGCGGGTCCGGACATTCCGGAAGCTCTACCAGTTTGTGGCGCAACCGTGCCTCAGTGTCCGGACCAAATCGTCCGAGCTGGCGCCTAGGGAAGTCGGGGACAAGTCGCTGGGGCCATACGGCAAGGCGCGGCTTCTGCGGTTTGCTTTGGAAGCTCAGCTGGAGAACGTGGGGGATGGGCCTGTCGTCGTGCAGGTGAGTCCGTCGACCCTTGTGGTATATCCCGTGGGGTAACGGCATGATCTGACCGATCGACCGAATTAAACAAATAGCAAACGAAAATGAACCCCAAGCCGCCCTTCCAGGCGATCTCGCTGAACTGGGAGCTCGAGAGGCCGGACGGGTCCGAGTCGCAGCTCCCGACGCTGTACCCCCGCGACGTCCTGCAGGTCGCGTTCCTGGTGGAGCAGAAAGAGGGCCAGCCGGAAGGGGTGGAAACGTTACAAAAGGACATGAAACGAGACGGTCGAGCAATCCTCGGCCAGCTGTCCATCGAGTGGCGGGGGGCAATGGGCGATAAGGGGTTTTTGACGACCGGCAACCTGCTCACTCGCCGACGGACATAATTCAGCAAACATGCAATGTCTTCTTTATCCTCAGTGCAAACGATTCCCCAATCCGACCTCAAGTCTCCAATTCGTGGCACCCCTTTGTTTTCCTCGAAGTAGTCAAAAGTACAGCCCCACGGGAAAAGGGGGGCCAAGGGGGGAGGGGGAAGGGAAAAAGTATCCCGATGCATTATCGGCAGGTCTGATACACGGCATCCAGAGCCGGTGCATTAGGCTCTGCTTTGCATGATGTTGTACGTCGTACGGGACCAGCCCACCAAGTACCGGTTTCACTCGTGCAGCCCGTCTCAGGTAACCGCTGCATGTTCTGGCGCTGCTCTGTTACACGATTCTGGTGGCTTATCCTGCGCGCCCGTCAGGCAGTTTACTTTACAATTGTGCAGAGGGCTTAGTAGATTGATTGACGGAGACCATGGCATGACCGGTGTCTAGACTGGGAACGATTGGTAAATGTCTCAGTCGCTGTCTCGGTAGTTAAGGTATATACATAGACAATGGGAAGGTGCAGTAACCAGGGCTTAAAACGACACCTGACCTTTTTTATACCTCCTTTCTTTCCTCTTTTATTATAGTATAAAATAAGACATCATTATTAAGCGGATCTCCCACCATCCAGCCAGCCGTCCAGCCAGCCATAAAGAAACCCAATCAAGTATCACTGGATTAGGGCTCGGGCTAACCAGGAGGAATCATGGTAGTAAATACAGCTGGCCGTGTGGTTACGTGCACGTGGTGTCAAGGCCTTGAACAGTTAGCACGACTCGCAAAACAGCGTCAAAGGTCGCCGTTTTTGGCAGCTGGCCAACTTATCATTATATGGGGTATATCATTACATCTATATAAGCTGATGGTATATATATGTTAGGCTACTATTATATTCTCTCAAGACCGCTACGCCAAAACGTTGACCAACGTTTGGTATAGGGCTTGACCTGACTGACATCCCAACAAAATCTTGCAATGGTGGATAGCCACGAGGAGTCTCGGGGTCGCTCACTTTCTTCGCCAGACCAAAGTCATCGAGGTGGAATTTCCCTGTGCGCAAGTTTTGGGGGATTTTAACAGGCCCAACGAGGTTTCCTTTGCTTCCAGAGATCGTCCACCGGTATCATTTGCTTCAATGGCCGACCCAGTGCCTCGTATTTAGCACTCTTTTGGGATGAGGGTGGAGGGGTTCCATTCCCACATACAATTTTTCCCATTCAAACCTGTTGAATGAACACCAGAATGCGGACGAATAGAGAAAAGAATAGGATGCTGGTGTCACTCACCACGGTGGACAATTCCGGCCTCGTGTAGAATCCTCAACGCCTCTAGCAACTGCGGAGCGGCAGACATACGAGTGAGTAGTCATGGACATTTCTCTCACGGTCGGACAGTAAAGACATGGGCTCATCAAAGAAAGTACTCAAACCGTATGGTGACATCCATCCCCCGGGATTAGAAAGGCTTCCAGATACGTCACAAAACGAGAGGCATCACGCACATTCCGAACGATCTCGTCCTGCAGGCGGATTTCCCTCTGACCCGATTCTCCCGCGAACATCATCTTGAGGGCAACGTCTCTGGTATTTTGGCGGCCATTGGCCCTCTAGACAATCGAGAAGCCGCCGAATCCGAGCTTATGCTCGACCAGATACCTCTGATTGATCAGGTCTCCGAGGCGGATGGGATAGAAGACATCTGGGGTTTTTTGTTTATCATATTTGTCGCAGGGCTCGGCAATCTCTTCCAAATCCATTTCCACAAAGTCGCCGAAGTCTTCCTCACCAGCTTGGTTGCAGTATTGAGTTGCTGCTGTCATTTCGGTCATACCTGACATGCCATTCAAGGGTACTTGGGGGGGGACACGGAGGCGAGAGAGGGAGGTGACAAACTTGTTCAAAAAGCAAGGGGCTCGTATTATTGAAAGATTTAACATAGAGAAGGCTGCTCATGGAAAGTTGTAAGAAGGGGGATGGCGTCTAATAATTGTTCCACGAGGTAATTAGTTATTACTACTACTACTAATACTACTATTGCAACTCTCTCTTTCTCTATATGTCTGATGTAGTACTCGGGGAGAGATCAACGTGGTTGATGGTTGTTAGTATATTGCATGAGTCGTATATGGGTAGTCTAGAATTGAGGGTTGATTAATTAATATTTCTTATTCCTATTTATATTTATACTATATTTAATTCTTATTGCTTATTATTATCTCATATACTTTTTATATACTTAAAGACTATCAAGTGTCTAGGCCATTCGATTTCATACTGGTACAGGATTTTGGATACACCTGTAGTAACCCCGTGTCTGTTCCATGTCAGAAAATGCACGTTGGACTGGAATACCAAGAGAAAGACAAAACTGCCTTGATATCCTATCATGTGTTAGTCGCTTTTAGTCAATATTTGCCACCCAGACGATCGAGCGATCGCTTGATTGTGATATTGTCCACCGCTTGTTTGGTAATGCAGGGCTGGTCAAGCAGTGCGACCTCCTAGACAGGACTCCGTCGTCGGGAAGGGAGCCGACGGCAGAGGGCTGTGGACGTAAGGTAAGGAACGAAGTTAGGATACTGGTATGTATGTGGATGTGGATGTGGCATAACCTCCGACTTTCAACGTAAAGCCGAGTGGCAGGGCTCTCCGAGCCGCAGACGCCCAACTCTCTGGTCGGCCCCTGACAGTAGTCCTCGCTTCCCTGCAGTAGTGGTTGGAGTTGGAATCTATGGTTGGATTGGGGATTAAGAGTGAACTTGGAATTCTGGGTCAGGTTAGAGATAAAGATGGATTAATCGTCGACCGTTGAAAGGTGTTCAATGGAAACGTGGAGACTGGAGAGGGAGATGTTCATCCCAATTTAGTGGTGGCCATCAACGTGGAGGACCCGGTGGATGTGAACTAAACAGATTAGTTGAAGAAAGGATTGACTGACTGGATATGGGGCCACTTTTTTGGTTTTCCCTTTTCTGTCCCTCTTATCTATTTTATTTGATATTTTTCTGGCGTGATCCACTTGATCGGCTTCACCTCGTAAGACGGTCAGCGTCAGAAGGATGAATGACGGTATGGTTCGATCCCTGGATAGAGAAGAGAAGAGAAATCTCGGATTGAATACTCGATACAGGATTGAAAGTGGATTCAACCAAGCTACCTCCTTTTGGAATCCTTGGGTCCTTGAATCCGCTTGTCTTTTATCTGCATCTTGATCAACCAACCTTTGTCAACATTCGAACTTTACCTCGGCAGGGAACGACTTTTCCCTATTGGGACTCTAGGAGAGACACAACCGGCCGAGAGTTTCCCCTTTTCGGTTACTGCAGCCTTGCATTCCCCAGATAGCTTTGCTCGTTGGGCCCATCGAGCCCGTCGTTGCTCTGGTTTAGCACGCTGGTTCAGCACGCGCTGATCCAATCATCACGCCAGAGGGCGGATTGTGTATCTCCGACCTTGACTAGGGATGTCTTGGTATCTAGTACCGATTCTACTCACCGCGGTCGGCCTCTGATTCAGGATCTGGATTTAGGATAGGATGACAGCCACAGGAATGGCCCCAGTCAGCAATGCAAGAGATTTCGCTGGTGGAACAAGCAGCGTCATCGAAATCGGTGACAGTGGCAAGACGATTCCGCGATCGCCCGCAGGATCAGTCTTTGGTACTTCTGAGACCTGTACTTTTATTTGATTTTAGTTATTTTCTCGGTAGGTGGTGAGTTGGGGGTTGGATTTCCCCCCCTTCTCCGTTTCGGCTGAAGTCACATAAAATCAGCCGTGAGATATTAACGTCGTCATTTCTCTCCATGGGGTCCACTTTAGAGGGATTTAAACAATTGGGAAATCGATTCTCAGAATGATGAATACCTTAAACGGTGGTTCAATGGTTCTCTCCCACACATTGAGTAGAGACGGGAGATATTGTGCTTTCCGGGCTCCACTCGACCCAACCATTGGTATTCCCCGTGGACAGGGACCGGGTACGGAGGACAGAGGACGGAGAACGGAGGCAATGGGATGGATACAATGATGGATGGTTCGAATCCAGTGGTCGGGATCAGGCTTGACTATCTAGGCGCCTCCAGAAGGATTGAGGTTGGCTGCAGCCACAGGCAATGGTGGTTGGATGGTGGATGGAGATGGCGTTCAAGTATGTCAAGTTCTTCCTTGCACTCGCAGTGGTTCCAACCTCCTGCACGTTTCTTTTTTCTTTTCCTGTATATTATATTCTCTATTATATCCTACTCTATTTGGTATATTGAGATTTGTATTTATTCCATGTTATCCTTACATGTTTGTCTCCTCGCATCCAGGATGTTGGGGTTTCCAGCAAACAGCAAGTGGACCTGGATGGTACTTGGTACTTGGTACTTCGAAAATACATATAAAATAAGGATAAATAATATAATACCATAGCGAAAAGATAAACAGAAGAATTGACTTTGTCGTACATGGTAGAGAACAGAGACTCGTTATCATTGGCAGTCTCGAGAGGGAGAAGATGTGCACTGACTGCATCGCTTGAGCGTTGTGTGGAGGAGAAAGTGGATTTAGTATTAATGGTGGATGATTTAGTGACAGCCGTCATCAATCATTGCTCTATTTCTCCTCTATTCTCCTCTATTCTCCTCTATTTCTCCTCTATCTGTCTCAGTGGTTCTTCTCTAGTTATTCTCGGTCTGGTTATTCTGTTCATGGATACCTCAGGTTTCTCTCCAGTTGGCCATCCAGAACGACCAAGAAATCCATTCAAACAATCCTAAATCAATTCAACAACAATACTAATCGTAGAAATAGAAAAGTAGAAATCAAAATAAAATATTGAATTGATTTATACAATTATAGAAATAAAAAAAAATAATAATAAGATCAATCGGTAAACCCCCGTTCCTCCTTTTCCTAACCCCTCCTCTTCCCCCCCCAATCCATACTCCTTTTCTCTGGCTGGGGGATCTTCTTAACTTCTCTTCTCTCTCTCTCTCTCTCTTCCCCTTCCCCGCCCTCCTCCTTCTCCTCCACTCGTCCCTTTCTTTTTCTTTCCTTTTCCTTTCCCCTTCTTTGTTTCTTTCTATTCTTGCTCTTCTCTGGGTTACATACTTGATTTGACCAAAGAATTGAATCCAAGAACTTCCCTCGTTGCGACGCTCGTCGCATTGCCTGACTTTATGTGTGGTCTTTCCCACTGCCCCCATCTCGCCGATTCCCCCCTGATCGCTCACCTCTCCCTCCACCCACCAACGTCCCATTGATCTCGACCGTGTGGAGGATTGTTTGGATAATCTGGAGATTAACCCCTCGAATGCGCTGACGACGTCCACGAATCGGTGACGAATTCATGACCACAACCTTGCGACTACCGACGAGATGCCCTTCTCTTCCTCCTCCGCCACCCCCGAGGTGTCCACCACTCCGCTCGCCGATTACTTCTGGATAGCCGGCGTGGATGGCTCCGAGGTCCTGGAAACCTATCAGCGATTGGGCGATGAATACCGTGCCAACAGTGCCACCTCCCCCGGTCCCGCCTTTGCGGACACCATCGAGGAGGATGCCGACGCCGAGGAGGCCCACGACCCTCGCCTCGACGGTCTCTCGCGCCCCGGCTCCGTTGTCGGCTTCCGTAACTCCTTCCAACGCTTCTCCATGCGCTCCGGCGATTCGGACCCCAATGAGAATGGCTCCAGCAGCAGCAACCGCAGCAGCATGACCATCAAGGGCGCCCCGCAATCGCCCCGCGCCTCCACCGCCGCCTTTTTCGAGGACTTTGATTTCGACAAGGCCCTGTTCAAGTTCGCTTCCGAACGGGAGTCCTTCCTGTCTGATCTGAGTCTGAGCGCCGGCGCCATTACCTCCTCGTCCCGACCCCGCTCCCGCTTACGCACCCAGAAGATCACAGCCGATGAGAACGCGCAGTCCCCCGGTCTGCTGCGTTCGGGGATTGGGAGTGTGCGACGACACATGGCGTTTCGCGATATGAACAGTATGAAGCGACAGCCTTCTGTCGCGCGACAAGGTAAGCTACGGAGATCCCCCGCCTGACCCCGCCCCCGGACCCGGAGAGAGGAAGACAGACAGACAGACAGAGAATGAGTGCTAATCATGGAACCCAGCGTCGATCCGCACCTCTCGCCGTCTGAGCAACTACAACTCGGTCATCCCCGTCCCCCAGCCCCTCGAGATCTCCCCCACCATGCACCCCCTGAAACGGAGGTTCGAGCCCGTCCTCCTCGACCGATATCCCCCCAAGGCCATGTCCGATGAACACAAGGTGCGGGGAAATTTCCCCGACTACGTGCCCATGTTCGCCTTCCCCAACGACATCAACGTCGTGTCCTCCGACCAGCGCCCCCGTTCCACCTGGCACGGTTTCGCTATGACGACGGACAATGGCTCGCGCCTGCACGCCATCTGCGTGATCATGTGGATCCCCCTGAACCCGCAGGCCGCCGAGGAGTTAGAGAAACGCTGCGAGGAGTGGCGCAAGGACAACATGACCGACGAGGAACGGGAGCTGGCGGCCAGTTTGGGCGAGCGACTGGCCTCGGAACGGGCCAAACTCTCCCGCCTGCTTGCCCAGCTTCCCACGGTTCCCTCCGGGTCTGACTCGCGAGAGCAACTGGAGGACGAAATCAGCGCCGTGGAGGAGAAGATCGGCCTGATGACCGATCTCCTGCGCCCCGTCCGCCACGCTGCGGCCTCCAAGATCGAAGGCTTGACCGACGGTGACACCGGGTTCTGGATCCCCCGCGCGTACGGCATCCTGGGCCGGGAGGAGAACATGACCAGCTTCTGGAAGGAATGGCTGAAGGCGGTCGTCGTGCCCATGACCGATGGCGGGGTGCAGCGAGTCCCGCAGAGCTCCCCTCGTCTGGGCGTCTGGCAGCCCCTGGAGCGATATGTGATGAACCTGTGCACAGAGGCCTTCAGTCCCAACTCGTCCAAGACCCAGGTCGAGCTCTCCGTCCGGGAGCTGCGACTCTTCGCGCGCAAGGAGGCCACCAACGAGCTGCCCGGCTCGCGCAACACCGACCTCTACGCGCTGTTCCGCACCCTGTCGCTGGCAAACATCATCATCCTGCTCGAATACGCCCTGACCGAGTCCCGCATCATCTTCCTGTCGTCCCACACCTCGATGCTCTACCTCGCCACCCGAGCCCTGGTGGATCTGCTGTTCCCGATCACCTGGTGCGGCGTGCTGATCCCCGTCCTGCCCGCGCGGTTGATTCAGGCCCTGGAGGCCCCCTGTCCCTACATCGTCGGTATCGAACGCCGGTACGAGAAGGTCGAACTGCCGTCCGATGACTTCGTGCTGGTGGACCTCGACTCCGACATGATCGAGAGCACCATCCAACCGACCCCGCTGCCCCGTCATCAGCGGCGCAAGCTCCTGTCCCTTCTCCAATTGGCGGCCCCCCACCACAGCCGGTGCGGCGTGCCCACGGGCCCTCCCGCCTACGCCGTCGAGGCGTTCCCGTATGATTCCTTCATGTCGGAGAACTCCTCCGTTTTCACCTCCAAGGCCCAGCCGACCCAGTTGGCCAAATACGTCAGTCTCAACTCGAGCTCGTTCGGCCCGCAGACCGTCCCGCCGACCGCCTATCCACCCCTCATCTTCAATGCCTACCTGCACGCGCGATACGAGCAGGCGCCGTCGCGGGGGTACTCCTCCAAGGGCTCCGACCGACCGGGCACGAGCTCGACCACCAAGACCGGGTCGCCCCCTTCCCCGCGGGACTGTTCGCCCACGTCCGGTCACTTCCCGCCGATGCCCACGACGCCCAACTCCCGGAACGATTCGGGCATGGCGCTCCAGGCGTCGCTGCGGGAGAAGCGCTCGGGCCATTTCGACGCGGCCTCCCGACGGAGTTCGTCCTTTGGCATGGAGATGCGAGGCATCCCGCGACGGCCCAGTGCGCCGTTCCTGGGCCACGCGCCGAACCTGTCCGTGACGACCTTGAACACGGACTACAACCCCAGCTCGACGTACGCCCCGTCGGTGTACGCCCAGTCCACCGTGGCGGCCTCGACGATCGTGCCCCAGGCGACCGTCCAGCCGATCCACAACGCCGAGGGTACGTGCTGGATCGAGGGCCATTGCATGCAGGTGCAGCCGTGGGACGAGCGCGCCGTATGCGCCGTGTGCGACGACCGGGCCGAGGAGGGCATGTACAAGTGCAGCGCCTGTCAGGCCGTGGTCCACAACCGGTGCGCGCTCCAGATTTGTTTGGTCTGTCCGGCGGCATTCTATCCCGACCAGGTGCGGGCCGCCTTTGTCCGGTGCTTTGCCAGTTTGTTCTACACCTATAAGAAGTTTCTGCAGCCTGCGTCTGGTGATAAGCGCAAGGCGGGTCTTACGTACAGCTTTAATATGGAGGCGTTTATGAAGGGGTTGCCGGGGGAGCATGCGGAATACATTGCGATTCTTCAGCAGACACAGGGTATGTCCCCATAGGGGAAGAAAGAAAAAGATAAGAAAAGCCGCTAATTTTTCCAGGGTTCAACCAATTCATCAGCGATCGGGAGATGATGAATCCCAAGTCCAAGGACCCCCGTATGACGTTGTTCGACGAGATCGTGCTCTCCAAGCGCAATCGCGGCCGGTCGTCGATCTTCTCCAGCCGGAGTACGACCGACTTCCTGTCCGACACCTCCAACCACCTTTGGCGGACCGCGAGTGCCACGTTCGCCGCGGGGAGTCGGGGTCAGAATAGCATGGCCGGGGATTATACGCGTGTCGCTATCCGAGGTTTGTTCCCCCCTATATTCTCCCACTGTCTGGGGCAGACATGCTAATATTGTCCCCTCTAGCACCGGCCAAATTGGATACCAGTCTTATGAAAGAACCCCGCATGATCCACGGAGCTCCGCGAGTGTCAAAGGCGGCGAACACGGCTCGGAGAAAGCCGCTTCCTAAGCTCATGAGCGGGCTGGCCATTTCACCCCCGTAAGGGAGGAAGCTCTAGGGATCTCAGGGGATGGCCATCCATGCGATTTCCGCCCCACCCACAGTCCGCACAAGATCCTTGATGGCACGCCGTAGCTGGTTGGATAGCCTGCGTGGGCTCCAGCACCCACCGGACCACCGGATACCAGACGGCACGCCATCAACCCCTGACGAAGACGAAGACGTCGGGGCGGTACATACACACATACCTTCGTGTACACACATAACATACCCTACACATACATTCCTCATTTCTGATTTGGTTTTGACTGGAGATTATGATTGTCACTGCGGTTGCAAAAGCGTTTTCCTTTCCTTTTTGTTTGATTCGAGCCCATGCTCGTGAACCGTTGGTTTTGATTTGATTTGATTGATTTGATCTGATTTCCTCTCAATACCCCCTTTTGATTGGTTGGTATTTGCTTTCTTTCTTTGTTGTTCTCTTGTAATACCTTATTGATGGGTCAGTCGACGTTTTCCCAGCTTACACCTGTTATTGAACCGTGGGAGGTGATTGTGTTTTTCTTCTTTTTTCTTGTTGTTTTCTTTCTGTCATGTATGTAGGATAGACGAACGAATCTGTGAATAGTCATCGCCTCTGCGGCATTTACTCCATTGCATTCCATTATTTCCACCTATCCCTATCCCCATCCCTATCTTCAGCCGACCCACGAGAACAGACAACATCAACCGACCACTCGGCAGCAAACCCCGGTATCTAGAACCCAAACAAGCACCGTACCTCGGGCAAGCAAAAGACGATCGAATGCCGTTCACCGGCCCAGCCAAGCCAAGTCAACCATCCGATCCGCCCGACGGACAAATTCACGACTGCCACGGCCGGGTGTAGCCAGTCGGGGGATGTCCAGCGTCCGCCCGGGAGCAAGCCCGAGTGGATATGCGTGGACGAACCGGAGTGGGTGCTGATAACGCCAGCGGAGGCTTTTTCCTCGTATCATTGATCGGAGGGGGGCCAAAGACTAGATTGGATTAGCCATTGGAAGGGTGATCGTGTTGTAGTATCACTTACCTAAGGGATCTGTTCTTACTGTATTGTGGATTGTGGATATGATGGTAGACCGACCGCAGTAATGGTAAAGCATCGATCACTCCATGGCCCGAGGAAGTCGACGGAGAAGATCGTTACTCAACACGCCTAAGTTCAGATCAGGTAAGGTAGTATTCAGCAAGAAAGCAGCGTGATGAGGCATCTCGATCGACCGAGTAAGGTCGTAGTTGAAGCCGCTGATCCTCCGTCATTATTGGTGGAGAAATGTATTTCTCTATCCGGGATAATTCAGCCAAAACTCCGGGGAAATTAATCCTTTCACTTATCCTCTTCCTCTACTACCCTCTTTCTATCTCTGTGTTTCTCTCTCTCTCTCTCTCTCGTTCTTCTTCTTCTATCATCTGTTTGACTCTTCTACCCCCTTATCCGGCAAATGTCGTCGTGCCGCTTGGTTTCTCTCGCCGGGTCTTTTGCGTTGTTGATGTGGGTTGAGTTGGTTACTTATTGGGCTGGTTGACCTACTTCTTCTACAACAACACTGGCAACCCCTCTATTATTGACAACCGCCTATCGATATAAACCCTGCTTTGTCGACTGCTTCTTGCAAGATCTCTGTCGATCAGCGGCTGGTATCGGCTGAATACTTATCGATTGGACGTGGTCTCAATGCGATACCCTGATATCTGACAGCGCATCCACCAACCGCTACCAAGCTATGAAAACGCTGTCGCATTCAAAGAGATGATGCAGACAGCTTTAGCGATGACCCTGCTTTCCGAAAGCGCCTCCCCCGTTGCCATCTTCAAATCGCCTTCCTCGTCCATGACCCCCTCTTACCCTCCGACTCATCAACTCCCTCCCGAACCCTCGCAGACTGTGGTCGTCATATACAGTCCCGGACGAGATGCGATCGTGCAGGTCGTCGCGGATGTCCTGGGCAAGCCGTGGACCGCAGAAACCTCACTACCGGCCCTAGGGAGAGGCAGTCCCGCCGTCGTCGTGGGGATCCTGGCCGATGACTGGATGCGGAGTGTCCCCGGTGCGGAGAAGACCTCCGACTGGGTCGCGATCAACACGCACTGCGTAGATGACGGGTCCTCCCCGGCGGAGGCCCTCACCGACGGCTGCCACTATGAGTTCTTATATTCGCTGCGGAGTCCCTTCTTCCGTCGCGATCTGACGCGCTTCCTCTCCCTCATCCTGGGCCAGACGAGACCCCACGAGGACCTCAAGGCCAAACACCGCACCAACTTCATCTCCACCACCTTCCCGGATGTTCATGCGGCGCTGCCCAATCTGGACATCTTGTCCGTCGGGGCCGATGCCGTCGAGATCCGCGTAGACCTGCTGGTGGATTCGGCCCCGCACGCCCTTCCCAGCCCTGTGCCTAGCCTGCGGTACGTCGGGCAGCAGCTGATGCTCCTGCGCCAGCATACCGAGCTGCCCATCATCTTCACCACGCGCTGCACCAAGGAGAACGGCAAGTTTCCCATGGCCGACCCGGCCCTCTTCTACAAGTACCTCCGGCGCGCTATTCAGTGGGGCGTCGAGTACATCGACGTCGAGCTCTGGCTGCCTGAGGACATCCGACGCCGGCTGGCCGAGAACAAAGGCCACAGCATTATCATGTCGGCATTTCACGATTTCTCCGGCACCTGGAAGTGGACCTCGCCTGAGGCTCCGCGCATCTTCGCCGAGAGCGCCAAGTACGCCGACATCGTCAAGATGATCGCCATGGTCGGCACGACCGACGCCAACTACGAGCTTGAGTACTTCCGCTCGACCGTGAGGGAGACCCAGGGCTCGTACCCGCTGCTGTCGGCCGTCAACATGGGCCAGATGGGCCAGCTGTCCCGCGCCCTCAACACGGTCTTCTCCCCCATCACGCACCCGCTGCTGCCCATGATCGCCGCGCCCGGCCAGCTGACCGCCGGCGAGATCAACGAGGCCCAGCACATCATGGGCCAGCTCCCCAAGCGCGACCTCTACGCCATCGGCTCGTTTCGCTCGACGCCCCAGTCTGTGTTCATGGAGAAGTGCTTCAACGAGCTCAGCCTGCCGCACACCCTGACCTCGATCGACCGCGGGCCCACCGGGTCCATCGAGCGGGTCATCACCCAGCCTAATTTTGGCGGCGCCTCGGTGCACCCGCCCATCGCCAGCGGCGGCACCAACATCCCCGCCGTCAGCGAGGCCGCGCGTGCCATCGGCCTCGTCGACACCATCGTCGCCGTGCGGCGCGACGACGAGCCCCGGGCAACGCAGCTGGTCGGCGAGAACGCCACCTGGAAGGGCATCCGGGCGACGCTGACGCGAGACTACGTGCCGTCGGCCTACCGCGGGCGGGCGGCCATCATCCTGGCCAACGGGGAGCGGGAGGCATCGGCGGCCCTCTACGCACTGCGCAGCCTGGGCGTGGGGGCCATCTACACGGTCGGGTTCCGAGGCAGCGGCCCACTGGCCCAGGGGCTGGAGCCCTTCACCTCCCTCCAGTCGGTGAAGCTGGTGGAGCAGCCGTTTGTGATTGTCTCAGCCCTGCCCCCTGAGAAGTCACTCCTGGTGCAGCCGCTGCTGCGGCACTACCGCACCAGTGGGCGGGTCTCCCCCCCGTCCACCCGCGGCAAGGTGTACCTGGACCTCACCCGAGGCGACCGCACGGGCGACCCGGTAGATGTGGCGGTGCGGGCGGGCTGGACGGCGTATGGGATTGAGGATGTCCAGGCCTGGACGACGGTGGAGACGTTACGGCTGCTAGTGGGACAGAACGTCCCGTTTGATTTCGTACGGATGGCGTCTGGACGGGTGTTTTGAATTTTCCAACTTCCAACCATATAGATAGAGCGACAAGTGGGGACGAAACTTTTTGACACATGAAGAAGGATTCCAAACCTGATTCAGAAACACATGCATGCATACTTCTTGTTTTCCTTCTCGCCTTTTCCCGGCACCTGAAACGGTCCGGTCGACCCGAGTTTCCCTCAATGCAAAACGACAGAAAGATGAACCAGGCACAAGACGGAAGCAAGGCCCGTGATGGACAGGGGAATATTCCGACGCGCCAACCCTAGCGCCACCATCCTATAGGATCTTCGAGCCGTTCGGTGGATCTCGTATAACGGCGCTCTGATATACCTCCTAGGTCCAGAATATCCGGCAACTATAGCCTAATTAGCCGGAGGGAGGGGATCGACATGGGTGATTGACTGGTTGTTCACTCGTTCGTTCTGCACGGTTAGCCTCTAACAAGGCTCCAACCCGCTTCGGTCCAAGGGCGCCTGATAAATTAAAAACTAAATGAATCCAGTGGCAATCAGATGAGGTTATCCCCGCATCGGCTGTTGCTCCGTGGCTTTCAACTGCCTTAAGCCTTGTTTCTCCACTTATGCTCCGCGACGTCTTAAATCTGGGCATTTGTCTCGCTTCTCCTCTTTTAGTACTTCTGCTTGGCTTTCCTCGTTTATCCTTCTGTCATTCCCTCTTTGTCTTCTGTTGCTCTGTTGTTTGGTCTTCTATCGTTCTGTCGCTCTTTACCTTCGTTGTTGTACAACGGCATATCTATCTTCAAATCCATGGGATCTCCTTCCAATGTCTCGTCCTCAGATCAGTATCGACCGGCTGACGCCCCGCCGTGTCAATGCCGAGCCTCGTGAGTCGATGAACTGCAAGTCGTGCCGTAAGAGAAAGGTCCGTCTCTCCCCTCCTGTATCAAATGGCAGTCCGCTCACCGGCATAGATCAAGTGTAATCGCCTACGCCCCAGCTGCGAAGCCTGCAAGGTCTTCCAAAGCCCGTGTATCTACGGTATAATACACCCATTCGATGACATGCATCAAAGGCTAATAAAAGCAGATGCCATTCCCAAGAAACGCGGCCCCAAGACCGATGTCCTGGAGGCCCTGCTCAAACGGGTCGACGGACTCGAGAAACGTCTGCAGGACGACAGTCATCCGCTGTCGCCTGAGTCCTCGTCGTCTCCTGTCAGAGCTTTGGAGCCATCGTCCACCAACTTTGCGGCTCCCCCCCCTCCCCGGGGCTTTGCGCCCCCGACTCTCCAGTCCCAGCCCCAGTCCCAGCCTCCTTCTCAACATCACAGCCGACTCCCAGATGCCATGCTCGATGCCTACTTTGCTCGTCTGCATGGCAAGCCGTACTATATCCTGGATGAGGCGTCCACGCGCCAGCGTCACCAACTTGGCCACCTACCCGCCGCTCTGTCCATGGCCATCTATGCGTTGACATCGAAGTAAGCCCACCTCAGCTCAGCAAGAATGTTTTTGTGTTTTCTGACCGTGTTAGATACACCAACCCGACTTCCCCTCTGCCGAGTCTGGACTACGCCCGCCAGGCCAGACGTATGATCGATGTGGACAACCCCTCCATCGATAGTCTGCAGACCCTATTGATGCTTTCCCAGGCCTTCTTCGCCCACGGCTGTGGGAAGAAGGCCTACATGACGCTAGGTATTCATTCTCCCATGAGACCGACTCGGTCCAGTACTGACATCAGACAGCAAACGCCGTGGCCATGGTCGTCACCCTCGACCTGTACCGGGAAGTGCCCGCTCCAACGGCCCTATCCGCAGCGGACCGCGAAACGCGACGCCGTCTGTTCTGGACCGTGTACATCATGGACCGCTTCCTAGCGGCAGGCTCCCAGCGGCCCTGTCTGATCGCCGACCCCTCCATCGTGCTGCGTCTGCCGTCCGTCGGATCCGAGGTCGGCGAGCTGTTCGACCCCGCCGGCCCCAACATCCAGTACGTCCCAGACAGACGCAAAGGGCCCGGGCCGGCGGCCTTGCTGGCAGACATCACGCGCATCCTCGGCGTCACCCACCGCTATCTAGCGGCCGGCGGCGTCAAAGGCGACTCCCACTTCCCGTGGCACGCGCTGTCCAACCTCTCCAAGATCCGCCAGGAGCTGGACCTCTGGGCCGCAGGCACACAGGACCTTTTCGCCTCCATCGAGGCCCTCTTCGGCCACGCAGAGAGCACCACCCTGCTGCTCAGCAAGCTCATCTACCACGTCGTACACTGCCTGCTGTACCGACCCTTCCTCCCCATCGACCTCGCCGAGCTCCGCGGCACAGGCCAGCACCAGTCGTGGCAGATCGAAGCCACAACGCTGTGCTTCTCGCACGCCAACGCCATCGCCGAGCTCGTCGAGCTCGCCCGCCACGCGCCCCGCATCGAGTGGCCCTCTCTCATCGCCTACTGCGTCTGCACGGCCGGCACCGTCCACGTCCACGGCGTGCACTACCACGGCCGCGAGGGCGAGGTGTTTGCGTCGAGTGCGGACTTCCTCGCCCGCGAAATGCACCAGCTGGCCTGGTTGCGCCAGTCTTGGGCGGGTGTCCAGCATCATCGGGAGATGCTGCAGGCTATTTCGTCCGTGCATGCGGATTTGGTAAGGGCGCTGGCTGCGCGGCCGATTCGCTTTGCGCCGGTTTTCCATCTCGAGGACTTTTTGGATCGGTATCCGGGGTTGGTGGTGGAGAGTGGGCATGTGCGGTTGGTGGATGTTGATGAGTTGTATGTTCCTCCCTCTCTCTCTCTCTCTTTCGTCTCCTTTTCTTGCTCTACTGTATACTAACAAAAGCAGCACCCCCTTCTCCCGCCCCGACCTCCAAGATCACCGCCCCTACGGAATCCCCCCCGCAACACCAATCCTCCCCTCCCAAGGCCGCTCAAACTCAATCAGCGGCCCTCACCACCACCACCACCCCACAGCCGCAGACCTAGGCCTGGACCCCAGCAGCTCAGGACTAGGCTTCTCCTCCTCATCCGGCAGCAGCACGCCCCCAACAACAACAACATTCCTCTCCGAGGCGCCCACCCCACCCAACCAATCCCACTACGCGACCTTCCCATTCGACGCCTCCATCGCGGGGGCGCACGCGCTGACGCCTGGGGGCCAGTCCCAGGGGAGCACGACTGGGAGTGGGACTGGTACGGCGGGGGGTGATGCGGGGTCGGAGAAGGACCCGTTTTTGAGCTTGCTGGAGCAGTTGGCGGAGAATGAGCACTCGCAGGGGGGGCCTAGCGAGTTGGACTTTTTTCTGGGAGGGGAGTTGGAGAGGAGGGAAGATGCTTAAAGGCCTCTCTCTATCTAGTTGGTGGTTTTGTTGATGGTTTTGTTGATGTTGGTTGATGTTGTTGGTTGATGTTTTGATGATACCCTATACCCTTACCTTTTTGCCCTTCCCGCCCTTATCCTTACCCTGTGTCTTGCCATGAATACCCATTGTTTGGAAAAGTCGTCGTCCTTTTTTTATTTCTCTCTTCACTCTCACTCACCCACTCTATGTATATATGGGTGTATATATGGCTGTTTGTATATAGTTAGCCAGTACACGAGCGGAGTTATTGCTGAATATATGAATTATGGTACTATATTAACTACACAGTAAAAACTTCCACTGTACTTAATGCAGCAAATTCTAGTAAACATATTCTGGTTAGGAGGTAGAAGTAAAGTCTGTAGTGATGGCAGTGATACTCCACTCTTAGATAATATATACTAAACTATATAGATAAGAAGATCACCCGTACTTGAATGACATCATGATCGAACGATCATCAACATCAACCATCAACCCCGCAACACCATTCTTTATAGTGATACCATACCACGCCATACTCAATTTACCCACCTCACACAGACAATAGACAGCATACAGACAGCATACAGCTAGCCAGCCAGCCAGCCATTCATTCAAATAAACCAACAGAAAAAAAGAGAGAAAGAAAATGGAATACGAAGCCCCCCTAGACTCCCTAGCAACAGTCAACGGCTGGGCCCAAGGCTCCCCCACACGACCGTTCGTCTCTATCGTCAGTCTGTACATGACGCAGCAGATGGATCTGAAGAGTGCCGTGGAGGAAATCGTCAGTGTGTTGAATGTGAAGTATCAGTTGGGGGATATGAACATCATCGGTACCCTTCCCCCCTCCCCTTCTTACCTCTCCCAAAACCAAACCACAAACCAAATAAACTAACGACATCCATATAAACAAAACAGGCGAATACCTAACAGACCTCTGGCACACAACCCTCCACACCTCCAAAAAAACCCCCCACAAAGACCTCTCCTCCCCGCAACCCGACCAACCCACGTCCGCCCAAACCCACCTCCTCACCCTCCTCCGCACCCTCAAAATCCAGCCCCCACCCCCGCCATTCCGCAGAAACACCCCCCCGCGCCAACGCAGCCATCCGTCCTCGTCTGGGCCGACCTGCCGCTCTTCGCGCAGTCCGTGCGCGCCGCCCTCCGCGACGCACCGGGCCTAGGACGCTGCGGGTTCTCCGAGGCTGAGACGGCCGGATGGGAGAATTTCACAGCGTTCGTGGCGCTTGTTGCTAGGGATGTTTTGCCGCCTTCGCCTTTGGAGTATTCTGGGGGTGGGCGTGGGAGTGGGCGTGGGAGTGGGGGGTTGGAGGGCGTGGCGGTTAGGATGATTCGGTTGGCGTTGGAGGAGAGACATGATGGGGGGTCGTCGGTTTATGAGGATGGGACTGGGGTGGATGGTGATGCTGTTGTTGATGCGGAGATTTTGCTTGGGGGGGCGGCTTCTGCTGTTTCCCCGGGTACTGCTACTGGTGGTACTGCTGGCGGTAGTAGAAGAGCTTCGCAGGTAATCCCCACCTACGAAAGAGCGGACGAAGTCGCCAAGCTCAACGTCTACGTGGCGTGCGCTGCGCTGTGGGCGATCATCATGGGCGAGGAGCTGTGGGAGCGCAAGGGCGATAAGGTTGGCTCGGTGGTGGGGATCACGGTGACGACGGGGAACAGGAGGCAGAGTCTCTTCCGGGAGGGGATCCCGCTGCGGAGGTGGGAGATGTGGACGAATCGGTTGGAGTTTTTGAGTCGCAGGGAGGATTTGAGGATTGAGACGAGGGAATTGGCGGCTGAGGGGGCGGCTGTTATGAGGAGGGTTCTTTAATTCTTTAATTCTTTTATTTTGTTTTTGTTTTGCATTTTGTATTTTTATATGTGTATATGTATGCGTATGGTTGCATGCTGTAGTATAGTTATAGGTGATGGCGATGATATGTACATCAAGTACAGTATTCTTATTTGCACTAGTAGCTATGTTATGTATGTACTGAGAAATGATAATAGCAAAAAATAACCGTGTCATCGCTTAAGCAAGTCAATCCAGCTGGTCGATCCTCATCTTGATGTATTCGAACATGCTCAGCAAGATCATGTTGTTCACGCCCGTGCGGATCAAAATAATCGACAGTCCTTTGTACATGCTGGACTTGGCCACCGCCGCGGACGCCTCGCCCACTTCTTTGGTCTTCCCGAGTAAGACACTCTGGGCGCGCGTCTTGCGAGTGTCCAGGGGGTAGGTCTGCCTAGGTTAGTATGGAAACCATACCGCAACGGCTAGATGGGGGTGAAAGTGGAAAAAAGAACATACGCAGAACCATGGCACCGTGCTGCAGATCGCTCCGGCTATCATGGGTCCTCCGAAAGGCGAACCGTCGGTCCCAAGTTCCTTGGAGGCAATCTGCTTCACGGTCTCATACACCGAAAAGTACAGTCCCGATCCGAGAGTATCCCGCAATGCGTGGAGCTTGAAGCCCGTATACAGACCGCGGAATCCATATCGCTTGACGATCTGCCGGATCGCCTCGATCGTGTTCACCCGAGGCTTGCTCCGCAGAGAAGGATCGTTGACCGCGTCCGGGGATGCCATGGCCCGGTTGGACACCAGGACGGACGTCTGCACGACGTTCTTGGCCAGTTCAAAAGGACACGCCAGTGGGGCGGTACTCAATCCCGCCAGACACCCGGCGACGGTGAACGTCGCCATGGATGACAAGGTCGGGCTGCTGCCGGGTTGGTTATATGTGGTCAGGGGAGACACGCCGGTAATCGATTGGACCAACTCGGAAAGGCGCACTTTGGCCCAGTTATAGGTTGAGAAGTTCAAGACGCGGACGGCCGTGACACTTGCCAGAGGTGGAAGAGCTCCTGATTAAGACGGTCAGCTCTGTACCATAATCCGGACGAAGCCACCTACCAGCAACGTAGCCACGGGGTCCTTCAGTCCGCCAGATGTAGCGAGCGCACGTAAAAACATTGTGGAAGTTGTGACTGCATCGACGTTAGCGGCTGGTCTACCCGTCCATCTCCTTCGCCGTACGTACGTCTGCATACGGGTCTTGACATTCTCTAAAGGCGTCTGTCAAAATGATCAGCCAGCATCCAATGCCCATCGCAATTTCCACGCACCACAGCCAGAGTGGCGCAAACGGTCGATGTTCCGGAAGCAACCTGGGTCTTGTAATCTTTCAAGAATTTGTTTCGAGTCTTCTCGTTCGTGAGCCAGGTGCCGCCGTTAGGCATGTTGAAAGGTTTAGAGGGTGGTGAAGAAGGAGAGGAAAGCGGTGCATGTTCAGTGTGTCTGTCAAGAGTCATCCCTGGAGGTATCCCATTTGGGGCGAAGCAGGATGATGTGGTGAGGGGTGTCAAGTCGTCGTCGTCGAGTCGTCGCGAATTACAATCAAACACGCAGTAGGCTGGGGAACCCTATGGAACGCAAAGCGGTCTCTCAACGTGCGAGCAGACCGTTCGGCGTCCCACAATTGCCCATTAAAACCGGCTGTCACAGCCCTAGGGATTTTGTCGGCCTGATATAAAGAGAGAAAAGGTGGTCGGTTTGCAGGAGAGGTGGGATGGATCGATCAACCAAGAGGCGATGTTTGCCGAGCGGCCTCTACTTGTGAGAGGCCGGGGGGCGACGGGTCCTCGTTCGGACGATGACGATATCTCTATGATTCAGACGGCTATCGAAGCGCCTGTACTGTTTGGCGAGGATAAAGTAAATCTCACAGTGATCTAGGAGTTCGTTACTGCCTGTCGACCGATATCCTGTCAGTTATTCGGTCGACTCTTGGTGTTTTCTTTTCTTTCTTTTTTCTCTTCTGCCTTCTTCCTTATACAGTTGATTAAACAGTTTGTGAAGAAATGGAAGGTCAGACAAGAGGGAGACAAACATACCTCCAAGAGTGTAAGTTGAGGGAGTACGTGGGGAAAGAGGAAGTGAAATAAGAGAGAGAGAGAGAGAGAGAGAGCGAGAGAACCCCACGGTGGGAAAAGAAGGAGAAAGTGATCACCCAAGGTCGAGCATCACCAGTCAAGGGTCCAATCGCAAGAAGCCCATTCGCACCGCGACAAGAACCACCCCGTTGGTTTCTGCCAAAGAAATGAAAGGATCAGGCAGGCATGTGGGCCGATTTGCTTCTCAAGCTCGAACCAGTTTAGGCCTTTCTGTCCAATGACGTCGTCGTGAGGCATCCAGTGCGACCGCGACTGAATCTCCACTTTGCTTGACATGGTCTTTTTGTCGATCGATGCAAGCTGTTGGCAAGAATTAGAAGAGGGGAATACAGTACCATGTCCTCTGTGCCTTTGACAGATCAAATGATGGTCTTACTAACTACTGAATAACCTCGTTTTCAGGCATTATCCAAGACCGCATCATCATCATCATCATCATGAACCTCAAATCCCATCGGAGTGAATCCATCCGGCGGTGGTCGTACCCGCCGTCTAATACCACAGATTCATCTCTTCCTCTACCTCTGATCATCCTTTAGAGCGACAGGGAGTGGAATCTACCCCGCCTTCTCTAGTCTCGGTCGTGCGTGATTGGCACACTGTCGCATGGATGGCAGTCTCAGCTGGCCCAAAAAAGGATGGAATCCGGGGAATCTAGACTTGTCGAAACGGTACACCATCCCCTCCACGACGACAAGATCCACGGTGGATGCATGACTTGACATCCGAGAACAAGAGAGACAAAGCGTCCATGGGTTTTCGCACTGGGACGGTGGATGGTGTCGTAATCGGTGGGTTGGTCCAACCTTCCCAAGTTCCCTCGACAGACGATAAAACCATAGTTCGATCGGGCGGGGCATGATCATTTGGTGGATTTACTTAAGCGCACAATTGAGTTCATCCAAACCGAAGCTCTTATAACCACGACCACGAACTGTCCACCATACAATTAGCTGCCTAAGGCACTGATATCAAGACGACTAACTATGGCCGGAGATGGAGAAGATTCAGTCTACTGACCATAAGCTGGAATGTTGAGCGACTATAACGATTCAGGACAGCATCGTGTGGTCCTCAACTCCACCGAATACCCGTCCTCGGACCCTGGCAGGGATCGTCTTCACGTGTCGACAGGACTTACCGATGGACTATGCAAGACCTGGCGATACCTGGGCTCAAAGTATAGATTTATTATGTTATGACTACTGATCAAACCGACAGATGCGAATGGCACTGACTAATATTCGGATGGATCTTATTTGTGATCATCCTCATCAGAAGAACCAGCGTGGATACTAACTGCAGTGGTGTTTTCCTCGACCTCGGGACCTCGGTCGCGCGGCTGCGATCTTTTCTCCGCTCCCCGCAAGAGCTCGAGTTTCGCGGTCTTTCCCCAGTTTCTCCTTCTCCTATACCCATTTGCGCATTGTTCCTCTTGATATATTAATCTGTACAACCTTCTGCATTTTTTTGATACTTTCTGAAAGATCGGTTGACCCTTTGTTTGATACCTCTCCTCCCATCCAACGAAAACTTCTCACCCCCTCATTTCCCCTCTTTTTTTCCTCCCACAGTTACTACCTGCACAATGGTCAAGCAAGCTGGTCCCGCCTACGTCTTGGGCGTGGGCATGACCAAGTTCATCAAGCCCCGTGGCAAGGTCGATTACCATGAGCTCGGTTTCGAGGCCGGTGTCAAGGCCATGCTCGATGCCCAGATCACCTACGACGATGTCGAACAGGGCGTCGCTTGCTACGTCTACGGCGACAGCACCTGCGGTCAACGCGTCTTCTACCAGTTCGGTCTGACCAACATCCCCATCTACAATGTCAACAACAACTGCTCCACCGGTTCCACCGGTCTGGCCATGGCCCGCACCCTGGTCTCCCACGGTGCCGCCGACTGTGTTATGGCCGTTGGCTTCGAGAAGATGAGCCCCGGCAGTCTGCAGTCCGTCTACAACGACCGCGAGAACCCCACGGGTCTGTTGGGCATGATGATGGCGGAGACCCGCGGGATCACCAACGCTCCGGGAGCCGCCCAGATGTTCGGTAACGCCGGCCGCGAGTACAAGGAGAAGTATGTTTCTTTGTTTCTCCTTTCAACCCTTCCACTATGTCCTTGGATGCCCAGCTAACGAAAACAGGTTCGGTGCCAAGAACGAGGATTTCGCCGAGATCGCCCGCGTCAACCACGAGCACTCCAAGCGCAACCCCTACTCGCAGTTCCAGACCGAATACACCCTCGAGCAGGTTCTCAACGCCCCCATGATCCACGAGCCCCTCACCAAGCTCCAATGCTGCCCCACCTCGGACGGCGCCGCCGCCGCCGTGGTCGTCTCGCAGGAATTCCTCGACGCCCGCCCCCACCTCAAGGACCAGGCCATCCTGATCGCCGGCCAGCAGTTGGCCACCGACAACACCTCCATCTACAGCAAGAGCTCGATCGACCTGATGGGCTTCGGCATGTCCCGCTACGCCTGCCGCGAGGCCGCCAAGCAGGCCGGCGTCAACATCAAGGACATCAAGGTCTGCGAGCTGCACGACTGCTTCTCCGCCAACGAGATGATCACCATCGACGCCCTCGAGCTGTGCGAGCCCGGCAAGGCGCACGAGATGGTGCGCAAGGGCGACATCACCTACGGCGGCCGCATGGTCATCAACCCCTCGGGCGGTCTCATCTCCAAGGGTCACCCGCTGGGCGCCACCGGTCTGGCCCAGTGTGCCGAGCTGGTGTGGCACCTGCGCGGCTGGGCCAACAACCGTCTGATGGACGGGACCAGCTCCGCCCTGCAGCACAACCTCGGCCTGGGCGGCGCCGTCGTCTGCACCGTGTACAAGCGCGCCGACGGCAAGGTCGCCGCGGCCGTTCCCGACGCCGTCGTGGGCAAGGTCAACGGCCTCGGATACAACCCGGCCGTCGAGGCCAAGGGCTTCACGGCCGCGCAGGCCAAGGCGGTGCTGAGCAAGAAGAACAGCTCGGCGTGGGCGCTGTCCGACACGCAGGAGCGGGTTATCGCCCGGTTTTAAACTGTGGTCATCTTGTAAATTTTAATTCTTCCATGATTATTGAATATAGCGAATCAATTCCATCAGTCAATATACACATAATACATAAATCAAGAGGGGATAAGATTGAAAATAAACAAATCAGTAAGAGCAGTAAGAGCAGGACTGCGAGTGATCGGCGCGATATTGGCCCGGCTTACCTAAGCACACACCAGCGGCCAAATAAAACTCGAGCGAAATTCCGCCCGCGTTTTCTCTTCTTCTTTCCTCCTTTAACGGTCTCCAACATACCCTTGCTGACGGAAGCCTTTCAAAGCTCATGCCGTTGGGAAATTTTAGCTTGGGACCGAGAAGGATTATCTCTGCTCTTCTAATCCCGATGCCTGCCACTGTGAGGTAGTTGGGTTCGCTTTGAGCAAACAGCACTTCTTGAAAGATTTTATTTGGTCTCGCGACTGGCTGGCATGCCAGTTGCCTTGGATATGATCCGATGAGACGGTGGATTCTTCGGAATGAGCCCTGGTGGCGTTGTTGACTGGGGAAGAAAATGGTCTTCACCTGGTCTTCTTTCATTTTCATTCTGTTGAAACAGATATTGCTCGCCTACTAATCATCCACAGGATCCTTTACTAGGATCCTTCACTAACACCAGTGACAGTATAGTAATCATGCTCGGCATTTTCGAAGTCTCGTCAGTCACTACTTTATGATATTCGAGGTCAAAAATATTGCCAATATCAAACCTTTGGACTTTGTCCTATTTCTCCCTCGTGTTGCGTCCGTTCCTCTGATGGGCCGGTACGTGTCAAAGTAGGGAGATACATTCCAGTCGTTTTAGCAGATACATACATACCAGATATTATCGTGAAGCATGCAGTCGTGCGGCATTTATCTGCGGCCTTATCGAGTTTGCATCATAATCAATAAACAAATATACATCTTCTACCAACAATGAGTTCTTTGATCCGTCCTCAATAAACGAGTAGTTCCTGACGAAGGTGGCCAGCCTCGATGGCAAATATCTCGAGTCCAACTGAGACACCTATCGTCGATCCTTGATGATACCTAGACGCAACGCAATCCGCAATCCAGGGCAAGAAGGGTCGCAGCGCCCCATACCATCCGTGATGGTCTCCCTTCTCCCTTGCTTGTAACCCACCTGTTGACTCACATGGCGCAGAACGCGTATGCCAACCATGAAAATAGGCACGAATGCTGGACCCCGAGGGCATGCGCGCGATCCTCCTTGTCTGGTGTGTGTGTAGCGTTGGTGAAGCCCTGCTGTTATAAAGAACGCTGGCATATCCAGCTCCTTTCGTAGAAGTTTGACCACATTCCCTTCTACCTGTGCTATCCATCCTCTTTCATTCATCATTTTGGTCGTCGAGATATCTGCGCTCGACGCTATCCACTCATTTATACTCGCTCTATATCCATCTACACATACAATCGTTCCTACATCAAACCACCTATCAAAACAAACAAAATGGCCCGATTCAGCACTCCTTTAGTCGGCCTTGCCCTATGCCTCTCCGTCCTAGTCACAGGCCTACCCATGGACGGACTCAACGACCCCTCCCCAGACGGCGCCATGTCTGTCGACCAGGCTTCTACGATCGCCTTCCAGTCCCTAAAGGTAAAGCAAACAGACACCCACCATCACCACCACCCCAACACATAGAACCTATAGAACCACCCACTAACACAAGACCAGTCCGCCGCCGACATGATGGGCGAAATGAACGGCCTCACCTACGACAACTCCCAAACCGACGACGACGGCAACCTCGTCCTGCCTCCTTCAGCCAGCGAGCTCGCGGCCGTTGCAGCCGCCCAGTCTGCGAAGCCTACTCCCACTGCCACCCCGACGGCTACTTCCCGCGCTGCGGCTAGTAGCACTACGCCCTCGGCGACGCCTGCGCACACTACTACCTCTATTAAGAATAATCCGCTAGGGAACTTGAAAATTCCTATTCTTGGGCCGCTGCTTGGTGGGAAGGGTCTGTGATGATTGTTTGGTTTGTTGGTTTATTGGTTTGGCTGTCAAGGTGGGTTTGTTTGCTGTTGGTGGGAGGTGTGTGCGTGGTTGGTTGGTTGGGTGTTCATGTATTTTGATGCTGTCGAGGGAGGGGGGATTGTTTTTTTCTTGCTTCTTGGCTCGTAATTGAATTGTCATTCATTAATCAACATGGATTGAGACTGTTATATCCCGAACATGGAGGTAGCTCTGTAAAACAGCCGGGGCTGATCAATGACCGCGATCACTGTGTGTCCAGTGATCTTATTCGTATTATTTACATAGCCTGTCGTACATGAAACCAGAAACGGAATCCTGGAGAAGCAACATACCCATGATATCTCTCTGATCCACCATGCGCTTATCCCAAGACCTAAGCAAGACCTAAACTCTTTGACAAGACCAAGCCACACAGGTACCAGCGAGTCGCAGACACTCTCTATTCCATTCCAGCGGTAATACAGTCAGTCAGTCCCAAGTCAACCGGTTGATTATAGATACAGTAAACCCTCTCTTGACTGACTGACTGACTGACTGACCAACTGACCCATACATTGCTCAGGATAGTGACAGGTTGACCCCCTGTGCCCCCTTGTAGAAGGTCACCCTACCTAGCAACGGAGATGTATCTCAACCCGCGTATTCGTGTCCTTAATAAGAATGATAATGAAAAGCACTCATGGATTGTCGGTCTTGTTCGCCCGCTGTTGCCCCTCGTAGAGGCCGGTGTAGTACCCGGCGTAATACCAGGACATCATAAGATTCTTTAGCCCTTCGTCTTGGACTTTTGTTTGTTAGCTTTGATGTCAAGCAGCTTGTAAAGCTAGATGTATGGCGTTACTTACCTTGTGAGAGAAGTGGATGCGGCATTGGCGTGGCCGTTGCTGGTGCCGTTGCTGCTGTTGCTGTGGGAGCACTCTGTTGCTGCTGCTGGTTCCCCCCAGCCGGTGGCGGGTTAGACGCTGCAGCAGGTCCTTCTGTAGTCTGTAATTTTGAGATAAGTATATGCAGTATGCAAATTAGATAGATAATCGAACATACCTGTGCCGCCTCAACACACTGACCTTCAGCCTCAGCACCTTCTTCTCCATCTTCTCCCTCTTCCATAGCATCAACCTGCACATTATCCCCCCGAGCCGCCTGCTCAGCATCTTCAGCCTCTCTCAGCACATCATCAACATTCTCCCCTTTAGCGTGGATGCTGTGGTAGAGCTGTTGTTGTTCATTAGTCTCTGGACGAGTAAATCACGTGCGCCATGTGAAGAGGACGGACCTTGTATTCCTCGACGGCCTCGTCCCAGCTCTGCACGAGCGCCGAGTCGTCCCAGATTTCTTCCTGTGTCAGCGCTTTGGAGGCATTCTTTGTCTTCCCCATGGCATCTAATTTAATAAATAATTCGTTCTTGTGGTTGTAGTTGTAGAAGTAATGATGGAATAGTTCCTGACTAAGTGGGTGTAATAAACATGCGGAGCTAACTGACCGCTTGGCGCTTGTTCCGTCGGGGGAAGAAAAATTGGAGGGCAGAAAAAAAAAAAAAAGTCTCCCGCATCTTTGAAAATCTAGAGCCTTTCACGTTCTAGTTTTACCACATCACAATCATAGCAATGGCTCCCGATAAGAAATTGAAGCGTAAGGGTATGTATTTCTTTTGCTTATTCCTCTTTTGACGGTCGAATGTCTGATACTGACGATTGACAGCGCCCGCCGCCGCCGTCGCGCCCGCTGCCGACTCGCCCGCGAAGAAGACCAAGAAAGCCAGCGAGACGCCCCAGGAGAAGAGCGCGCCGAAGCCCGCTGTGAAGAAGACCAAGGATACCGAGGACAAGTCTGCCGTCAAGGCGAAGAAGGCCAATGATGAGAAGCCGACGAGACAGGTCAAGCCTCGCAAGCGTGCGGCTGATTTCCTGACCGACGATGAGAGTGCGGCGGAGGAGGCTGCTCCTGTCAAGGCTAAGGCCAATGCTAAGGTCGAGGCTGAGTCGAAGAAGTCGAGCAACAAGAAGTCCAAGAAGGAGGATGGTTCCGCTGCTCCTGCCCCGAAGGCCGCTACCAAGACTGCCAGTGCTAAGGCCAGCCCCAAGGCTAGCAAGAAGGTGGAGGCCGCTGAGGAGTCCGACTCCGATGAGGATGATGTGTCTGCTGCGCCGGATGCCGCTGAGAGTGATAATGAGGATGAGGAAGATGACCAGACTGCGGCGCTTATCAGGGGCTTTGAGAGCAGCGGTGACGAGGACGAGTCTGGAGATGAGGGTTTCGACCCCAGCAAGCCCGTGCCTAAGATCCCTGACTCCAAGAAGACGAAGCGCAAGCTGTTGAAGAAGCAGAAGGAGGAGAAGAGTGGTAACTCTGAAGAGCCCGGTACCGTCTATATTGGGTGAGTCTTATCTTTTCTTCCTTTTCCTCATCTTTTCTCTCGCTTCTTTCAAGCTAATACGTGACAGTCGTATCCCCCACGGTTTCTACGAACACCAGATGCGCGCCTACTTCTCTCAATTCGGCGAAATCACCCGCCTGCGTCTCTCGCGGAACCGTCTCACCGGCCGCTCCAAGCACTACGCGTTCGTGGAGTTCAACTCGACCTCGGTCGCCAAGATCGTCGCCGGAACCATGGACAACTACCTGATGTACGGCCACATCCTGAAGTGCAAGTACGTGCCGGCCGAGCAGCTGCACCCGGAGATCTGGAAGGGCGCCAACCGCCGATTCAAGCACACCCCGTGGAACCGCATCGAGAAGAAGCGACTGGACAAGGGCAAGACGCGGGAGCAGTGGACTGAGCGCATTGAGCGCGAGCAGAAGAGACGGCTGGCCAAGGCCGAGAAGCTCAAGGCTATGGGGTACGAGTTCGACATGCCCGAGTTGATGAGCGTCGACCAGGTGCCTATTCAGGAAGAGAAGGAAGAGACCAAGGCCGTCGAGGCTGCTGAGGAGCCGGCCAAGGCCGTCGAGGAGGCTCCTGCTGCTGAGAAGGAGACCAAGGAGACCAAGGCTGATGATACCCCGAAGAAGTCTAAGAAGGAAAAGAAGCAGCCCGCTTCGGAGCAGGGCACGCCCAAGCAGAGCACTCCTAAGCAGAGCACTCCTAAGCAGGGTAAGGCTGAGCCGAAAGGCGACGTGACTCCTTCGTCTGCCAGCAAGGCGGCCAAGAAGGGTGGAAAGAAGAGCAAGGCCAAGGCGTAGATTTCTGTTTCATACTTCTTTGTTTTTCGTGCATAATGGTGTATATCTCCTAGGTCATCAGATTATTGTTCAATTTCATGCCCAACAGATTCTCTGTTATATCTATATTGTAACCCGTAGCTAAGGAAGGAGTGTACATGATCTCTTCGACGAAGCCTGTGTTGGGCTACATTAATACTTATGAACATGCATTGATACATACACAAATAGCCATTACATAATACAAACAGATATACACACACTAACCCCAACCAGCCTAGCCTCTCCACCGCCCAACCGAGCAATAAAAGCAGCTCTCGTCCCACTCGCTTCAATTTTTTTCTTCTCTTCCTCTCTCAACTCCTCGCTCGAAAGATCGCATTCAAAGCTTACACACAGAGAATCCTCGATTCTCTCTCCTCTCCACGAGGAATCCCACGCTTTGGGGAAAGTCCCCGGACACCCTACCCAACCGTTTCCTTCGGGGAACAACCGGCTAGGCAATGCGGAGACGCGCCGCCACAGAAGCAATTTGACAGCGGCTGACGGCCCTATCTCTCCCCCGGCGCTCTGCTCCACGTCCGACGCTGGTTCTTTGGACCGGTGGAAATAATGGTTGGCGTGGTAGGGTGTTGGAGGGAGGTCTTTATTGGGTTGCCTTTCGTCGAGGTTTTATAGTCATGCGATTGCCTGGTCTTTTTTTGATTTTTTCAAGAAGGACTGGGTAACTCAATGGGGCTCATTCTTGAGGCGAGGAGTTCATTCATCTTTTTCTTCTTCTTTTGAGTCTGTAGCTTATGGGAAAGCGGTGATTGGGGCCTTTCGTATTATGTACGAGGTCGTGGTTGCAGATGCCTTGTCGAAGGGGCCGGACTCCTTTTTGAACTTATATAGATGAATCCTCCCCCCCCTTCCCTTTGACACCGATATTCATGGTTCGCGTGATGATATACCAATCATAGAGTCAAGCACAGATACTCCAAAGGAGTTGGTGACGATAAACGATTGTTTCTATCTGATGAACATAACGCCTTGGATATTATTTTCCCAACTACTATAATTGATAATTATAAAATACAAACAACTGAATAGACAAGACTCCCATATGGCTTCTCTTCATGCTATCATCCTCGTATCACTGTAGTCAACATAGCAAGCATAATCATTGCGATTTCTGCGCCTTAGCCGCACCCTGCGCCGGCCCTGCCACCCCTCCCCCCTGCAAAACCACACTCGTAGCAACCTCCGCCACCGCCGAAATCACCGTCGCGCACACATTGCTCCAAACCTGGATACTGACCGACCCGAGCGGCGCCCGCGGGAACGACAGAACCCACTCCACAACGTAGGGGAACCAAGCCTGTGGCAGCGCAAACACAGGCGTCTTGGAATACCAGAATTGGAGGAAGATCTTGAGTCCGTTCGTGCTGAGCCAGCGGGCGGTTTTGACGCTCCAGTCGAAGGAGGTCTTTTGCGAGACGAGTTGCTTGTCTGTAGACCCGACCCGTTAGTTTTACTCCTTGAAGGTGTGCGCAAAGGTTCTGCCAATGTAGATGTTCGTTGGAAAAGACGTACTCAACGCTTCGTATTCCTCCATCGTCTTGTCGTGTCGTCGGCGGATCTTCGCCCACTTGGCGAATTCGTCCTGCGAGCTCGTGTTGTTCATCTCGCGCTTCAGCTGCACCGCCTCGCGCTTGAGCCGGCTCTGTTCCCGGGCATTTTTCGAGGTGGTCGTCGGGATTTTGAGGTAGAGCTGCCAGAGCTATTTGACGACATCAATTAGTGGGTTGTTGGGGCTTGGTATAAACCAGGAGGGGCTGTAGGGACACCATACCAGGTTGTCGATCGTAGCGGCTCCGATGGTGTTGATCAGGAAAATCGCGACATGGACGAAGAAGACCGTCCAGATGAGTGATAACATGGCGTGGACGTAGGGAGTTGACCGTTAGGAAGAGTTGGTGGAATGACCGCTGAGCGCGGGGATAGGAGTGATGCCCCAGGGGGATCCAGAATAGGAGAAGAGCGTTTAAGAAGAATGCCGGATTGATTGGCAAGCGGACACTGATAACCCCGATGAACAAGACGGAGAGAAGAAGCCAGAAGACAAACACAAAAACAGCCCGAAGATGAGAATGACGTTGCGCCGCTGGCCGATCTCTTTTTCCGCCCGCCGGGGGGGTTTGTCTCCGCCTGCTCTTTGTTTATCGCATCTCCACCCCTCCATAGCTGCGCCCGCCACAACGATACGGAAATATTGAAGAATTCCACAATGCCTGACAGTGGTTGATTTAGTCAATGTCGTCTCCGTACTACTGAGAACCACCAATGGCAGTCCCAGGCAATGATGCTTTCCAGGACCTCTGCCGGATCTTCTCCGCCAGAAAGGAGCGCATCCTTGAAATAGAGTTTCTCCCTCCTGCGCTGGGCCCGCTCCTTCAAGATGGTTGCTCAATAGGGATTACCAAGAAGCACGTCGTAAAGGCGTTTACCGTCGCAAGGCGCATATTTTTTCAAGCGCTGGACGCCGACAACTCGGCTTCTGCCCCTCCAAGGAAGGATGTCGATACCGATACCGATGCCAAGCTAGCTGTCTGCTCCGAGATCATCCTGCTGTATGACTGCGAGCATCTCACAGCCTGCAACTGGCGGAAGAGGCGTATACTCGCCTTGCTCCCGCCTCACGACCACGATGGCCTAGACCCTGCCCAACGGCAGGCTGTTATCCAAGCGCTGGACAACGAGCTCTCCCTGATGAAGACATATCAGTGTTCTCCGCTACCCCGACATACCAAATCCCCGACTCTGTGGCAGCATCGGCTTTGGGTTCTCGACTATAAGATGCGTGTCCAGTCCTGTGATGCTAGGACGGATGTCTTCGCGCTATTGAACACCGAACTGTCTACAGTCCTCCGCGCAGGCGAGCTTCACCCGAAAAACTACTACGCCTTTAACTATATGCGACTGTTCCTCGGCTGGTTGTCTCGAGATATGGAGGGCGGACCCGCCGTGCTGGCGCAGTCTATTCTTGAGCAGACTTTAACTTGGTGCCTGGGGCACCCTGCTGATATATCCGGCTGGGGGTTCCTGCTTTATCTACTAGAGGCCGTTCCGGACCAGGCTGTCCGTGAGGACACGGTTGACAGGGCGCTTCGGTATGCGATTGGAATCCGCTGGGAGGGGGAGAGCCTATATACGTTCGTCGACCTGGCTGTCCAGGCTTTCGCCGCCATGGATCGCGCGACTAGGATCCTGGGAATGAGCGCCACGGCTGCTGAAACTTTCAACTCGCATTTGGACCACAGACTAGCGCGTTGGAAGACCTGGCGCGATGCTGCCAAGGAAGTCTGGACTGTAAAGCCGAGAGGCGGGGGGACGGCCGACGATCCCGCATAAGACGCGCTACGATTCTTGACATGATGACCTCGGCCTGGACTCCTAAACCCTACGATCGATCCACATCCATCTTATAAACAGTTCAATTATGGTATAGCGACCGTATCTCGTCACGAATTATCTTGCCCCCGTTTCGCTCGCGGGGTGGAAAGCAACGCCACAATTAATTAACGCCTCGCTAGTGTAGATGTAGGTATAGATGTAGGTGTAGATGCCGGTATAGATGAGATGACGGTATGCAGGTCCCTCCTTATCCGACCAGAGTGTAGAGTCCCAACCGGACTGATCATTCCCAGAGCAGGGAGCGCTCGTCACGGGAACAAGCAGATACAGCGGGATACTGGAGCAAAGGCGAGGAATGGGAGGTGGGGACAGACGTCCCACCAAGACGGGGACGCGGGTTCAGTGACCGATCATTACTTGGGGGCATCGGTCTTTTTGGCATCGGCTATTCATGAAGAAGACAACGAGTTAGTCGGAAAATCCAGGAAGCCAGAAAGGGTCTTTATCGCCCAAGAGGCTGGATGAGGGGCGTACCTGCGGCCTGCTTCAAGCGCATCTTCGCGGCGTCATCCTCCTTCTTCTTCTGCAGGCTTGTGCCATCCAGGTTGGTACCGCCTTTCTAATAAGGTGTGAGCTCAAATTATCGAATAATAATGGAGAAATGGAAGAAGGGGAAAGGAGAAGGACAACTAACCTTGGAAGAATTCTTCTTCTCATTCTTCTTGCGAGCGTTCTCTCTCTGGTTACCGCGAGCCATTTTGTTTGTTTTTCTTTTCTTTTCTTTTGCTTCTTTTTCTGTCGTTGCTTTTTTGCAAAAGATGGAGGGTAGAAGTGAACTTCTTGACGGGTGTAGAGAGAAGCGCAGGCGTCAAAGAAGTAGTCTGAGGTGGGTGGAGATAACAAAGGCGTCCAAATCTTACTCGCGCCTTTTTTTTCCCTTTATTTTTTTTTTTCCCTCTTTTTTTTTTATTTATTTTTTTTCCACTCCGCATCCCGGCAAATCCTCTCCGCTTTCGCCTCCCTCGGTTTTTTACTTTACTGTTTACTAAGAATTTCTTCAGGAACGAAAGATTGATTGAATAAAAGAGATTTACTATTTTTTACGGTTTATACTTGGGTGTATGAAAAATCAACCCTGGTTTGAAAGGAGGAGTTCTATATATACCGGGCTTGAGAGGGTGGATATTTCATACGGAGTACATCGGCTTCAGTCAACCCTTATTAGAGACTAAGCAGGTACAGTGTACCCTTCACTATCAAGAGACTCTAAATGGCATCTTCTGTGCGACACGACACCTATCGCCAATGTGATTCTAGCAGATTTGGACGAAATGATCCGAGATCTTCCCCCTCCTTGACTAAATACTCGTACTAGGGCTAGCTAGCATTCGGGATCTAGATCTCTCCCAACTCGATAGATCTACAAGCTGAACGAGGGAGAAAACCACGCTGGATTGATGACTTCTAGGGCTTTTTACAGCTGTATCTCTGAGATCTATCACCCCTAGTAGTAAGGCTTTACGCGTCTTACTTGTTGGTTTGCGCGTTGCGTGGACAGTGGACAGTGGACCCTAAAAAGTTTATGGCTTCCCACCTGCGGTGCGTATACAGGGTCGTATTATCGGCTCTCGCTACATACGGCAAGGCACGAGTCAAACTATACCAGATAGTTCCATCAAACGCCAAGATACTGGGCAATAATGTGGATTGGAGCACTACGCCCCCAACGAGATTAAAGTACGTATGCCTGGAAATCATACCACACCCCGCGTCAACGCCCGAGCGACGTTGAAGCAAAATAACAGCTGAAAAGCCTGTATCGTTGCAAACCAGTCTCCGAGTAACACCCCATCACAGCTCATGACAAACTTCAACGTACTCCTTGATATGCTCGGGGAAATCCCTCTCCCACAGTTGATCACCGGTGAAATACTCGGTGGCTTTCTTGCATCGCTCCTCATTCAGGAAGCGGACAAGGCTAGGGAGAGAGCCGGCGACTGCAGACTGCGCGTGTCTGTCGACACAGTCGACGAAAGGCTGCACGGCTTCACGGTCATGGCACAGGTGCTTGTCCTGGAGCTTGTCCTGGCACTTCTCGGCAGTGTCGAACACCAGCTTGTCCAAAAAGGCAGTGAAGGCCTCTTTGGTGTCGTGGGCGTCGCAGTAGTCCGCGCCATCTTCCACCAATTCGCCGATGATATGTTCCTTGATGACGTGGTTCCACGTTTGTGGAGTGGGATGGCAGCCAGCGGCGCAGCTTTCACGCTGCAGGTGCTCAATGAATCGGCCGGGCAGCTCGGTCAATGCGCTGACGGTCGCGAGGCAGGAGATGCCCAGCTGGGCGGACGCGACGGGAATCATCGCGCTACAGACGATGCTGGCGAGCGTGGTGGAGCCGCTGAACTTCATAGTTGATATATAGATAGATGGCGTTTGAGGATTCTAGGCTGAAGTCAAATTGCAATTTAGGGTTTATTGGACGATGGGAAAGGTAGGGGAATTCATTGCCTTGGGATTCTCTTCTACTTTTTATATCTAGCCGTTAGAATCAGTCAGAGTTCGTGAACCCGGGGGGAGCTGGCCGCATGCAGCTAGGTTCATTGCAATTACCAAGTAACATTCATAACCCCTGGCTCCATGTTCAGCATGTGTTGAAGGGCAGTTTTCCATTCTTGACCGACCTATGTCAAGACATTACATCCCATTAGCAATCCGGACAAAACCCTGATCAGTAACTTTCTCACCCCTTCACCAAAGAGCCCCATCGGGACATGCCAATCAATGCAACGTCTCAATTGTCCATCGCAGTCTCCCCATCCCTCGATGGGATGCTCCATATGTGGAATGCCGTTCTGGTTGGGGTTGGGGAGAATGTGAGTTGTTGTGGGAGTGTGGCCTGTGGCGGGAGCCACCAGTATCTTTGAACCTCCCAGGCTGGTATGTGCTATGTGGCTTTGGTTGCCTTTTGTCTTTGATTATTGTAGTCTGTCAGGTTCAGGGTCGACACTGACTGTCATTGTAGTGACAAGCGGTGTCCATGAGCATAGGGTTGCGTACAGACCAGAATATAACCCATCTCTTCTTAACACCGCCCCCCTCACATAGCGCCTGCAGACCAGCTTTCCCCCCGACTTACTCGAATGCACGGGGAATGAAAACTCGCACAGGATATTGAGGCAAGATATAAAGGGAGGCTGTCCCATTCCCTTCCGTATCGTTCCCTAGGAATTTCCCAACCGACGCTCCTTTCCCTGATCACCGCGATAATGAGCTCTGTTGGCTTGGAAACCCTCGAACATCGTGGCACCAACGGTAGCCTTTCAGGACAACCGGAGCCCGGCGTCAAAGCAGGCTCAAGTGTCTGCTTGGAAGAGCCTTGCAAGCAGTCTCGAGGAGAGAATCCTTATGATCTTGACCGCGGCACTGGTCAGCACCAAGCCAATGATGAAGTTCCCAGCCAGGTACCCATCGCAATTGTTGGAATGGCCGTCCGCCTCCCCGGTGGGGTGAGGTCAACTGATAGCTTCTGGGACTTGCTGCTCAGTCAGAAGGATATCAGCCGTGAGGTCCCCCAGGACCGCTATAACATCGACGCATTCTACAGTGACACCCAACCGCGAGCTGTAAAAGCAAGACGCGGGTATTTCTTGGACCATGATATGGCCGATACGGATCCCTCCGCGTTCAACATGATGGAGAATGAAACCGGCCACTTGGACCCCCAGCAAAGGCTTCTGCTCGAGGTTGTCTGGGAGTGCATGGAGAACGCAGGTCAAGCGGACTGGCGTGGAAAAGATATCGGATGCTATGTTGGAAGCTTCAGCGAGGACTGGCTGGAGATGTCTTTTAGAGATCCGCTGTTCATGAGCCGATACCACGTCTTCGGTGCATCCGACTTTGCGCTGTCCAACCGGATCTCCTACGAGTATGACCTCAGAGGTCCCAGGTGAGTCCAAGGCCAGATCCAACCTGCTAGCGATGTAAAGCCTGACCGAAAGTCGCAGTCTCACAATCAGGACGGCCTGCTCGGCCTCCATGTCTGGACTCCATGTAGCCTGCCAGTCTGTAGCGTCCAAAGAGTGCTCCTCTGCCGTGGTCGCCGGTTCGAGCATCTTCCTGACACCGACCATGTCGAAGTGCATGTCGGAGAATATGGTGCTTGCGCCTGATGGGGCATGCAAGTCCTTTGATAGGGATGCTGATGGGTTTGCCCGCGGTGAAGCAGTCAACGCTGTCTATATCAAAAGACTGGATGATGCCGTCCGAGACGGTGACCCAATCCGTGCGGTCATCCGGGCAACGATGAACAGCTGCGATGGGCAGTCCAGCAACCTGGCCATACCCAGCGCTGATTCCCAGGAGAGTTTGATTCGAAAGGTTTATGAAAGAGCTGGCATAGCGGATCCAACCAAGACGGGGCTGTTTGAGTGCCATGGGACGGGGACTAGTGCTGGGGATCTAGCGGAGACCGAAGCCATCTCCCGTGTCTTTGGGGACAAAGGGGTTCACATTGGAGCTGTAAGTCATGAAGAGTCTTCTATATACAGCCATCTCGCGACTGACACCAGAACAGGTGAAACCAAACGTTGGACATTCCGAAGGTGCCTCTGGTCTGACCAGTGTCATCAAAAGTGTCCTTGCGCTGGAGCATCGCGTGATCCCCCCGATTGCCCGCCTCCAAAACCGTCATCCGGCCGGTAAGCTGATAGCCCACTATCAGGTCGTCCTCGTTACTGACCGTGCAATCCCAGTTCCTCTGAACCTCCGCATCGCGAAAGAGCTGACACCATGGCCCGAAGACCGCGACGAGCGTGTGAGCGTGAACAGTTTTGGCATAGGAGGCGCGAATTCTCATGTAGGCCTGGTTGACCCCTAGAATGCGAGTAATGTTGCTCACACAGACAGGTCATCCTAGAGTCAGCGCGATCCCATCTACCGAGAGTGAAAGTCCCAACAGTAGGAAGAAGACACATGTCTCCTTCTCTCGTGCCCGTCTCCGCGACAAGCGCGAATTCACTCGCAGGACAGATCCAACTCGTTAAGGATTACTGCAAGTCTCGGACAGTTGCCGCTCAAGACCTTGCCCATACGCTTGGGACCCGGCGTGACCATCATCAACATCGTGCGTTCGCTCTGATGACTGGGGAGAACAGCATATCAGAGCTTGCCGCTTTCGAATCCGGGGCTGCCTCCACCAAGCCACCGAAGCAATTGGTCTTTGTTTTCACTGGCCAAGGGGCTCAGTGGCCTGGGATGGGAAAAGAGCTTATGCCAGCGTTTGACGGTTTCCGGACAGATATTCGTCGGCTGGACAACGTTCTTCAATCGCTGCCCAATCCTCCCACTTGGAGCATGGAGGGTACGTGCAGGATTTCCACAGCTGCCATCATGACTCCCTTTCGTTTTCTAGCCTCTCTCTTCCCGCTTCTCCGCGGTCCTACCCTCTCACTGTCGTCCCTCGGTTTCTTCAGACTTGATATCATATTCTCGTGTCACAGAACTTCGCACTGACAGTCCCCAGACAAGATATGTGCCTTTGACGACGCGTCGTTGTTTGCACAGGCCGAGTTTGCCCAACCCCTTTGCGTCGCAATCCAGATCGGGTTGGTCAATCTGCTTGGATCATGGGGCGTCATTCCCACACTGGTGGTTGGTCATTCCAGCGGCGAGATTGCCGCTGCTTACGCTGCTCACTCGATCACAGCCGAGACAGCCATCACCATCGCATACTACCGGGGCCAAGCGGCAAAGTGTCACACGGAGCCGGGAGGGATGGTGGCAGTCGGGCTAGGCCGAGATGCTGTGACGCAATACTTACCTGATGGCGTCGTGGTGGCCTGTGAAAACAGCCCTCAAAGTACTGTGCTGTCCGGAGATGCAGATGCCGTCAGCCAAACGATCCGCCTTCTCGACGACGAGCAGCCAGAGATATTGACAACTCGTCTAGATGTGAACACAGCCTATCACTCCCGTGAGTTGTCCCATTCTCATACCTCCCGCCCCTTTGCCGTTGCTAACGCACTGTAGACCACATGGCCAAGATCGGACACATATTCGAAGAAATGATCCGCGGTCGAGCTCCAGCTTGTACACCGCAGATTCCAATGTACTCCACTGTGCTGGGTCGACCTCTCACTGAACATGATCAGTTAGACAGCAGGTATTGGAGGAACAACCTCGAACTGCCCGTCCTCTTCTCAACAACAATCAAGAAGGTGCTCAATGATCTGCAGAACCAGACTATGTGTCTCGCAGAGATAGGACCCCACTGTCCACTTGCTGGCCCTCTCCGACAGATAATCCAAGATGCAGAGGCGAGGCCTAAACCAAGCTACGTGCCCACCCTGTGCAAGAACCAGCACCAGTCAATGAACATCGTCCAATCGGCGGGACGCATGTTTCTCAACGGCATCAAGGTGTCCTTCTCTGCTCTCAATGGGCCAGGGACTGTATTGTTGGACCTACCGCCCTATCCATGGGATTATAGTAGAAAGCAGTGGGTCGAAAGCCGGGTCACAAAGGGATGGCGCATGCGTCAGCATGGCTACCATGAGCTGCTCGGATCTCGAGTCCTGGAGTCAAACGACCTGGAGCCGTCGTGGCGGAACATACTTCGACTTGAAGATAGCCCCTGGCTCTCCGATCATCAGCTCTCCGGCTGCATCGTGTATCCCAGCGCCGGGCATATCGCCGCAGTGGGCGAAGCAATCCGTCAGATATCCGGAGCCCCTCGATACATGATTCGGAACATGTTCGTCAAGAAAGCGCTGATCTTGGACGCGCAGGATGACGTAGAGCTGATGACAAGCCTGCGTCCGGTGACGCTGACCGACGTGCTGGACTCAGACTGGTATCAGTTTACCGTTTACTCATACAACGGCACGGAATGGCACAAGCACTGCACTGGGCAAGTCACCGCAGTGCATGATCCTGTGCCGGCCGGCGAGCCGGCCCCGCCATTCTTGCGCCCCGTCGATATGGGTCTGCAATACCGCTCCTTACGTGAGCTGGGGCTCGATTACGGACCGCATTTCCAGGGCCTTGACGGCGTCACGGCCGACCCTATCTCTCACACAGCGCGAGGGAGAATCACCGCCCAAGAGCCTTTGGAACAAATCGATGCTTATTCGGTCCACCCTACTATCATCGATAAAGGATTGCAGTTGATGAGCGTAGCGGCCACGCGAGGACTCGCTCGACACCTGGATCAGGTCGCGATTCCAGTCTTCCTTGACAAGGTCTACTGCGGTTGCGGGGACCCCGGGGAACTGCGCGCGCAGGCAGTGTGTCGGACGGCTGCGCAAGGCAATTTCGTGGGGGACAGTCTTGTCGTCGGAGCCACGGAGGTGACTCTGGATATCCAGGGCGTCAAAGCTTTCGGTGTGGAGGCTGACGATCATGACAATGGCTCGAATGGCCGCCTGCGATCCGCTCGAGTTGACTGGCAGCCGGATATCGAGTTTGTCTCATCGCTGGCTGACCTGTTGCCTCCGGCTTCCCCGCGAATGGAAGCCGAGCTCCACATGATAGAGCAGATTTGTACGTTACAAATCATGATAACGTACCGCTCGATCCAGAACATCACCCCAACGGCTCCCTACCTCCTGAAATACAAGCAATGGCTAGCGCAGTGCTTGGAGAAATTCCAGCATGGCAAGCATGCTCTAGTGCCGGAGACTCGGGAGTGGATGGCAATGGATTCGGAGCAACAAGAATCGCTGCATGCGTCTCTATCAAGTCGGGCGCAAAAGGCCTTTCAAAGTGAGGTTTTCACAATCATGCATCGTTTCTTCAACCGCATCACAGCAAGTGTGGAAGATATCTTCCGCGGGAAAGTATCCATGGTTGAAACCATAATGGCCAACAATGACCTTGAGCTGTTCTACAATATTATATCGCATCCATCCCATTACAGGCCTTTCCTTTGCGATCTTGGACGCTCGCGACCACACATGCGCGTCCTCGAAATAGGCGCAGGGACTGGTGGTATGACAGCGTCAACTCTTGAATGTTTGGAGACTGCGGACGGTGCTAAGATGTTTTCCGAATACGTCTTTACCGATATCTCACCGGGGTTCTTCTCCGCCGGACGGGAGCGATTCAAGAATATTCCGAGAATGACATTTAGGGCCCTTGATATCACCCGCGACCCCGTCGAGCAGGGCTTCAGCGCGGCCTCTTTCGATCTGATTGTCTGCTCCAACGTATAGTCGTCTTAGCCTTGATTAGACACGCAGATCTAACCGCCTCCAGGTACTGCACGCCACTCCGAGATTACAAACAACCCTGTCCAATGTTCGTCAGTTGTTGGTCCCGGGGGGTTATCTATTCTTGCAGGAACTGTGTCCAGGTAGGTTCTTGACCCTCAAGGCGCTGCCAACATGGAGCTGACCAATATCCGAAGAAACATCCTTGATCGATGGCATCATGGTAAGTGTGTCCCCGGCAAGAAGTAAATTAATACTAAACAAGAAAAATTTAGGGCTTGCTAGAAGGCTGGTGGGTCGGTGAAAAGGAAGGCCGTGTGGACCATCCATACATCTCCCCCTCCAGGTGGGATGAGGAGCTACGAATGGCCGGCTTTACTGGCGCCGAGGCTATGGCGTATGATAACACGCAGCCGTACCAGTTCAACGCCAACATCATATCGCGACTCGCTTCGGACGAGCCCACTGGAGAGCACATCAGCCTTCTGCATGACGGACCTATCACAGAATCGGCTCGGTCTATCGAGAATGTGTTCCTGCAACAAGGATACTCGGTGGACTGGTGTACTTTGGAGTCCCCGGCCTGCGGGAATATCGTGTCGCTGCTTGACCTAGACTTCCCGTTCTTTGATGGCATTTCGCAGCGTTCCTTCAATCTCTTTCGGGACTTCATCAGCCGGGCAGCACCTAAAACTATACTGTGGGTGACACGGCGCACCCAGATGGAGTGTGAAGATCCTCGGTGGGGCCAAACCCTCGCCGTGGCCCGTTCAATTCGATTGGAATCATCCATCCCGTTTGCAACCGTCGAGATGGATCCACCGAGCCAACCGCCGTCACATCTTCTCGTTAAGGTGTACCAAAAGTTTCAGTCGCGCCTCTCGTCTGGGTCGGAGCCAGATTACGAATACTCCATACAAGGTGACTCTGTCTACACATGTCGGTATCAAATCGCGGACCTGTCGGAGCGAGCGGCCACACTCAGGTGCCCCAGTGTCGCAAAGAGGCTGTCTATTGGAAATACAGGCTTGTTGGACACCCTACATTGGGTGCAGGATGAGCCTCGGCTACCAGGCCCCGGCGAAGTTGAGATTGAGGTGCAATACGTCGCCCTGAACTTCAAGGTATGCTACGCCAGGAACCCCAGAGTTGATTTTCGACTGGCTAACACAGCCGACCAACCGTTCAGGACATGATGGTTGCCATGGGGTTTGTCGGGCAGAAAGACGATCTGGGCTATGAAGCTTCTGGGATCGTCCGTAGAGTTGGCCCTGGTCCGCACGCTCAGGTCCTTCGTGTCGGTGATCGGGTTTCCGCTGTCGGGGACTCGGTGCTCCGTACAACGGTAGTAATTAGGAGCATCCAATGTTTCAAAATTCCCGCAAGGCTATCCCTGGATAGTGCAGTGACCATACCATGCGTATACGCGACGGCCGTATACTGCCTCTTGACCCTTGGACGTTTGGAAAGTGGACAGGTACGCTCCCCCTTTGCTTGGCGGGATCCGGTGTTCACACAGCTGAGCTGACCATGCGCAGTCCGTCCTAGTACATTCAGCATGCGGTGGAGTGGGACTGGCGGCGATTCAAGTCTGTCAAATGATGGGTGCAGAGGTAAGTTATGCGTCTGAGCCTATATACCTAGTACACGCACGGACTTACGCATCAAGATCTTCGCCACTGTCGGAAGTGAGGTCAAGGCCCAGTATCTTGTCGACAACCACCATATTCCGCGAGATCGAATCTTCAACTCCAGGAATCCTAGTTTCAAGGAAGATGTCCTCCGGGTGACAGGGGGCCGTGGCGTTGATACCGTGCTAAACTCCCTCTCTGGAGAATGCCTGCATGCGTCGTGGGAGTGCGTCGCGGAGTTCGGGACTATGATTGAAATCGGTAAGCGAGACATGATGGGGCATGGGACATTGAGGATGGATCACTTCCAGGGTAATCGCTCTTTCGTCGGCTTTGATCTGCACCACCTGGGCCTGCAAAGTGCAGAAAAATTCCACCGGTGAGCTGTTCCAGGTATACCTCTTCGCTCTACTGCAAAACTCTGACAACCTGTATCAGTACCATGCAACAAGTCCTCGGATATATCGAGCGAGGACTGATCAAGCCTATCGAGCCGAAGACTATTTTCGAGGCCCACGAGGTGGAGGTCGCGTTCAGGTACATGCAGACCGGTGAGCATATGGGCAAGATCCTCATCCGATTTCCCGAGGACCCGGGCCGGCTTCCATTATCCAGGGGCGAGGACCGCCTTTCGCTCTCACCCGAGGTATCGTATCTCCTGATTGGGGGGCTAGGGGGGCTTGGTCAGGCTGTATCCCGGTGGATGGTTGAGTGCGGAGCACGAAGCTTAGTGTTTCTTTCTCGGTCTGCCGGTCAGTCCGCCGAAATTGACGTTTTCCGTCGCGAGCTCAAGGCCATGGGGTGCTCGATCACCGCGGTGCCCGGGGATGTTGCCGATCCTGACGACGTCAGGCGGGCCCTCGACGCATGTCCGCAACCTGTCGCGGGGGTGATACAGATGGCGATGGTTCTGAAGGTAGGAGACATTTGTATCACAACCGAGATGGTGTCTTGAGTATTACTGACGCTATGACACAGGATCAAACGCTTGACAAGATGACGTACGATGAATGGATGAGTGCCATCTCGCCCAAGGTCGAAGGCACCTGGAATTTGTATCGCGCTCTGCAGGAACACCAACTGGATTTCTTCGTGTTGTTCGGGTCCCTGGTCGGCCACTTGGCCAACGTGGGGCAAGCCAACTATGGCGCGGCCAATTGCTTCCATGGGGCCTTCGCTAGATACAGCCGAGCTCGGGGGTTCCCTAGCGCGGTGCTCGACTTGGGTGTCGTGAAGGACATCGGGTATGTCAGTGGCCGGCCGGACCTCCTGCAGCGGTGCGTGGACGCTTCGATGGACCCCCTCGGGGAAGGACAGCTTGTTCGTGCCTTGCAGGCTGCTATCGTTCAGGCGCGAACCCCCGTCCGCTCAGAACAAAGCGAGGACTTCAGTTCTGTGATCGTTGGCCTGCAGCAACTGACCAACGCGGATTTGCGAGCCACATACCAGAGTGAACTCCGCCTTGCGCTCTTCAAGGAGGCCGACATCCGACACGAGAGTGGGGTATCATCCCAGAAGGATGTCATCAACCAATTCGCTGCCGAGGCGGAACGCGACCCATCCATCCTGCACCTTCCGGTCTCCCTGGAACTCATGACACTGGAGATTGCTCGTCTCGTCCGCGCGGGGGTCGGGGAGGAGCCCATCGAGGCGGCGGCGGAAATACCGATTGACTCGATGATGACGATCGAAATCCGGAGCTGGCTGCGGAAACGGCTTAACATCGACGTTCCAGCGATGAAGATCGCCAAGGGGAAGAATATTGGGGGGTTGAGCAAGTTTGTTCTTGAGGCAATCGATGAAAAGCTTCGTCTCAAGGGCGTTGGCACTGGGCAGATTGCTCGCGAATGATTGGACCATCGGTGCAACTCTGGTGGGATCAAGGGCAGGACACTGTCAGGCAAGCGACAACCGCCTTTGCGAGCCTTCAGTTTGGGGGGAGTGACCTTGCATGATCGAGATGGACATTATGTAACCTGTTAGGATATCATATATATCAAGCCCGACTAATATCCTTTTCCGGTATTTTGGTGCAGTGGCGGAGAATAGATGAAGCTGCACTTCAATTTCTAGTAGACTTCGTGACCACGCATGGTAGCTTAGGGGTGAAGACAGAAGATAGAGTTGGATACAGCCGTCGTTTCTGATAAGAGAAAGTGAGTAATTAAGAGGACCTATGAAGTGATATTGAGAATCAAGTATAGAGTATCGAGAGGGAATTGGAGAAGTTCAGAGAGAAGACAATAGAACGAGGAATGGATGAGACTGGAGAAGAGAAAGAGAGAGAGAGAGGGGGGGGGGAAATACTTCTATATCCAGCCTGGCACATGATGATGCTTATTCAAACAAGTATAGAGTTATATGCCTGAGGTCCTCGATCGAGTATCTTCCCGATCTTCTCACTGCATTTTTACCAGCCGACCGACTCATCTCGGTCAGAAAGTGCAATCGTCAGTAGCTTACTGTTTGCCAATAGCTTTGGTTTTTTGAACATCAGATGGTGTCCATCCCGATTGACTCGATCTTTGATTGGGCGCGTATAGCTCGCGCCTCGTGGTATCCTGCAAAGATGGGTTCATGCATCTCAGGCGCTTAGCTTGAGATTTTTGGGTATTCGCGTGGAGAAAAAGCATTTTAACAGGTGAGATGGTTTGAATAGGACATAAGAGTGAATGATAGAGAAGAAAAAGAAAAGAAGGGGAAGAAGAAGCGCTCAGATACTGCAAGGTAATGCCCGGCGGTTATCGCAAAGACTAATGCACCTCGTCTCGACCCATCTAAACAAGAGAGCTAATTAAAGACATTAGGCGCTTCCTGGAGTCTTCAGGAGCAGACAGCGGCTGGCGAGACAATGATGAAGAGAATCCCCATCCAATGGGTTGAAGATTGTAAACAATGGCCGTTTCAGACCTTCCCAAGAGGTTGTATTGTCGGCCAGTCCTTCTATTTCCCAGGAGCCCTAAGGATACCACCTGCAGTCAAGCAGTCCTGTCGGCGGTTACAATGAATGCGATCAATCGTTGTACCTGGTTATTGACTTGTTTCAACACCCGATTTCGGTCTATTGTTGCTGGTCTTTGTCTGTTTGTCTGCTGATTGATGGGCGGGTTCTGGGGGGAAGGCTAATTGATAATGACCTTGGTCGCGTCCTTTCTTCGGTCTGCTTTCTACTGACTTTGTTCTTTCTTCATTATCCTGGCTGGTCTTGTTCTTCTTTTTCTCTTCTTCACCTGTTCCTTCTTTCCTTGTGTGCATTGATATTGTGATCCGCTGCAGGCCAGCCTTAGCACTTTCTCTCGTTTGCTTCTGTGTCTTGACCTGGCAGTCATTCTACCACCACACGCATTTCTCGATCAGATTTGATCAAATAACTTCATCTGTACTCGAATTCGAGTTTATTATAGCTTGCGCTCACAATGGGCTCCCTGAAAGAATCTCTGGCTGGTCCAGGTTTTATAATCCTCAACGCGATCCGCGTTCTCAACATCATCGCCTTGCTGGATATCATCGCTGCCAGTGTGGTGATGCTCATCAAGATCTCGATGCTGAGCAGTTTTTTTTTCTTCGAGGCAGTTTCTCATGTCATCGCTGCTGGTATCAGCAGTACGTATCCTTTTCCCCCCTCCTGTTTTGCGCATCGCTGATTAGATAGTATTTCTCATCGTCTCGGAACTCCCCTTCTTCCGTGGCTACTTTGACCGGAACTGGCAGCTTCTCAGTCAGGATTCCGGGTTTATTACCCTCGCGCTGGCGATGCTCATGCTCGGGGTTGGTGTCTTGGGCGACCTCAACACGGAAGCGACTAGTCAGGAGTCCTTAGGTCTTGCGTTTTGGAGGATTGTCCTCTCGGCGGGGATTTTGGCTATGGTGATGAGCGTGGTGAATCTAGCGTCGGTACGTGTACCCTCTATAAGATGATACACTACACCAGAAAGAGAGAGAGAGAGACTAACTGGCTATAGAGTTTCATCTTCGCAGACCGTGAACTAGGAGTCAGCGCACGCCACGTGCGAGTCTACGGAGCCGTCGCGCCCCAGAAAGTGATCTCCCGGACCAGCAGCCAGCGCTCCTTTCAGCTCAGCACCAAACGCGAGGAGACGCTCCCGACGTACACGTCGTCTCCGATACGGCGGCAAAGTACACTCTCTCGATTTCCTGTCAAGATCTCGGGACCGCTCAATCCGAACGACGCGGCTTCGTCGATCTACTCGAGGGATCCATCGGGTGTGACTGCCCCTAACCCAGCGCATCATCCTGCACTGCAGTCGGGGCATATCTGATGGACCTTAGCCCAGGCTGGTGGACGTTTTCGATTACCTGCGGGAATTGGGTGGATGTGGTTAATTGGCGTGAGTGTAGTTGGCGTTAGTTATGGAGGGAAAATTAGCGAAGATACCTTCTCCGTTTTATTGACGTTTGTTTTATTATTTTTGTTTCTATACCATCTTGATTCAGTCACAGTTTGACGCATTATTTAAATGTCATAGCAATGAGATATACTTCTGCGGGCTATAATAGGCTAGATCGATCTTGGCGGGCGTGGTAGGTTGAAGGTACCCCCGACTCATTGAAGTAGCCAACTATTCTGTAAGCTTCATTCTTCCCAAACAGTCCCGAATAATGGCGGAATTGGGGATCTCGTTCCAGACGTATGTTTTTCCACATTCCCCTCACTGTCTCCTTTCCCCTATCTCACTAACCAAACACAGCATCAAGTCGCTCTTGATCTTCTTCGCGCCCGTCATCATCCCTCGCCTTCTGAACTTCTACCGAACCGCCCGAGTCCTCATCACCCAACGTCCCCCACCGCGACCCCTCCCCACCAAAGCATCTCAAGCCCTCAATGTCCTCTTCTTCGCCATCGCCCTCTTCCTCGCCCTCAGCCTACCATGGAACCCGCACGCGCCGGAATCGAACATCTTCGCCCTGACGCGATCGCGCATCAACACCCCGACCGACGTCCTCTTCAGCCGTCTCACGCGCCACCGCGCCGGCAACACCCTCACAGCCGCCGATGAACTCCTCCGCAGCAAGCTCATCTCGCTGGGCGCACGCAAGGCCTACCTCCGATACGGACCGGACACCCTCACCGGATGCCAATTCTGCTCGCTCGACAACCTCCACACCCACCTCCTCTACTACCTCCCCTTCAACACGCTCATCCCGCACCTCTTCCACATGGCCATCATCGGGCTCGCGACGTCCGCCCCACTCGCCGGCCGACACGCCGCCCGGTGGCGCAACAAGTTCACACTGGCGGGGCTCGCCCTCGCAGCGATCGACTGCTACATCGTGGCTACCTACGACCCCATCCAGTCCGGGTCGGCGGCCGTGCGCGCGGGCATGAGCACACCGACGAGCCTGTACGACCGCATCACGGTGTTACGGCCGCTGGCGTTCGCCGTCTTCGACGCGGCGTGTGCAGCGGTTATCTACCTGACCGCGACGAACCGGTTCTTCTTCACGCCGCCGTCGCAGGCGGACGCGGTCGACCAGCTGGTGTCGCAGGCGCTGTCGGCGACGGGGGATGCCCGCGCCAAGCTACATGCGAGCAGTGTGACGCGCAATGCGGTGGTGCGGGACAAGCAGCTGAAGGAGCGGGACGACGCTTACTGGCGGACGGTGGTGGCGATGAGCGGGGGTGGAGTGGGGGAGGGGGATGGGGAAGGAGTTGGGAATGGGGAGGGCCAGACGGTGGTGCCGACCAGTATCTGGGAAGAAGAAGAAGTGGTGCGGGCCATGTCGCGGGCGATGAGTGGACACGGCGGAGTGGACTTGGCCCAACTGGGGGTCAATGCGGCGGAATATGTCGATGGGGTGACGGGGGGGTTGGATCGATGATACATTCTCCGTATAGGAAGAAGTCGTAGTCAATTGAATTGTGATAGATATTGTATAGTCTCCTACCATTTTGATTAGTATTATCGAGAAAGATAGTGGTGGAAACGTATGATCCCGATAGAAAACGATAGCGGGACCAGATCCGGAGAAGATCACCGATCAGTACTTTTTTTTTTTACCGAGTTGAAACCTGTCTGGATGTATCTGGAGTCGGACTGAGTACTGACTAGAGGACACTGTGTTGCTGGATGGATGTTTCGAATATGCCGATCCCCGGGTTCTACATGGGATATTGAGCGGTGACAGAGATACCTGGAAAGTACAAAGACATAGTATGGCAGAGCCATGGTTGGCAAAGTACCACGTACGTAACTGCGTAACGGTGGGCCATGCTTCTTCTGGTTGAAACGAATCCAGATCCTCTCATCTCCTTTTTCCTCTTTTTTTTCTACTTTTTACCTTTATTTTCTGTTATTTCATTCTTTATATCTTGAAAGAATATTATATAAAGATATAAATCAATATATACAAGTATATACTAGATAATAAGAAGTAAATAAATAATAAGAAGTAAATAATAGTAAATAAATATTGGAAAAGGTACCCGCACCCGCGGACCATCGTTAATAACAACAACTTCTCTGCACCTCAACATTTCTCTCCTTCTTCTTCCTCCTTCAATCTCTCCTCAATCTCGCTCCTCTAACTCTCTCCTTTCTCTTCTCCTTCCTTACTCCCTTCTTATCTACTTCTCTCCCCTCTGACACCCCCCTCCCCCCCCCCCCCCCCCCCCCGTATCCACCGGATCCACCGTCCTTAAACTCATCCCCCCTCGGTGTTTTTTTCTTCCTTCTCTATCCACCTCCCCTCCCTGCGCAACAATCTCGCTGTCCCTCTTCTGGTCGGTGCTCTAGGATCCCAGTGTCCTCCTGCACACTATCAATCCCATCATCTTCTGCCTCCCATCATGGCTCTCGAGACTGCCTCCCAACCGCCATCGGTCTCCGATCTCAATGCCTGCGTTTCTCCCGGCCACCGACCCCCGGTAAAAGCTCGAGAGACGACCTTCCGACAATGGGTCGTCGCCAACCAAATCGGTATGCACGTTCCCTCTTCAATTGCCTGTGTGGCGGTCGAGTCGGCGTCGAGCCAATCCGCCCTTCCTGCGCGGGCTGCTGCAGGGAAACCTTCCCCCAATCCCCCAATAGCAATTTACCATTGAGAGATTGCCTAGGCTAATTGGTCAATGCTATCTCACGCAGGGATTTCCTTGACGATCCTCTCCATGCTTCTGGCCGTGCACCAGCTGTACCCGTCTCTGCGGCCCTACACCACGCCCTTCTTCCAGCTGTCATACTACCGCCCTGACCAGGGGGACTACATCCAGGGCTTGGATGACATTTACTTCGTCGCTAGTTCCGCCATCGCTTTCACGGCCATCCGCGCCATCACCATCGATTGGATCCTGCAACCGCTCGCCCGCCATGCCGGATTGAAACCCAAGGCTGCCCTTCGACTTGCCGAGCAGGGATGGCAGTGCGTCTACTATGGGTTCTTCTGGTGCTTTGGAATGGTTCGTTGGACTTGTTTTCTACTTCCCCTTTGAAACTGCCTGGCTAACGCTGGTTAGTACATTTGGATCAATGCTCCCTTCTGGAAAGGGTTTGGCTCCATCTGGGCGGACTGGCCCGCGCGCGGCGTGTCCGGCAACTTGAAGTGGTATCTCTTGGTGCAGCTGGCGTTTTGGCTCCAGCAGATCTTCGTCATCAATGTTGAAGAGCGCCGCAAGGATCACTATCAGATGTTCACCCACCACATCATCACGAGCACGCTCCTCGCGTCGGCCTACATCTACAGTTTCTACAACGTGTCCGTGGTGGTGCTGTGTCTGATGGACATTGTGGACCTCATGCTGCCGGTACGTTACTATAGATGCATTTCCCTAGTGGCTCCTAACTAACCCCCCGCAGACGGCCAAGATCCTCAAGTACCTCAAGTTCGAGAGGACCTGCAACATCGCATTCGGCGTCTTCATGGTCACCTGGTTGATCTCGCGCCACATCTTCTATCCCATGCTCTGCTGGTCCATCTTCAAGGAAGTGCCCGCCCAGATGGCCTACGGCTGCTACTCGGGCCAGACCGCCGACATGATCTCCGACAACGGATACCCCGACCAGTTCACCTACCTCTTCTACCCGTTCCTAAACCTCGACGGTCCCATCTGCATGAACCGCACTATCAAGTGGATCTTCCTGGGCTTCCTTCTGGCCCTCCAGCTACTGTCCATCATTTGGTTCACCATGGTTGTCCGCGTCGCCGTCGGCGTCCTCCGCACCGGCAACGCCGAGGACACGCGCAGCGATGACGAAGAGGACGCCGAGGCCGTCCGCGACAAGGAGGGAGCCACCCCCGCAACCGCCGATACCACCAACGCCGACTGGCGCCGCGCCAACGCCTCCTCCACCGCGCGACCCCGGGGCCGCGGCCGTGGCCGAGTCCGTCTGGGCGAGCAGAGTGACCGCAAGGCCTTGCTGGGCCGGATCGGCTGCGACAAACCCACTTAGACCAAGATAGCCTGGAGCTTGTTCTTTTTCTTTTTCTCCTTTTTGTTCTTTCATTTTTTTTCATCTTCATCTCCATTTCCCATCCTTCACGTCTTGTCGTTTAACGCTATCACGGATACGAGCATGGACCTTTGATGTGCGCATGTGCTGACCGACCTCTCTCCAACCGACGCAACCACGACTTTACCTACCTTACTTACCTACTACTTTATCAATTATCTTCCCAATACCACATCTGTCAGTCATATCATCTGTCAGCCGCCAGTTACCCACCCACATAACCACCAACTTGCGTTCTCGAAATTAAATCCGTTATTCATCTTCGTGTGCGTGCGCGTCTTCGTTTTTGATTGATTGATACCATGGGTTTGGTCGGTCTTTGTTTATTCTCTTTCATCTTTGTAATTTCTTTTCCTTTCGAATGGGGATGAAAAATGCGTTGTGGATTTCTTTTTCTTTTTCTTTCCTTTTTTTCCCCATCAGTATCTGATATCTCGTATCTGATATATCATCTGGTGTTATCTCGCTTTGCACGAAACGTGGATGGATGCACGGGTTACGTCTATAAGAACCACTACTACACTACACTACAGTCACAGTCAATCAGTTTGTCTATTTATTTATCTATTTATACCTGCCTTGCTTATATCTTCATTTTCGTCTTTATTTTCGTCTTTATCTTCGCACTCATCAGTCAACCTTGTTCTTCGTTAGACTCTACTCATAGCTTTTTACCATGAGGAGTCTTTGTTGTTAAAAGCTCATCATCTCATCTCATCTCATCAATCAAATACCCACTTCCGCTGCTATTCTATTCTGCATTTGGTTTGTTTAGGCTTATGTATGTTATGCTATGCGCATATATAAATATGCGTGTCCATTTATCCCATATCTAGTTCCAACCCAGTGATTGTAGGAATGATAAAAAAAAAACCCCCAAGAAAAATTGTCAATCGATGTAATAATGCAATAGATAGAATTTCCCATACTGGGTAGCTAAGGTGAAACTAGATTGTTGTTTTGTGGCCGTAAATACATAACCATAGATCGTGTGTGTCTCGCTAACTATAACGTATATAACGAATATATAACACCCCTAAACTCCATCCTGATCAGTTCCCAGAATATCATTCCGCATCTCATCCTCATCCCAGAAGTACTCCCTCGGCATCTGATTCCTCGCCCGCCGGGCGGCCAGCGCCTCCGCGTCAACGTAATCCGACCCCAGCGCGCAGTCTTGCTGCGTAGCCAGAAAGTCGATCAGCACCTCCCGGACACGGTCCCAGATCGTGCCCTGGCGTTTCCACTCCAGACGCTTGGCGACGCGCACCATGCGGGACACGGCCCAGCATCTGTCGCCGGCGTCGCCGGGGTACCCTGCGGGGTAGCCGCCGTTGTTGAGGAAGAGCCACATGATCGAGGTGATGCTGGGGTTGCTGTAGGGGTTGAGTTTTGTGATCTCTGTGTCGAGCCAGTTTATGTAGTGGTCGAAATTGGTGCTTGTTAGGTAGCTGTCGTAGAGGCCGATGGCCAGGAAGAAGAGGCAGGTCATGCAGGTGTATTCGTCGATGAAGCGGATGTCGCGGATGCCGTGGTCGTAGTCTGGGAGCATGGTGATTATGGCGTGGAGGCGTGTCCCTGGGTTGAAGCGTTTGGTGCGTGGGGTGGATTCGTCGGCCACGATGCTGCCGTGGTGGTTTAGGGCTGCCCGCTCTAGGGCTTCGAGGTGGCGGAAGAATTGGAGGAAGTCCTCGCAGGACCGGAATTGGTCGTAGGTTTCTGCGTCTTCTATGGATGTGGGATAGTGGGGGTCTGCGAGGTGGAGTTCTGAAGTCAAAAAGTCGAGTGAGGCTGGTGGCATGTCTGGAATGCTCCCTGTCCATGGCAAAGAGCTGCCCACGATCGCCTTTGGGGCGCAGCTGAAGTCAACCCTATGAAAGAGTGAGCATACTTTATGCATTGATAGTAATGTTATCCGCGGAACATACCAGTATAGAACCTTCTCCAGAAAAGGACACGATGCCCGCATGCCGCGCATCCCCCCACGATGCCTGAGCATCGAGGCTAGCCCCCTGAAGTGCATTCGCTCGATCGAGGAGTCCCTGGACCATTTCTCTTTGCTATCAACTACAGTCCCGACCATACATAGGAATCATCTTACCTCGATGACAGCCATAGTGGCTACCGCATAGATAGTCCCATCGCATTGTCCCACTGAGTCTGCCTGGATGCGCTCATTCATCAATCGCAGCGCCCGCATTTTGTGCGTCAGACTCTGAATCGACTCTGTTTTGCCTTCGACACCCGCGCGATGCTTGGACGCAATAGCAAGCATCGCCTGGAACGGGAGACCGTCGTGGAGTGCGAATTGCCGAAAGATCTCCATCATCGGGTTGTTTGGCAGCGAGTCGACAAACTTGTACATCATGGATGGGTATGTCACCACAACTTGACAATTGTAAGCTCGCAGTCAAATATACAGTGTGTCTGGAATAAATTCGAAGGCGCATGTAGTTCATCACCCACGAGAGCGATGCCAAGCCAGTAGGAGTCCAGACTTACAGTGTTGGATCAGCTGATGATCGGCGTAACAAACAGGGATCGGATAGGATCCAAAGGGATCCTGTGTACCACCTCCACCGAGACCTATCTCAGGCTCGGGACATTCTGGACTAGCCTTTGAAGACGGAGAAGGATCTCCGCGTTTGACACTATGCAATTTCGGTATTGGCATCCGAGATGGGGCCTTTCCCTTCCCCGCAGAATGGCGCCCTTGTTCGACTGAAAATTTTGTGTCAGACGGTGAAATGTTACCATCGTCGATATCTACTGTTGCCGAAGGTGATTCCGATACAAATCCATCAAGGGGCTTGCGGGAGGTCCAGCCACCGACGGGGAGACGAGAGGTCTCTAAGCGAGCGATGCTATCAATCCGTCGCTGATGCATATACTGACGCATGGCATGGCGCCGGACCTGACGCCGAGATTCATTATCGGTGACCAAGACAAATTCGAAGTTCTTGGACTGGGAGGCTTGCGAACTCGTCCGGGGCGGCTGGCTCCTGGACGGCCCTAGTGGTGGGCGTGCACGATTACGGGCGATCTGCTGCGCGTGGGACGAATCCTCTGAGAGACTAGCATCGGCCAAGCTGTGCGTGTTCCGGTCGGACTCAATATTGGGTCCGACATTTTTGTCGCCCTCCTCCCCCATCCTCTCATAGTCCGGTCTTAGCCGGCGTAAAGTCAACTCTAATTAGCTGCAGGATGCAGGGCCATTAGGGTCAGGCCCTAAGGTGGAAAACGTTCATTACACGAAGCCTATCGCGGACCAGATCAAGATAGTGTGGTCGCAACCGAGATCGCTGTCGCATCTTGTGAAGGAGTTGACGTTGGAATCCACTCCAATGCTTGTCGTCAGCCCGATTTCCCTTTTGGGTCGTCGCCCCACCCACACGTCAGGTGATCGGCATGGGGTTGGCTGCCTGAATTTAATCAGATGGTCGGTGCGCTGGATAAGGCAGCCCTTTCCAACAATAGCAGTTATCAGTCGGTTCCACCGGTCGCCCTTGTCACTGTGGTCACTGTGGTCACTGTAGGTGTGCAATGGACCTCTTGACGCTATCAGTGTGTGACGCGGGTGTGCAATAAGAAAACAAGGATTCTAGCGGAGAATCCTTTGCCCATCCACTACTATGTATTTCCCCCTTGGTGTCTCCACGTGAAACCAGTAGTCATCGTGGTAGTATAAACTCGAGGGGTTTCTAGCGGTCGACCAAAGTCTTTCGGTGGCAGTGCATAATACACGCCTCAGATCCATTCTACTGACGAGCCAGCTCAGCTGCCATTCCCTCGAAGCCTTGCTAGTGCAGCCATGATATCCTCGCTCATGCCTTCAGCTTCACCACCCCCACCCGCATGGGAGCTCTCATTGTCCTTCCTCTGGCCCTCTTCACCTGTCTTGTCCGCAAAAGTTGATTCGTCCGCATGACTTGCAACAGGCTCTGAAGCAGGAAAGCTACTTTCCCCCGGAGGCACACTGTGGCCTCCCGTGTCCCGTCCAGGAGCCACTTTCTTCTTCGCCGCCTCCGTCCGGAAATCTTCTCGTACCGCGCTTGACCATTGTCGCACCTTCTTCTCTCCCCAGCCAGGGACCGAGCTGATCTGTTCCGGCTGCGCGTTGACCGCATTCTGCAGGCTCCCGAACGTCGAGATGAGGCTCGCCGCGTCAGACTTGTTGATACTCCTAGGGGTCGTGACGAACTCAACAAGGGACTCCTTGTACGACTGAGCCTGCTGGGTGCGAATAGCCGTCGGCTGAGAGTTCTCCGACGATTTAAACAGCTCTAGGTAATGCGCGGCTTCGGGGGCAGACCAGCAGAGGACCAGCGTGAGGTTATTGATAATAGACGTTTTGGAGAGTTCCTTCAAACTGTCTTCGTGATTCGGAATGTCTACCATAACCAACATGACGCGGAGTAAGTATTTCCCTCCCAGCAGGCGGATCCGCGAGTAGATATACTCCGGGTGTAAGCGATGATACTTCAGCGACAGGAACAGCGCGCATGTCGTATTTCCGATCACGTAGTCTGCCGGGATGTCCGCGTATTCCCAGGGTAGAAGCTTCACATGGTTGAGAATAGGATTGCCCTTCTGTCTGGTCGAAACCAAGATCGCAGACGGCCCACTTCTACTTGCGATCGCCTGCGGCTTGGGCTGCTGCACCTTGGCCGGCGGTGGTCGCGAGGGAATGGAGCGTGAGGGGGAGGCTTCACCCGCTGTAGGGGAGACATTGTTGCCTTGATTATGAGCCATTGTCTCCAAAGACACAGGCAGTTTAATACGTAGCAATGAGTGATAATCTCCACCGTACTACTCCGTACGTTTGTTGCATTGAAATAGCATCATAGTCAGTCTGCCAATGGCCGGGCAATATCCCAGCCCTCACCGCCCAGACCCACTCCGCTCCAAACATGGACGCCAGGAAATTTTCTGCCGCCGATTTTGCTAAAATCCGCAGACGATAGAAAAAAAAAAGTTAAATAAAACAAGAAATAGTCACTTTTCACAATGGCAGAAAGTGACACCCTCAACCAAAACTCTAGCCTTCCTCAAGGCCAAGACATCATGGATTCTTCAAAAGACACAACAACTCAAGAGAAGGCAGTCTCGACACAGCCCAAAAGAACCCTCTTCGTCAGATCGCTTCCCGCCTCCGCGACGACAGAGAGCTTAACAGAGCACTTCTCGCAGTCCTACGTGCTCAAGCACGCCGTCGCCGTCTGCGATCGCGAAACGAAGCAGTCGAAGGGATATGGATTCGTGACGTTCGCCGATGTGGAGGACGCGAAAGCCGCGTTGGAGGAGTTGAACGGGTCTACGATGGACGGGAAAAAAATCAGAGTCGACTACGCCCAGCCGCGAGACCGGACAATCAACGAAACCGACGGCAAGAGTGCGCCGTCTTCTGCGGCGCTTGAGCTCAAGAAACAGAGGGAGGATAAGAGAACGGGTGTTCCGCCCAAGTTGATTGTGCGAAATCTTCCGTGGAGCATCAAGGAAGCGGATGATTTGGCCATTCACTTCCGCAGTTTCGGCAAGATTAAGTGGATTAACTTGCCGAAGAAGGCGGGCAAGCTTGCTGGTTTTGCGTTTGTGGTTTTGCGAGGAAAGAAGAACGCTGAGAAGGCGCTCCAGGCAGTCAACGGAAAGGAGGTCGATGGGAGAACCTTGGCTGTTGATTGGGCGGTGGAGAAGGAAGTCTGGGAGGAGACACAAAAGGACGGTGAAGACGCGGCTGAAAAGGACGGTGACGACGCCAAGTCCGACGACGTGGAGATGGCAGACGGTGATAAGGAGGACGAAGCGGACTCGGACGAAGAGTCAGCTGGTGAAGGGGAGGACTCGGACGACGCCGACGAAGGCGATCTCGACGATCTCGAGTCCCTGAACGAAATCAAAGAAGGTGGTGGGGACGAAGAGGAGCAGGAAGACGAGCGAAACGCCTCCACCATCTTCCTCCGCAACCTGCCCTTCACATGCACGGACGAGTCGCTCTACGAACACTTCAGCCAGTTCGGCCCCCTCAGATACGCGCGCATTGTGGTCGACCACGAAACCGAGCGTCCCCGCGGCACCGGGTTCGTCTGCTTCTGGAAGACCGAAGACTCCGCAGCGTGCGTGCGGGATGCCCCGAAACAGCAGGATCCCCAGGCCGCAGAGAAAGAGAAGGGGAAGAAGGCCGGCAGCGCACTGAAACACTCCGTCCTGCAGAACGAAAACGCCGACCCCAGTGGACTGTACACGATGGACGGCCGCGTACTGCAAGTCAGCCGCGCGGTGAGCAAAACGCGCGCAAACCAGCTCGAAGACGAAGGCGCCTCGAAACGATTCGCCCGCGACACCGACAAGCGCCGCCTTTACCTTCTGTCTGAGGGTACCATGTCGGGCGACGCCGCTCGTTCGCAGAAGCTTCCGCCGAGCGAGATCAAGATGAGAGAGGATAGCTCCAAGCAGCGGCAGAATCTGATCAAGCGGAACCCGTCTCTCCATCTGAGTTTGACTCGTCTCTCGGTCCGCAATCTCCCGCGTCACATCACCTCGAAGGATCTGAAACAGCTCGCCCGTCAGGCTATCCCCGGGTTTGCTGAGGATGCCAAGGCTGGTCTACGTCAGGCCCTGTCCAAGGCGGAGCTGCAGCGCCACGCGGGCGAAATGAAGGCGGCAGAGACCTTGCGAAGAAGTAAGGGTCTGGGTGTGGTCCGTCAGGCTAAGATCGTCTACGAAGGTCGCGACGGCAGCAAGATCGACGAGGGCAGTGGAGCCGGGAGAAGTCGAGGCTACGGTTTCGTGGAATACTACACCCATCGACATGCACTGATGGGTCTCCGGTGGCTCAACGGCCACGCTGTCGACGTCCCGGCGACCAATACGGAGGACGGCAAGGATAAGAAAAAGCGCCTCATCGTTGAGTTTGCCATCGAGAACGCCAACGTGGTCAAGCGCCGCAATGAGATGCAGGAGAGATCGCGCGCGCCCAAGAAGGAGAACCAGGACGGCGACGATAAGCCGAACAGGAAGGACTCGAGGGCCAGGGGACCTCGCGGGCAGAAGCCTTCCGGGCAGAAGCCTTCGGAGCAGAAGCCTTCTGGGCAGAAGCGGAAGCGGACAGGAAATGGCGGCAATGGGGAAGAGAACGGCGGAAAGGATGACGAGGAACAGAACAAGATTGCGAAGCGCAACCGGATCATTTCCAAGAAGAGGATGCAACGGAGATCGCGGAAGTGAGGGAAGTAATATGGGCAGGAAAAAGGGTACCCTTATGCATAGACATTTATCTGTAATTATTCCCCTACATGTTTAGGTCAATTGAAAAAGTGCAAGATTTACGAAAAGAAACATCATTGCCGAACAAGACTAAGATGCCGAGCAGGAATCACCTTCAGACATCAGGAGCTGTACTCGTGTGGGTATAGGGAGGGGGATAGTCAATGTGGTGTGATAGTAGTACACCTTCCGAACCAGATCAGCCTTGGGTCTTGTTTTGTTGCAGTTGTTTTTGTAGTATTTGCTGTTTTCGATCACCTAGTAGTTCGTGGCACCCTGAACCTTCCCAACGATGTTGTATCTCTTGCTGAAGAAAGTGAACCACTCATCCAGAACAGTCTTCTCCTTGTCCTCGAGGTCATACCAATCGGGCACGCAGTCTTCGGGCTTGAGGGACGAGGAGGCGAGGGCCCGCGAGGGGTCCTTTCCTGCGAACACTATAGACCAGACATTAGCATCAGAATTCCGAGAATTTATGACGAGTATAGAGCTAGGTCTTACCATGATACTGGCCAGTTGGGCTGTAGGCCGCGTTCCGGGTCACATCGAAGACAATGCCCTTGATAGCGACCAAAGTCGGGCGACTGGAGTCCGTGCCTACAATACCATCATCCATTAGTCACAATAATATCCTCGAATTGACTGAAGAAATGCGCTGTGTGCATTGTAATGTGTATATGGCGGAGAACGCACCGTCGCATTTGGCCAATTCCTCCTTGGTGATCGGGTCATCCTTGGGAGGATTGAGCTGAACGGGCTCCTTTGGCGAGAAGCGCTTGGGCTCTTCCACGTGTCCGGTCATATTGGCGAGGATTGATAGGGTAAATTGAGGTCTGGGATGAGAATGTGTAAGGGAAAGGGGTTATTATTGTGGTGACGATGGCGAAATTTCCGGCTATCAGACGCGGGGCAGGCGGGGCCGTTCGGAGGTCAACCAGCCTGTGTACCTAGGTACCCCAATGGGTAAATGAGTCGTCGATCGGATTTATTGTCCGTGTTATTGGCTGGAGCTTCACCTGTTTAGTACTTAGACAGTCAATCTCCCGTTCTTTCAATGTTTATTCATGCTGTTGAACCTTACTTTAAGAGTAGATCGATTCTATGGAATTACTGGACTGTGACTGACCTGAGAGGTGGAATTAATCGGCCTGGTCGCGTGATCATGCAGGGGATGACGTCAAGCGACCTTCGCCTTCTTCCCAATGGGCTTCAATGTCACCTTCGACTTCCATCCATCCCTCCGAAAGCAGAGTATGCAATGCAACGTTGGTTTCTGAAATCTCACATCTCCTGAGAGGAAGCACCCAGATCCAGGCTTATTATTGATTCTTCTATTAAATCTCTCTTGAGTCAGCTTTGAATCTACCGGATTGTGTTACAAGAGCAGGAAGGCCCCTCACATCTCCGTCCTCCGCTATGTCTTCAAGACCGGACAGCCAGAGATCACTGTCGCACATGGCAGATACTATCCCGCAGGATCTTACGCCTGATAATCAACAGCGTCGCAGAACTAGCTCTGTCGACTCGGACATCTCACATTACCTCCACTATGAAGACAACGATAGTTTCTTTCCACCGAGCGTCTTGGGAGAGAAACCTCCCGCCTATCCACGCAGAGATCCGGATCGGTCTGTGAGCGAACGGTCAGGATCAGACTGAGGAAGGAATCATGGGTCTTGTTGCTGGAAAGGTCAAGATTGTTCCATCAACTATAATTAGCGGTTGGTTTGGGGTTGTTCTTCTATTTATTGCGATTTTTCTTTTCGCTTTCTTTCTTTTATTCTTTGACTAGGTTCTGCACATGGTATTCTCCGTTCTCACGGCCTATAATTCAGGCATATTACCTACTATTTACCAGGGGAATGCGACATCTGAAGTGGGGTTCAGGTCAGCTGGACAGGGTCCATATAATTCACCACCGGTCTTATCGCCAAGTCCCAAACATCCCGCATTTCATAGCCTATACCCATGGACGCAGATCAACAACTAAGCCGATAATACCCTGCACTGGTGGCTGTTTGATCCCTGGTGGGGCCCACATTGATCACTGAAAAAGGCTCTCGGGACCACGGCTGCCATAGGACCCGTTAATTCGCATCTGACATGCATCGATCCTAATCGTGGGGATCTTATCTATTGAGAGAGAATCCTTACTGCATTATGATTTGCTCTGTTCAGTCTGCCACTACTTGAGCTGGATCCGTCCCTAGGATTGTTTCCTGATTTCCTGGTTTCCCTCTCCACATGGACAGTAACCTCCGAATCCCACTCTTTGCCTACCTGAGCTAGCGCGTCAATTTCCTCGCCCTGATTGAGATTTCTTCTGCCGTTTCTATCTAGCGCTTTTCATTTTCTACCTTAGCTTCTTGTTTTTCTTTTGCCCCCCTTGAGTCTTTTTCTTGTTTTTTTCTGTCTTTTTTCTGTTCTCTTTTTTTTCTTCTTTTTTTTTCTGTCTGTCACTTCGCAACTTCTCTGGCCTCGTCCACTACCGGTTATCCTCTGATTGCCTGCCCTCTGCATGCTATGAAGGTCTAACCCAGCCATAACTATCTTGTTCTCCCCCGCCATGGCAAACTCCGCCTCGGATATCGAGGGGTCTCCCCAGGCGTCCCTCGCCACGGCTACCCACCATGGCGACTTCCCCCCCGCCGTCTATCGACCCGGGCACAAGGATGAAAAGTCTCTTGGATTCACTAAACAGGGAGCTGTGGTCGACGACGGCGAGGAATCCATCGGCGAAGGTCCAACTAAGCCCACCTATGATCAGACCCGCCGTACCCTCAAACCCAGACACATTCAGCTGATCGGAATCGGCGGGACCGTGGGCACGGCCTTGTATGTACAAATCGGCCAAACGCTGCTTGAAGGTGGCCCCGGTAGTCTGTTCATTGCATTTTCTCTCTGGTGAGTTTTGTACAAGCTCCTATGCCTTTTGCTATTCTGTTCCTGTTGTCTTCCATGATGGTGCCGGCAATATCGAATGGTCGACTTTCAACAATACCGAAGACAACCAAAAAAGAAAAAAAAAAAAAAAAAAAGGGTGAGAAGAAAGAAATAGAGGCTTGACGCCGGGTAAGAAGTTAACGCGCCATTAAAACCACACTGCCAGAAGGGAAAGTTGAATGCGAAGAGATACCTCTCCGGTGGAACAACGTAAAGCGACAAGCTATATAGGATCGCCATGCTCGTCTACCAATACTACTGTCCAAACCTTCCAGCTGGCGGCGTCGCGCCTCACCAAGAGACACCTGACCTACCATATTGTCTTCTTCCTTGTTCTTGCCCATTGCTGCTTCCTTCGGGACTCCGGAATCTTATACATTCGTCTCTATAGGTGTTGTGTCATTTTGGCTATAACTGTTTGTACGAAACCCTAACTCCCAAGACCTTGGACCCCATCCATGCGCCCCCTCCCCCATCATCATGATCGCCGGCAGCAATTCTTCCCAAAGCAATTCCGTGTTCCGCCAACGACGGCCGCAGATTTCCAGAGCGCCACTGGTTCCCCAGGTCCCGCGAACTATTGATTCCCACTGCAACTATATCCGCCTGCCTGGCCTTTCGAGTGTAGCATGTACTTACCACAGGTTCTTTAGGTCTGGCTGAGATGGTCACGTATCTACCTATTTCGTCGCCCTTCATTCGTTTTGCCGGCCGATACGTGGACGATGCGTTTGGCGTGGCTGCTGGATACAACTTCTTCATCTTCGAAGCGGCCATGGTACCGTTCGAAATCACGGCATGTAACATAATCATCACATATTGGAGTGACGCGGTTCCCGTGGCGGCCATCATTGTCATCATCCTAATACTTTTCGTGTGCGTCATGCCTTCCACAGGCGCATCCCCAGCGGCCTTGGAAACCCCCGGCGCAGTTCTAACAACTAGTCTACTAGGCTCCTCAACGTCTTCGCCGTGCAGTGGTATGGTGAATCAGAGTTCTGGCTGGCCCTCGGGAAAGTCTTTCTGAGTGTGGGGCTGATGTTCTTCACCCTCGTCGTGATGCTGGGAGGCAACCCAATCGGCGATCGGTTCGGGTTCCGATACTGGAAGAACCCGGGCTCCTTCCAGGAGCACTACAAAACAGGCGACCTCGGCCGATGGCTCGGTTTCCTGGCGTGTTTGATCCAGGCCAGTTTCACGATCGCCGGTCCGGACTATGTCTCCATGGCAGCCGGAGAGACAGTCAACCCTCGCCGCGAGCTGCCAAGGGCCTTCAACGGGGTGTTCTACCGGCTCACCACCTTCTTCGTCCTGGGCACACTATGTATCGGCATCCTCGTGCCATACGATGACCCGACGCTGAAGAATGCCTATGAAGCCGACCTCCCCGGTGCGGCCGCGTCTCCCTATGTGGTTGCCATGGACCGGCTCCAGATCGCCGTTCTCCCACACATCGTCAACGCCATGGTCCTCGGCGCGGCGTTCAGCGCAGGCAACAGCTACGTATACTGCGCCAGTCGCAGTCTCTACGGACTGGCATTGGAAGGGAAGGCCCCGCGGGTCTTTACAAAGTGCACCAAGTCCGGTGTTCCCATCAACTGTGTCGGGGTCGTCCTCATCATCGCGCTCCTCGCCTTCCTGCAGGTTTCCAACAGCGCCTCGGTGGTCTTGCAGTGGTTTGTCAATCTGGTACGTTATTGTTTAAATTAATATTCACTTCCCAGGATTACCACCTAACATAAAACACAACAGGTAACCGCATCCCAACTAATCAACTTCTCGGCCGTCACCTTCACCTACACACGATTCCGAAAAGCCTGCATGGCCCAAGGCATATCTCGCGAATCCCTCCCCTACCGGAGCCGAGGCCAGCCCTACGTGGCGTACGTCGCCATGGTCTGCACGGGCGTGATGGCCTTCGTGGGCGGATACGAGGTCTTCCTCCCCGGGAACTGGGACATCCCGACATTCTTCTTCTCGTATACGATGATCGGCGTGTTCCCGGTGCTTTACTTTGGGTGGAAGATTATCCACCGGACGGAGGTCCGGAAGCCTGAGGAGGTCGATCTGGTGTCGGGGCTTGCGGAAGTGGAGGAGTATACGAGGAATTATGTGCATGTTCCGTCTAAGTATGTCCTTCTTCTCATTGTTTGCAAATGTGGGTGGCTAACCTTTGTGTAGGAATCCCTTTGGGAGGTTTCTCGATTTTGTTTTTGGCTAGTATGCTTGGTTTTCTTACAGAATGTCACATAGTATGTGCTGTTAATATACACGAATGAGCATAGACAATGCATTATTTATCATAATTTCTCTTCCTCTCAGTTCCTACCCAGTAGAACCAGCAATAAATGCAATACCTATATTACACAACATCCATAATCTCAACAAATGCAATAAATCAGCCCTTCTATAACCCTCCCCCTCCTATACTCCCCTATACACATATAAATAAAATCTCCCCAAAAATCAATTCCCCTCCCCCTCCCCGTCCTTCTTCCTCAACGCCTCCAACCGCGCCTTATTCCTCTTCCCCAACACCCTCAACGTATTCTTCTTCTCAATCTCCGCCATCTGATCCCAATTCGCAATCCGCGACAGCGACCCATCCTGATTAACGACCAGCGGGCCCATGTGGTCCAACTTCACGGTCGAGCCGCCCTCGCTGATATCGAGCTTGGTTGTGCCTGTGCCGGATGCGGTAGAGCTTGCGTCGGGGAGAGCGAGGTATTCTTCGGAGTTTACGCTGGCGGGTTGGGAGTCTGTTGGGGTTTTGTTGTTGGTGGTGGTGTTGGTTTCTGGCGTTGAGGACATTGTGGAGTGGGATCTGGATTTGGTGTACGCGGGTGTTGGTGTTGGGTGGGTGTGGTGATTGGGGGTGGAGAATGGTGCGGGACACTGCGCGTTGAGGATTGAGTAGAGCTGAGTGTTTGGAGATTGGGAGAAGAAGCGGGCGGGTCGGGTTGGTAGTGATGACGATGAGGACGAGAGGAAAGCTGCGCTGGGTTGAATGGCGTGGAGAACGGCGGAGTGGGATGCGGCGTGGACTGGGGCCGAGAGGAGGGGACTGAGGAGGATGGGAAGGAGGGTTGCGCGGTGGTGAGGCATTGATTTCTTTTCTTTTTAAATCTTTCTGGGTTTTTGGAGGATGGTTAGAGGATGGGTTTGGAATGAGAGTGCTGGGTGAGTGGGTGGAGGTTTGGTGGTTGAAAGATGCGCCGTAGTGCTGTGGTGGAGCGGCCCAGGATGCTTCCAGAACAATCAGTAGTTTAATGGCTCGTACTTTGTACTCTCAGAGTTGACTTTACGAGTACTTTCGTTGATAGCATGGTTGATGATTATAGATAAAGATTCTGTTTTAATTATATATATTTATATCTACTATACAATAGTCTCCTACAGATTATTTGTCGAACTACCGGAACCACCAATTGACCTGTAACCATGTTAGCAGTCCTTCATTCCCCTCCTCCAAAATGGAACCAGAGGCAATCGATAAGTACTTACCGAAGCAGTCACACCCTCCCCAACACCCTTGATACTATGCCACCAGCCACTAGGAATAAACAAGCCATCCCCAGCGTCCAAACGCGCCTCATACCCATGAGCCGGCAGAGAAGCATCCCCATCATCTCCCCAGACAGCCCGTTCCAACAAAGCCCTCTCCCGGCCCTGCATCATCTCCTCGCCTCTAAAAGCAGCCGCCCCCCGGTCCGCACGCTGTCCCAGCTGCCTCCTAACAGACGCAAACACAGCCTGTCCATCATCAGGCGCCAACAACCGCACCACCTTCTGCCCAGCAAGCTGCACAAACAGATTGGGATTCGGATCGCGGTGGAGAGGCGTATACGTAGGCGGGTATCCGATCCACACGTTCGTATCGTACACGTCGCCCCTCCCCGCCTGGGCTACCAGCTCAGGGGTCGGGAAGTCGTCGCGCAAGACGGCAGGTAGATCGAGAAGCTGGCATTGAGCGAGGTAGAGCTGCGACGCTTGTGGTTCGGTTTCTGCGGCGCGGATCCATTGGAGGAAGAGGCTTAGGGGCGCGTGGAAGTGCCGGAAGCTGGGTTCGGAGGCAGCATCGGATTGTGTGGGCGGTTGTGTGAGTTCTAGCGGCACGAATGCGTCTGCGCCGTGTTGTTCTAGATAGGTCGTGTTCAGCCGGGAGGTGTTTGGATGGAACCAGCGCTCGAAGGCTGGGAGGTTCTGAAAGTGCGCTCGTGGGAGGATGGTGGGGAGCTCTGGGGTGAAGGATTGTTCGCGGAAACGCGCGACGCTCGCATCTTCAAGGATTTGGAGGGGATGGTAGGAGTGGAGGTGGGATTTGGTGCTGAATCTGGATTTAGGTGGTTGTTGGATGGGGCTGCTCGTCATGAATCGGATAGCCACGGGGTAGCGCTGGAAGCAAACCCATGGGTTATTGTGGGACAGGCATTGTGGGCGCTTCATCCAGAAACCGATTATATTCTATTGCTGCGGAAAATTAGTGGTTGGGTAATTAGTATTTATGCCATGAGCAACTGCCTGGAGGAGATGGTAAGTGAAAGTGAAGTGATTCCACAGAGGGTCTGGAGATCATCGGGGAATCTCCACTTCCGGCATCCGAGATTCCTGTTGGTGCCTCAATGCTCCATTTACAAATCAATCAATCTGCCTGCTGTAGAACCTGTTTAGTAAGGTATCTTGATATGAAAGATCTGACCATTGTTAATGTTACACTTGGGCGTGTTGTCCATGCTGGGCATGACTGTACAACCTGGATATTCCGACTGAAGCACAACAACACTATTGGAATTCCTGAACCCAGTTCCTCTCCTACTTAGTTCATTTTAGACCCTCTGCTACTCGCTCACAATTACATTGCCAAAATATCATATTGACCCTATTTATACTGGAATAAATTGATATAATTGGGCAATCGTGATTGGGTGCGGGCCAAGTCCGGGGAAAACGGAAAACCCCGCGCGGCTTTTTGGCTGAGACAATGAGAAGGAATCTCTCCGCACTCGTTGCTGCTCAACTTCCCTCCAAACAACGAAGCATCCCACCCGTCTAAGTCCCCGGCATGGCCTCAGAGTCGCCTCAGCTGGATGCTACTTCGTCCCAGGCGGGTTCAGGGGAGCAGATCGCCACCACTCCCATCGATAGCGCCAAGAGAAAGGCGGAACAGGCCAACGGAACCCACACGCGCACCAAGCGGAATCGCTACATCTCCATCGCCTGGTATGACCCCGGATCGTGAAAGCTCCGGCGGGAGTTCTGTGCGGTGCTAACTACGAGCTAGTAATGAATGCAAGCGTCGCAAGATCAAGTGCAATGGCCAGGTGCCTTGCCAACGGTGTGGGCACCTCAATCTAGAATGTGAGTGGTGCCGTCGGGGGCGGAACCGACCCCAGGCCTTGTTACAAGGCTGTCTGTGGCTCACCCCATCTGTCTAGGTCGATATGCCCCGAATTGCTGTAACAACAACTTTAAGGAATCCGAGTATGTCTAGTTTGGTCCTCTTTTTGCCCACTCCCCGACAGTGTGGGTGATTCCGCACTTTCTGCAGCCACTAACGGAAGATCCTTGCCAACAGCGAGTTTCGGTCCATGAAGGCCCAGATCAACACCCTTCAAGATCAAGTCAACAGCCTCTTCACGAATCTGAATGATCTTCGCACTCAGCGATCTTCAGTCGACTCTCCCAATCTAGACGGATTTTCGCATGATGGCTCTCACTCCGTGTTCACCCCGATGCATAGTCATACGGGGCTAGCCAGACCGCGTGCCCGACATCCTCGATTCCATGGCCCCACGAGCTCTGCTTTCAACTTCGATGTAGCCCGGTCGAGTCTTCAGAACATGGGCATCGCGCCTGCAGATGAAGTCATCGCGGATGATTTGACCACGGCACATGGCACGCCCGCTGCCTCGCCTCCTCCGATGACTTCCTTTATCCCTCCAATCCATCCCACCAAGGATCCCATCTGGGCCATCAAACGCGACGAAGCGCTCCGACTCTGTCGCATCTATGAAGAAGAGATCGGCATTATGTATCCGCTGGCCGAGATCGAGAAGGTGACCCAGCAAGCCTCTTTACTGTACACGTTCATGGAAGCAGCCACGCGGACAGGATTCACCAAACGGGGGATGCTCGGGTCAGATGGCCTTCAGGACGACGCAACTAACCTGCTCAAGATGATCCTCGCGACAACGCTGGTCGTTGAGGGAGGTGGTCAGAGCGAGCTGGGTCAGCGTCTATTCTTGAGCGTGAAGCCCGTCATCGAGTCCAAGCTGTGGGGTCCACTGGATATCAAGACCATCCAGCTGTTTGGCATGGTGGTATGTTAGCCGCTCTTTAAACTACGAGTTGCGATTGACACTGTAACAGGCAACGTATCACTTCCATACGGACGACGATGCCATGGCATATCGCGTCATTGGTCTCGCCGCGCGGATGTGCCTCGAACTCGGTCTGCATCGGCGTGACGCGCTGGTTAAGTCTTTTCCTGAGGAACAGTGGCCCGAGATTGTCAAGATATTCTGGGCAATCTACAGTCTGGACCGGCGGTGGAGCCTCGGTACGGGGCTCCCGTTTGTCATCCAGGACGAGGATATAGATCCAAACCTTCCAGAGCCGGTAAGTATCATGGGAGAGACACGTATGCTACGTGCGCTTAGCACGGGTTGCTAACCGCTGTGTAGGATCCATCGGTGCCGTATCTAAGGAGCATGGTTTCGTACAACCGCATCAGCTCCAAGATCTGGTATTCCGGTCTTGGCTCGGAGGGCACCACCGATATTCGCCGAGATGAAATCGGGTATCTGGACTACCAGATTCTTCAATGGTACAAACAGGTTCCTGATGCGCTGAAGTTCTATCCGGTCGAGTCGCCCAAGCATACGGAGACAGCTAGTCGGGGGATCCGACGACTACGAGTACTCTTGTATCTGCGCATGAACCAACTCCGGATTCTTATTTACCGCCCGGTCCTGCACTCGGCCGCCAGCATCGCGGAGGACAAGGGGCATGCTCAGACCGTTGTCGACGTCGCCAAGGACACGGTCCGAGTCCTCACCCGGTTGAATCAGACGTCCGACATCTACCGGACGCAACAGATCACGTTCAACTACTTCCTCGTGGCCGCTCTCGCCGTTCTTTTCCTGGCCGTGTGCCACGCACCTGTGGAGTTCAACCGCCAGGTCCGGGACGAGTTCTACATGGCGCTCGACTTGGTCAACGGATTCAGTACCAAATCATACGTGTCCAAACGACTATGGAAGACCATCAAAGGCCTCCGGAAGATTGGCGAGGGATTGGGTGTTCTGGTTCGGCCGTTCGGATCAGACACCAACGACCCGCATTCCACCGCGGCGGTTGCAATGGCGGGCCTGGCTGGTCACTCCATCGAGGACCTGTCCATGTATGGGCCCATGGATGGGGCCGGTGAACTGGGGAATAGCCCTTTGAATGGGCTACAGATGAGCCACGAGCTCACCAATCTGTTTGAGGCCGTCGGGGGCTTTGGCAATCTGATTGCTCCCAATACGGCGTCCGATGGCATGAACGGGTTCGTCGGCCACAGCAGTGAGATCCACAACACGGGGGAGGGGCTTTCGGGGGTCTTGGGGGATGAGGGGGAGCTGTCTCGGGTGATTCGCGATCTGTTTTGAGCATTTAATTTGGTGTGGGAGTCTATCGCATATGTATGTCTGAGGGTGGTTTTTTGTTTGTCCTATAAGTATATCGCATTGATGGTGGTGAGATACCCGGGCTCCATGATCCTTCGTCGTTCAACGCACATTTTTTCTTCCAAGCAGAAAGCATCAAAATTGAGCAGTTCATCTCAATCGTACCTCTACCGTGTATGGCATGCCAGTATCATGACCAGGGAACGACGATGTCGATCTGTGTATGACCACGTGACCATATCGGACATTGCTGCCTTACTGCCTGAAGCCGGACTGTTTCTCGCCAACTTTCTTGTCTCTTCACTCTCCCTCTCTCTCTCCTCTCTCATTCTCTCCATCTCTTTCTTATCTCTACTCTCTCCCTCCTTACTTTTCCATTCTCTCTCTCATCTCCTGCAATGTCCCTCCTATCTTAATCCAGAATTGACATCCGACACGGTGCTTGGCACATCCACATTCCGATTGTTACCCCCTCTTTCTCCCACAGTCCACTCACCTTTCGTTTCTGCGACCGCCACTAGGCAGATTATTATCGCCTGTCTGCCACTCACTTTTCCCACCGCCCCACGAACCTAATTTCGGAGACCCCTCGACTCCCGTCGATCTATCCGACCGCACCACTGTTTGGAGTTTCTGGTCCCTGAAAGGACAGAACGGAAAAAAAAAAGAAAAGTTGTTAGTTGCAGGAAATCGGACGACAAACAATATTATCCTCATCCCGATCGCTCATATTTGAATGCTTGCTTGAAGCGACTCAAGTGGGGAACAACAATTCACGATTCTACAATCCCATCGCGTCAACATTTCCTCATCGCACAATCACTCCCCGCTTCGGCTTCTTGCTATGACCGTTCTGGTTCTCTGAACCTCCCTCTCGCCGTTTCCCAACTCGCGGTTCCTATTCTGGAGCAGCACGTCGTCGATAACTTCCTTTCCATCCGTCGATAACCTTCTTCCATCCGACCGCGGTAACTCTATCCGGAGCTTGTACCAGGTGCAAGTAGCTCTTCGGACTATCGCGGGTCCAGACTTGCCGAGGCGGTTTTCATTTTCTAGCTCGGCAACGTGTCGAGAGAGACAGGTTCGGCGTTGGCCGACGGCCTAGACAGGCTGGATTTGAGTCAACTGTCTGAATCAACGCCCTCGTCGTCGACGGCAGATTCGTTCGATATGTCCTCGTCGGAAGGTGCGCCGGAGTCATGGATCTCCTCGTTCTGCGGCATGATGGGCCATGAGTTCTTCGCCGAGGTGTCGGAGGATTTCATTGAGGATGACTTCAACCTGACGGGATTGCAGTCGCAGGTCCCCATGTACAAGGAGGCCCTGGAGATGATCCTGGACGTAGAGCCGGAGGAGGAGGACGAAGACGAAGAGGAAGAGGAGGAAGAGGAGGATGAAGACGAGATCCTGGGCGACGACAGGCCGGCGTTCCGCAGGGCCGGCGAACGGCGACACGCACGGGTGGCGAGCGATTTGAGCGTAATCGAGAGCTCGGCGGAGTTGCTCTACGGGCTGATCCACCAGCGGTATATCACGTCGCGGCCGGGGATCCAGCAGATGCTGGAGAAGCTCGAAATGGGACATTTCGGCAGCTGCCCTCGCGTCTACTGCAACGGGAGCCGGCCCGTGCCTGTAGGATTGTCCGACACCCCCGGCCAGCAGACCGTGAAGCTTTACTGCCCGAGCTGCCAGGATATCTACACGCCCCCGAACAGTCGGTTCCATTCGGTGGACGGGGCCTTCTTCGGGACTACGTTCGGGTGTCTGTTCTTCATGACCTTCCCAGACCTGGATGTTGCGCCTCGCCCTGTGGATAACCCGTTGTCTCCCGTGCGCGCTTCGCCGGCGGGCACCCCGCGGGAGCCTCAACCGACGGAGATCAACGGGGTGCGGACGGCCAGCTTTGCAGCGGGGCTTGGACCCGGCCGGGTCTACGAGCCGAAGATCTATGGCTTCAAGGTTTCTGATCGGTCCCGGTCCGGTCCGCGCATGAAGTGGCTGCGGATGAAACCGGTGGAGATTCGCGAACTGGACGAGATGACTCGATATGAATCGCAGCATCCGCTTGCCGACCGAGAAGGCGATATGGACATGGGAGCCGGCGCTGCGCAGAATGCGGCGATCGCCCGACGGAAGAAGGCACCCATGCGACGACGACGCTATAACACGAACCCGGGCGTCAACGGAGGAGAGGGGCTGTAGAGCCATTATTATTATCATTATCTCAATTTCTTTCTGTTTCTTTCATTTCTCATTTCTCTCTTCTTTTCTTGTTTATTTCATTTCGTTGATATGAGGTAATGGCCTGTTCATATAGAGAGGGAAGACATCCCGCACAAGAGACATGTTCCTCGAAGGGGTAAAAAGAAGGCGACGAAACAGTTTTACTCTTTGTACGGAACCACTTCCAGCTCCATCTGCCCTCTTTCTCCTTCCACCGTCCCCCCGCCTACCACCAATGTCCGCTTCAATTCACGTATTTATTTCCTCCTTTCTTTGTGTTTACGTCCGCATGTTTCACCTGCATCAAGGCGTCCTTGAGTTGAGTTGAGTTGAGTTGAATTACGTCTATTGGCGTACAGAACCGTTTCATTCTGCCTTCTTCCTGTGAACTCTTAAGATTAAGTAATTGAGGCCCCGTCGCAGACTAGATAGGATGGTGTAGAGAGGGGCCCAAGGAGGAGGTGCATAATCGGACAGGAATGTATGTAGTGGCATAGTTTGGGTCGTTCCCCTAAGGTTTCTCAAGGAGAGGAGAGATATGATCAATGAAACAGAAAGAAAAAGAAATTGGCTTGACTGGTGTCTTGAATGAATGAGGAGAATGAATGAAATAGATGTTAGGTAGTCAATTGACTATTAGAACTGATCCATTCCTACTATAGGTACAGAAGTATGTAGATATTCCTAAATAACGGATCTCTCTCTATATCTCCACCCCACTCCTCTCCTACTCATTCACTCTATCCATCCAGCTGTGTCACCAGTCAATCAATCAATTTATAATTAATATAACATAATATCTCTAATCCCATCCCACCCTCTCCAACAAAACACAGTACCGTCGGAAGGCCCGTCTTAGTGGGATGGTAGTGGTACGTACTACGGTTACCACCAGATTGGTACAGGAGCACTGGAGAACAAAGAAGTTTATAGTTTCTTTCATTCCGTTTATTTACTTATTTGATAAATTGATTATTTTACTCTGTTTAGTGTGTTTCATCGTTGATTTTTCTTTCTCTTGACTTTTTGAATTAGGTATTTGGGTTTTGTTGTTGTTGGATATCATACCATATCATATCATAGTTATTATAGTGTAGTTAGTATAGTAGTATACCTCCTTGATTCTGGATTTCACCTTGACATCGTCTCGATATTTCGAAAAGAAAGATAAACAAGGAACAAGTCTACGCCAACCAATTTAATAATAAATAACAATAATAAAGCAAGACAGGAAATCCCGCACATCCTCCGCTTGGTCTCCCTCCCTCCCTCCCATCCATGCCCAAGGATCGATCTGATCTGATCCCATCCACTCTACTGGGTCTGATCTGGTTATCGAGAACCGTGCACATCACCCTATCATGCAGTGTGCGCAGGGAATACAGTGTCCGGTACTGTCTGGTAAATACTACCTACCTACCTACCTACCTACCTTACTTATCTTACGTATGCAGATGATATTCAATATATCTATCCATCTATCTATCCAGATAGACACATTGAACACGTGGGTGAGAGAGAGAACCTTAAAGGATAGAGAGAGCAAGGCAAGGGACGGACGGACTAGACCGGTCTAGAATGAAGGGGCTCCGCGTAATCTTCACGATATTCACTGTTTCAAGAGGTTTCAATAGGTGGTTAGTTATATAGGTGTGTAGGGTTAGAGGTGGTTTCATACAGCTCTAATTAAATTTACTACTAAGTACTATACTCTATCCCTACCCTCTAGAGAATACTATGTATGTATCCAGTTTAAACAAAAACAAGAACGAAAGAAAGAAAAACACATGATCCAAACCCCAAAAAGAACAGAGCTGAAGAACAACCCATCGGATTTCACCGGTCTTGACGCTACAGTCTCTGCTGTCGCCTCGCTGCATTGCTGCCTGCACATGGGAACCCCTTCCATTGGCTTGTCTGTTTGAGCCGCGTTGAATCCTTAAAGTCAATCAATCAATCCACTTATCCCGGCTGGACCGAATCATGCCTGCCAGCTTGGACGCGGACGCGGACGTGGACGCTACTGCAGCTGCCTGGAGCCTGCTTGGAGTCTCTCCCCGACACGAGCCCGTGCCAAATCCGATTATCGCCTTTTCTTCCTTTCTTTTTTTTCTTTCTTTTTTTCTTTCTTTTTTTCTTTCTTTTTTTCTTTTGTATTGATTGATTTGTTTTGGTTTGGGGTTTTGTTTTTTAAATTCCCCTGCCTAATTCAGTCCGGTTTTTAACGTCGGGCGTTCGAATCATGGTCATTGTAGATCGTGTTTCCCGGTCCAGCCGCGAGGAAATGTTTATTGCCCTGCTTAGGTCCGTCCATCCACCTCACCTACCTTGTCTGTCTATCTTCTGTCTTTCTACCTGTCTCTTTGCTCTGCCCATGTATGTATGTATCATGTAGCCCAATGAGGAAAAAGGAACATGGGCAACATCCATGAAATTACGGAGTAGTCCGTCACCCATGTCCAGCCTTGTCCAGCCTGCTCCACAATAGTCATAACTTGGGTTGTCACTCGTCAGGCGTCACTCGTCAGGCGTTCAAGTCAAGTCGTAATAGAATGCGGCTGTAGTTATCAACCCTGTAAACCGATTCCATCCCCTCAATCGATCTTCGCCCTTTGCCCGACTGGAACACCTGACCAGTGCGCCCAGCCCGAGATTCATATACCGACGACCTAGCATAAGGCTGAGGCCAGTTTGATCCTCGAATCAGATTCATTACCTCGCTAGGCCGCCTGCGCAGGGCCTCCCTTCGTCGGTGGAATGATGCCGTGACGAGGGCCCGGGAAAAGCAAATTGACTGGTCCCGCGGCGATCCTCGGTGCAGCCACACTTGTTGCGTGGCATTCTTCGGGTCATATCCCAAAACGAATCGAGCAATCAGGGAAGGTGAACAATTCACTGGGGATCTGGTGGTGTTTCTGTGATTCGAGGAATTCCTCGGGATGATAATGCTGGACGACCCACTGCTGGGAAGACCACTGAAAGACTAGAGAAGACCACTGGAAATACCAGGGCTGGATGCAAACACACCGGGGTCAACCCTGCAGATACCAAGGACTGATTAATTGCCAAAAGCAAAAATACAATGACATAACCAACCAGGATGAGGCAGAGGCAAGGAGCGTGAATGGCACTTGATATGAATGGTCCGAATGAAAGACACCTGCAGTTTACCATTATTGAGGTGGCAGGGCGCCTGGAAACATTCCAGGCCAGTCGAGCCACATCATTCGGCGAAGACATGGGCGAAGGGAAACCGGGGGAAATGCCAGACACGATACAAGACAGAAAGAAACCAGAGGCCGTCCACGGGCCAGTATTGGTGTCACACAGGGTAAATAACTCAAACCAAGTAGACTCCTCGTCTGCTCCAGTTAATCTAGTTATTAGCCTGCAATAACGTCCGTAGGCAAGAGTTTTGTCTATGGGACGGTAATATATAAGGTGTCTAATTTAATACCATTTCATGCGAGGGCCTGTGGAGGCGCAGCACGGTCGTACTCGCAGAGCCCCACCACACTGAGCATCTCGGTCCTTGTCCGTGGTGGCCTTGATAGAAATGAAAGTTGTCCGAATGGTGACTGGATACTGTTTGAAGGTGGAGACAGTTGACAGCCTGATAACAACGACGGTGGTATCAGTATGGACGAGTCGACAAGCTTCGCCGTAAAATAAACCAGAGTATTCATGGGCCTTGGAGAAACCTATACTCCGTACGGTACGGTCGATTAGAAGATGGCTAGTCAGTCGTTCATGAATCGTCTGGTCTTTGCGTGCCGGACGGAAGGCGCCGGACGGGATGAATGGAGCCCATCAATCAATCAATCCTTCGCTTTGTTTCCACGTTGACCAAGTCGGTCGTTTCGCTTAAAGGGTCTTCTTATCTCCGTATCCAGAAGTGCTTCTCGTGAGTCAGTGACGACAGACCCCTCAGGGACCGCAATCCTCCCGCCAGAACGTCCAGCCCCCAACGCTCAAAAAAAGCACTGGGAAGACTCCGAGAGGACGTCGGAAATTTGGGGGCCGGTTTTGAGGACGAGAAGATACTATAAATTGCACAGACATATATAAATAGATGGGAGGGAGGGGATGCAGGATGGGCACTCCAATCAATCAGGTGTGTGGACGCTGAAGGAGCACCAGGCACTAGAGAACGGCGCCATCAGCACCAACGATTGATTATTCTCTTTCTTCGTCTTAGATCCAGAATCAATCAAAGACCCACTGGGCGGTTTGGGGGCCAAGGAAGCGGGTTGGCTCCATCGTTGTTAGTGCCAAGTTGCAGGGTGGAGAGTGGAAAGGAGATCGAACCAACAAAGCTCCCAACGACACTAGTAGCCTGGTAGCCCTTAGTTCCGAGTCAATCCTCTGTATGGACGATGGATGGATCTGGACAACGCCGGTCCTACCGAGAAACCTGCCTTTGTTTCAGGGTCTATCAGGAATGAAGACTGACCTGAGGGTCCTTAATTAATTTACGGATTCTTTCTTTCTTTATGCTTTATCTTGTTTGTATTCGTAAGTTCGTACAGTATCATGTACTTCGCTTTCCCTTTCCGGGATAAATCAATAAATCAACCAAGGAACACTCCATGTAATCCAGGAGGAACGCCATTCATCATGCATCTATTGGTCCTAAAACCAGCGTTCGGCTGGTCCAGTTGGAACCCAAAATCTTGCCGGAATGGGAGATGGGAGCAGTCCAAAACACGCCTTTTCCAATCCCATATCAGAGCGTGAAACAAAGGAAAGAATAACAGAAAAGGAATAAAAAAAAATAGAACAAAAGAAAGAAATGAAAATCGTATACAATCATAGCCGAACAAATTCACACATCGTCATATGGGACTGGGATATCAAAATAATGGAAACGAATGCGGGGAGCATGGGCCAGACTCGGGGGTGAGAGGGCAAGCCATGATGGAAGGCTCCGGAGGCGTCGACGGAGAGGAGTGATCATCGCTGTAAACGTGCGACAATGGCGGGATCTGAAGCACATCGAGTTAGCTGCGTGTTCTTCTCTAGGATGCGAACGGATTCAATGAGAGCGGGTATGTACAGGGATATTGTTCTCGGCAAAGTGTTGAGGAGTCGGGCATAGATCTATACCAGCCATAGATGCATAGCTCATGCTAAACGGACTGACGATGTCCTCATCTGCGTAGGGATGAGGCCGCTTCACGGGGCCGGTGGGTGCCATGGTGACGGGGAGGATCGAGGGCATCGGGGAGCCGTAGTCGTTTTGGTACGTATCGTTGTAGGAGGTGGGGATGGCGTGGTACCCGTGGGGGTGTGCGTAGACCGACTGTCCGTAGGGGTCCAGGTGCGGATAGGAGGGATAAGAGAAGACCGGCGGGGGCGAGGCCGAGAGCTGTCGGGTGCATTGGTGCGAGAACATGGAGCTGCGGTCGTCCGGCGTCGAGTAGTAGTCATAGGCAGGCGCTCGCTCCGTCGCCGTCCGGCTGGTGGCATCCGAAGTTGACTTGGATACGCGGTGGGATTTGGCGCGAGGTTTCACCATGGTCTTGGGTGGTTCCAGCTTCTCATGGGTCTGCTCTGGGGACTCAGAGGCGGAAGCTGCACGCTTTTCCAGGTCTTCCAGGCGACGCTTCAACTTCTTGCCTGTTGCACAACAAACATTAGAGACACGGCTGGGTCTTGCCTCAGGATCAGAGACACAATGCTTACGGTAGTTACGCTGGGCGATTCGGTTCTGGATGCGACGACGCTCGGCCAGATCGGAGATCTTGGTCCAGTCCTCGTTAGGGTTGGCGTTGGGACTGAAGGCACTGCTTGTCCCGTGATTCGAAGAAGCCCTCGAGCTGGTCGAGTGGCCATATGAGTAGGTGGAAGAACGGTGCATGGTGGGCATGGGATAGGACGGCCAGGGAGTCCAATGTTGGAGAAGGTGAACAAGTATCCTTCCAATAAGGGAAGTCCAAGGTTCAGATAGATGTTGAAGACTCAAGAGTAGGCAGATGAATCAATATACTAGTTGGGAGTGGAGGAGTGGTGGAGTGGGGGGTCAACGAGGCATATATAGACAAAGAACCAAGCGTAGCAGAGTAGTACTTTAGGCACCGTGAAGACCGAAGGCGAATGGAATACTGGATGATCGAGGCTAACCGACATGAAGGGTAACAATGCGTATTTAAAAGAAGGCCGAGCCATGGGGACGATCAGCTGGAGAAGTTTAGGGCCGTAGCTTATGGCCTTTTTTCCTCTGCTAAGCCCCCGAGTCCGAACCCGCCCATGACGATGAACTGCCCTGTCGATAAGCACGTCTTCCGTATTCCGAGGAAATTAAAAACACTTCAGAAATGATTAAATGGTAATGGTCATACCTGATGTTTAGAATTTATTATTATTACTGTTTTTATTATCATATTATTTATTCAGTGATTAATCTTTTTTTTCTCTTCTTTTTCCTTTTCAGGAAATCGATTTATTTGTATTATTCAAGCGTATTATCTCCGTTTCACAGGGGTTGGAGGCCTGAGAAACTGGCAAGGTATGCATGGCTCAACCATGTGTTGGTAGGGAACAATTCCCGAATAGATAGATATGCAGCGCTGCGTCACTTACCACATTATGGTAAAATTGTAAAATCATTTCATGTCCGACTAACTGAACATGCCAGCAAGTGTGAGGCTGTTTTGAGTGGGACTCTTAACGTAAATAGGCCGACAGTGGAAAAACAGATTGAATCAGGCAGTGCTAAACCAACAGACCGGGATGCGTCGACCAATCTGAACCATGTGGTCCCAGATATTGGACATTCCACTGCAGTTAGTTCACCCTGAGTTGCTGAGTTATTGGCCGAATCTACCAATGCGCCTTGCGACCGAATCCAACAAGACAAATTGACGGGATAAGAATAGAAGCGTTGTGAAGTAGATCTTCCTTCTGTTCTCCTTCGCCCGCCCCCATCTTGTCTCCCTCCCCCTCCCCACAGTCTTAGTTAGTATCGGCGAGTTTGATCGGGGTATGGGAACTCAAAACATCATGCAGCTTTCGAAGGGGCTGAATCAACTTTCTGTTTTCGGTGTTAAGGAGAAAAATGGAAACTAGTGCAACCATGAGCAATTTCCTTTTTGGTATAGTCTGTCTGGTGTGCCTGAGTAGAATCCGACCGACCAGCTTTTTAGTTCTAGTTTGGGGGACATGAATGCAAGGCCATAACATCAGGCGCCCTTACCCCCCCCCCTACCCCCCTCCCTCTCAGTCCTCCCTCCCTCGTCGACTTCTGGCGTTACCTCGCACGTTGTGTGGAGGAGATAGGGTGGGGTGGAGGATGCATATTTTACACGAGCCTGGGGGGGGGGGGGGGGGAAATTGCCTCGAGCAATGAATCTAATGGTTTTGAGTAATTTTGAGCGAGGGAGGGCTCCCAAAAATGTTCCCATGCAGTGTGGTTTGACAAGGGGTCGTGGTAGTTAGGGAGTCGGAGCCGTGCAGGGAAGAAGGGGCTGAATTACCAGGTGGTATTGTAATGGTATTGCAGTATGATGGTCACACTTGGCTGAATCCTACCGGGGATAGACTGGTCGGAGGCACAGCTAGGTTCTCTCATCATCTTTCATTGTTCTTATTATGATGGAGGTAATTATTGATCCTTTTCATGCCGGTCATCTGAAGGATCTACAATGCTTTTCTCGACTGTCATCACTTTTTTACATCAACGGACATGACTACATTATCTTGTCAGATTATCAAGTAGATTGTTTCAATCTATGGAAACACCACACCTCCAGACTAGAGTTTCCCTGGTACTGTCTAACTCTTCTCGTATATGTAGATGCCTAGTAGTACCGTCCTAGAGGTATCATGGATATCATCAATATCCCTCTTCAAGAAACATCACGGTGATTGGATACCAGTGTCACCTCATTGGGCTTAGCTTTTCTTCTAGCCTTTCTTCTACCAGGCTACACTTGGAACATCGTACTCGGGTGGAGTCATCATGGGCGAGGGCTGATTTGAACAGGTTTTGGCCAGTGTGCCGACAAGTCTAGGTCGCAACTGGATAGGGCCTTGTCAGTGGACGGGTCTCATAACTCAAATCATGCTCTTGTTCGGATCCTTTTTCTAGTTTGGGTACCTGGGCCCTAAGACGTTTCGCGTTGGTACAGTATAGTATACACTATATCTTGGGTATAATATCAAGCTATCCCACGGAGACATGGGTATCGGTAGTATCCGCCGTGTCGATAGGAAGGTAGAAAACAAACTAAGATCCCTATCGGTTTGAAGACCCCCATGAAAGTCGAGATCAAAGGGAACTTCCACACACCCTGCAGCGATTTCCACCTCCTCGAATCAATTCCCCCGTCAAATACCACGCAATCCGCACATACCGACCAAAATATTCCCCACCAGGGAACCTCGTCAGTCTCCAGACCAATCACCCCCGGGGATACCGATTTCCCTTCTTGGAGATTGCTCCCCAAGGGCTATTCTGTTCAAACTACCACCTCGCGTCCACTGTAGATCGAGAATGGCTCGTCCCCCCCAATGCAGCATGTCTCAGGAGGCTCGAATACCATCCTGACTTCCCAGACGCACGGTCTCGACTTCTGCCACGTTGCACCCCTTCATCTTGGCAATACACTAAGGATAAGGATCTCACCCTGTCCTTCAAGTCAGTCATGAATGCGGGTGGGGGAGTCACCGGTCTGACGCGGTTACTTTATTCCTGCAAATCTGTAATTCCGGTCCGTGATGACGGATCCTTTGTACCTGGTATCTACCCGTATTTTATCTTTTCTTTTCTTTTCTTTTCGTATTGTTTCTTTTCTGTCTGGGGTAGACGGTCCATCGCATGCTGCCATCTTCGAATATCTCCTCTGCAAAACGGATATTATACAATAAAATATCACAATGCATGTTTCCAGGGAGATCCCAGATCATTCGGTCATCCAAAGTCGTACAGAACAGGGCGCAGGACAGTCGACTCCCTTTGGCCCGTTTTTCCCTTACAGATGTCGCATTCTTCTCATTCCTACTAGTTGTCCCTTTGCGGTTGGTTTCGCTTCCTACCGTGTCAGTGGGCAGAACCTGTCTGCTGTCTGTCATTATGGTTTATTTTTATCATGCCACTGCCTTCAATACAGCCCCTGGAGTGGAGGGATTAAATGCGCAGTAAGGCTCAATTCACATGGTCTTTTGAAATCTAACCCTAACCCGCGGCTAGCTAGTATGTATGTAGGTTATGCCCGCAGTGCATGCAGTACACTATAACTAGGTAGTTGTTGGTTTATAACGGTAAAACGCACGTAAGATTCGACTTGCTCTCGTTGGGGCCCCCACATTATGTACGTAGAGAATACGACCTCAAAATCCTCCGTCGTCCAGTATTCAATAATTTCCAGCGTCCATCGAGTAGGGCCGCGCTAATGCCGTCCCCAAGGATCCTCGATTCTCGACATCCAACTGGCACGGATATCACGAGTCAAGTCACTCGCTGTATGACCAGCGAATGCTAGATAGATCCGCCGATGGATTGGATACTACAATGAGGCTCAAGCCCGCCGGAATAGCAACCATATGTGCAGGGTGAGATTGTCCTCATTGGATTCCAGTCCAGCGATTCATGCACGCTTTTTTTGATGTCATCGCTTCTATGCTGCTTCCATTTGTATCATGCGATGTAGGTAGGGCTGAAGAACACTACCAAGCACTACTACCTGGAGGTTATGTATGGCATGGCCCATCCATCCAGCCTATCGTTAACCACCTGGGCTAGTAGTGTAACCTTGATATAGCCCCTATCTAACTACCTATGTCTTGCCTGTATCCAGAATAGTTAGTTTCTTCAGATAGCAAGCCAATCACATGGTTTTCACCAACCAAACACGACCCGACCCGTCTTCGTGACGGGGATAGATACGGACTGTCGTCTATTCCCTATCAGGTCCGATCTCTCGAGCTGAAATCAATCTTGGAGGGGGGAGGGAGTCTCCCATGACTTTGCCGGCTCCCCTGTACAACCCATCGACCTCGTGTAGACGTCGCACTTGTCTATCCCACCCTTACCCCCCCCCCCCGAGAAGCCATGCATTCAACGCTTGTACAGAAGGAGGCACCACTGACTTCTCATTGTGGGTCTTGATTGCGATAGTTGGTGCAGAGCCGGATGGGGTGTCCTGAGTGGTTGAGTGGGAAAGCTGGATACGATCGGACGGTGGATGTTCGAGACTGCGTCTGGGAGTGTTTGTCAGCCGGCTACGCAATCTGTATGTCTGGTTGTCTGCCTGGTGAGAGGGCGCGTTATTTTCCAGACAAGGGTCATATGCTATTTACAGTATCTAGTAGATTGCGTGTCTGTATCTGGTATCTACTGGGTCAGTTGCATTGGGATATCTCGAAACAGTCAACTTACGACTCATCTGCACTCCCCTTCTAACAGGTTCCTTATCTCGTCACAGGCCTAGAGCCAAAAATCAAAAAGTAACTTCCGTTCTCTCCCGCCTTACCAACAATTACTCGCCACTGCACCCGGAGCATCCGAAGTGTTACCTCTCGATTCAGCCGCCCAGCGGGGTACGGGAAATTCAGTTTCCCACGTGGAGGCGGCGACGGGGTTGAAACATGAGGATATGTTCAAGAACAACAAGGCACGAGATAGGGCCAGTCAGATGGGGAGTCAAGTTCGAGTCGTACTGGGAGGGAGGGGGGAGGCACAAATCTGAGACGCATTTCTGGCCTAGGTGTGGTTGTTTGTTAGTTACACAGTTGATTTACGGACTGTATAACGAAGTATGTATCTACCAGTTGATATCTTCATATGGGTGGTGCTACAATAGGATAGGAATGAACCAAACTACCTCGTTGATTAAACTTTAGGATATGTCATCCTATTCCACTCTTGTTACCGCCGAATAAACCCCACAGGGGGAAGTAAGGTATGTGGACCGCTCCCCATATGCCAGCCATAGTTGTGCGTTCCGTAGTTCCACAGCGGTCCGGGACGTTTGATGGGGATCTTATCAATACGGAGTACTCCGTAAAACAACAAAAGAGGAAATAGAACAATACGGTAAATACGGATACCAGCCCGGACGTGGCAGTAATGAGATGTGCGTGCACAACATCCGATCATCATGCACGTCCACCCCTGTGAGAAAAAAGACTGGGAACTACGTAAACTCGCGCTGGCTTCATCCTAGCCAATGCACTCGACTAGAGCCTCAGCTCAGGCATCCAATGATCAACCATCCACGGTGCACACCGTGCAGGTAGGTATAGGTCATCCGGTATGTATCGACAATCCAGTCAATCCGAGGCTGGAAACTGCCGTCGTACAAGGTCGATAATGGAAAAATACACAGTCTACAAACTATTGAATATGGAAAAGATCATTATTAATCCTTATGTGATCAGGATTTGATTTATCATCATGAGTCACGCAGCTAGTTGATTCCATGGCTGGTCGTGGTTGTGATACCCCAGGGTGGGAGATGTCGGTGGTTTAAATCCGAACCCCGACATTCCACTCGGGCCAAGTTCAGCCGTGGGGCATGTTTGAAGATGACCGGGGATTTGACAGATTGGAAGAGGCAAAGGGTAAAGGGCAATGGGCAAACTTGGAAAAATAAATACTTAATTAAATTATAGAATTATAATATGAAAGTGAAAATAAAGATTAAAATAAAATAAAGGAGCTGAAAATGGGTCTCTCTGCCTTCCCTCATGTACGAAGAAACCAACATAGACTTACAGCCAGGACCATAACTCAGTTAACAACCTGAGTATCTTCAAGTTTAATAATATTACACCAGTGTTTCAACCACCAAAACATCCTCTGACAGGTGATGTATCTACCTCTTCAACAGTGATCCATAGTAAAAGGCACAGATGGTCGTTTCACACTCTATCGTATCCGGGTCCCACACTAACTCACTAGTTATCCACCCTTCTAGCCGTGAAACACAGCCTTTGGTTTCCCCCTCCCTCTAACCCGACCGAGTAAGCGACGCGCAGATGCTTCTAATTATGGTCAACTTTGATCTGTTCGCTACCCGCTCTCTTGCAGTGATCGAACCCGATCTCCGAGATCATCGACCCGTGGCTACCCCCTCATCTTATCTTTTTTCCGAGGTGTTGGTTGTTACAGGTGTCAGCTAGTTAACTGATTTAGCGGATTTGATCATATAGAGAGCTTTGCGACTCCAGTCACTTACTCAGCAGTGTCCTTTCCACCTACCTAGCAATAGACCCAATATACGGTGGTTGTGTCCAGCCTAACCGGCGCAGCCCTTGCTTCCATGGATGCAAAAATACCCCGGGCTGTGTAGAGCGTACATTCTACCCCGTATCCTGCCTGCCCGTCAACATAGTATCTAAAAAAAGTAACAAAACGGGGCTCAACCTAACTAACCAAAATGGCCCCCAGGTAGGTTCCAAATCTAGATGCTTATAGCGTTTCAATGTCTATTGTTCTTCTTATTGGGTCTATAGTATTGCTGCTCTCAGGTCGTTCGGCGCTTTCTCCCCCCACAGCCGTCGGCCATTTGCCATCATGAGCATGCTTGCTTTCACCTTTCTCCCTTTTCGCACTCGATCGGCGGTTTTGTTGCAAGGCAGATTTTGGAAGCGTCGGCTGGCGACTGTCAGGGGACGGTCGGTTCACTGATACTCGCTTCCACTGGCTTTGATGGTATCACGATCAGCGCGCTATCGCTGTTAAGTGTCTTGTGTGCTCGTGCTTGGCTAGAGCGGCTGTGTATGCGGTATATTGCCCCGAATTCAAGTGTTGGACATCGTGGATCTCTGCCTATTTGGAATGGGACATGCATTGAAGACCGTAAAGGGTTCGTTCCTAGCCAAAATGGAAAAAAACGGCGTAAACCAAATGAATTACCAAGGAAAGCACGCTCATGCTAGTTCAATGAGTCGGGTGAAAAACGCCGAAACCGAATATGGGGAAAGGGGGTCATGGGAAGACAAGACATGAAAATGCGAGGCCGGTAGAACAGTAAACAAACTTCCCCGCCCTTCTTTATCCGTACAGACCCATCGCGAGAAATCAAAGTAAGCGCCAAGACGAGTATGTGTCGAGTTATATATGGATTGTCCGTCATATATTTCAAGTTCGTTTAAAGGACAACGCTGGATGCGGTCAATAGGTGTTCTTCCAAAGTCAGTGGGTTCGGAAACTTACCTCCACGGGTGATTCTCATCACCATACTGGATTCCTTCAATCCAGTTCTTCATCTGAAGGGCGATTTCGCCAGCCTCTTCCTCATCCTTGAGGCCGCAGTTCACCAGTTTGCCGCGGTAGCTGATGTTTCGCACAGGGCTCACAATAGCTGCGGTACCAGACCCGAACACCTCCAATAGTCTACCCTCTTCGGCCGCCTCGGCGACATCGGCCATCTTGATCTTACGCTCAGAGACCGTCCAGCCCTTGGGGATCAGTCGCTCCCGGGCCAGTTCGAGCACGGAGTCTCTGGTAACACCCTCGAGGATGGTTCCATCCAGAGGCGCAGTCACGAGCTCCTTCTTGCCCGTCTCCTTATCCTTGAGCGCGATGAAGAGGTTCATGGTGCCGACCTCAGTCACATACTCCTCCTCACCGAACAGCCACAGGTTCTGCTGGAAGCCCCGAGACGCGGCGTTGAGCTGGGGAAGAACGCAAGGAGCGTAGTTCGCTCCGAGCTTCTTGTCTCCGACACCACCCGGCCAAGCTCTGACGGCGTAGTCAGTGGCCTCCAGCGAGATAGCCTTGAAACCGGTGGGGTAGTAGGGACCGACGGGGCTGGCAATGACGAAGAGAAGGGCGGAGCCTGGCGGACCAACTCCGAGGGTGCTCTGGGTACCGATCATGGTAGGTCGGAGGTACAAGGAGTATCCGCGGGTGCTGCAGAATATTAGGGACCGTTTTCGCTGGCGTTAACTTGGACTCGGCTCACCTGGGGATGAAACGGCTGTCCTGTTTAACAAGATCGCCGATCAATTTGGTGAGCGCCTCGCCATCAACCGTGGGCAGGGCAATCCGCGCCGAAGACTTGTTCAGACGCGCCATGTTCTTATCCGGACGGAAAAGCCGGATCTGTCCATTGTTGTCCTTGTACGCCTTCATACCCTCGAAACACTCGAAGGCATAATGCAACACGCAAGCCGAAGGGTCCAGGCTGAGGTTCTGATAGGGAATGATGCGCGGCGCGTGCCATCCGTCCGAAGCCGTCCATTCAATCGACAGCATATGATCTGGAGGAATCTGTGTGTCAGTAACTGTCAAGCCTGGGGCCATTGTCGCATGATGTCCTTACCGGTGAAGGTCTTGCCAAAGATGAGGTTTTCCGACGCAGTAATCTCCTTAGGGGTGCTCGTCTTCGTGACTTCGAGCTTCGACGCGTCGAGACCAGCCTGAGAAGCAGCAGCCGGCGTCGCACTGAAGCATCTCTGCCATAGCCGGTTCGAGACAGAGGTCTGGACGGGGAGAACACGGGGGGCGGCGCGCGAAGGCAACGCCCTGTGGCGAGCCAATTGACGGAGTGAGTTCATGATCGCGGTCCAATGTTCAGAATTCCAACAGCGAGGGGAGCGAGGGATGTTGGTCGATCAAGTCCCAAGCGGTGGAGTGGTATTAATAATGGGAAGACGGTCAGGGAAGCAATAATAATGAACGAGCGGGCAGCGGAGCTTAAAAAGAGTGCGCCGGAGCGGTTAGTTAAGGTAACTAACTGACCGGTCGGAGTGACTCAGGCACAACTCCGGACAGATCCAGTTGATCGACAACCGTAGGGCGCGAGATGGACCACTGGACTATGTATCAAGTATAAACTGTTGAACTGGTTCAAATACACAAATACAACAATTGTCTGTTTTTTGTTCGAAATCAAAAGCCCCTTCCCCCAAAAAGGCATACCAAACAAGGTATTCAACTTTCCATGGCAGACCGATCGATGTCCGACATCGGCCACGATCTGGTTCACGGCACACTTTAGCCGGCGCTTCAATGCCGCAGGCGGTGTGTCACCTGACGTGGGGTTTCCGAACGTGGCCGTTCGTATGGGGAGCCCACGCTGCTCTCCCATTGGTCATCCTCACCCCTTTCACGTGACGCCCTTTGTCCTCCGGGCGGACAGCGGGCAGATATGCATGGGGGCCAAGCTGGGTGATGAACCTCGAGTTCCAAGGTCGAAAAAAAGAGACCAGCAACTGAAGCAGAGTCCAGTTTTTGAGCGTACAGCTGTAAGACTGGGATTGACATGAGAATAACTTGACATACGGCCGATTGATTCTCCCCCTTTGCAGATACCATCGTCTGTGCATTATTTACTTTGTTTCTTCGGACCTGTCCACATCTCCAACAAGCCACATTGAGAAATCAGGCTGCAGCTTCCGGGGGCGTACCGAGTTACCATACATAACTATTGCTCCGTGACAACGTCGGTTCGACTTTACAGCTGCGCTGTTGGCATTGATTATTTGAGTCTCATGCCAGGGCGGTCAGAGGAAAGACAATGTTTTCCTCGCTCAAGTCCCTGAGTTCGAACATATCAACGAACTATCAAATTGCCCCCCACTCGACGGTGATCTCTGGCCCATGGCGTATCCATGATGGAAAGAAGAAATCTACGGGGACCGCGGCGTCCATCTTCATCTTTGACAGAAAGCTTCTCGAGCCTCGATCTAGTGGCCTTGGTGGTCGTTCCAGCTCGTCCACGAAAAAGGCCCAGGAGGATGTCGTCGAACGACTGAAGCGGGAAGCCAGCAATCTCGCCCGTCTTCGACATCCGTCTATTCTCCAGGTTCTGGAGCCAATAGAAGAAACGCGCAATGGCGGTCTTATGTTCGCCACGGAGCAACTCACCACTTCGTTGGCTGGGCTTCTAAAGGAGAAAGATGCCCAGGAAGGCTCGTCGAGACATGGTGCGCGGTCCAGTCGCTTTACGGTGGAGGAGACGGATGGAGGCCAAGGCCGGAGAGATCTCGATATCGATGAGCTAGAGATCCAAAAAGGGCTGTTGCAGGTTGCCAAAGGTCTCGAGTTCCTCCACGGATCGGCTGGTCTCGTCCATGGCAACTTGAACCCGGAAGCCATCTACATCAATTCCAAATCAGACTGGAAAATCTCCGGCCTTGGCTTTGCTGGGCCTTCCGATCCCAACGAGACGCGAACCTCGCTACCGCCGCTGGCTCTGTCAGAAGTGCTTCACCAGGATCCACGACTTCCTCCTTCTGTTCAGCTGAATCTGGACTTCACTTCCCCAGACTTTGCGCTGGACTCTAATGTCTCCCCGTCTGCGGACTTGTTCTCTCTTGGGCTTGTCATCGTGGCCTTGTATAACTCGCCTCACGCTTCTCCGTTGCAGACACATTCCAGCGTCAACTCTTACAAGAAATTGCTTAGCTCGCCGTCCACGACGCCTTCCCAGGGAAATAACTTTCTCTGTTCAGGCTCCATCCCCAACGATCTCCTTACCCATGTCTTGCCCAGGCTGATCACGAGGCGGCCGGCCCAGCGGTTAGACGCCCGAGAGTTCCAGCAGTCTCCATATTTCGATAATATACTGGTCTCCACACTGCGTTTCTTGGAATCACTACCGGCCAAAACTCCGAGTGAAAAGTCGCAGTTCATGCGGGGCCTCCAGCGGGTACTCCCAGAGTTTCCCGTATCTGTACTGGACAGAAAATTACTAGGTGTACTCCTAGAAGAGATGAAAGACAGGGAGCTCCTGTCACTCATTCTGCAAAACGTCTTTGCCATTTTGCAGCGCATCCCGAATGCCCGCCGCACATTCCCCGAGAGGGTAATTCCCCGACTCAAAGAAGTGTTCCCAACGGGCAAAGGGGCGGTCCAGGATCGTGACTCTAAGCGAGAAGCGGGTCTCATGGTTGTCCTCGAGAATATGAATATTGTGGCGGAAAATTGCCCGGGCAAAGAATTCAAAGATGGTTTGTTTGTCCTAGAGGATCGACAACAGCCAGTGTGAGCTAACTCTCTGCGATTCCTAGATATTCTTCCTTTGATTCGACTGGCTATGGACTCTCCTACTCATTCTCTAGCTGATGCTGCCATCAAGTGCTTGCCCATCTTTCTACCCACTCTCGACTTCAGTACCGTGAAGACCGAAGTTTTCCCTCCAATTGCCGCGACATTTAGCAAGACAAACAGCCTAGGCATCAAAGTCAGCTGTTTGGAGGCATTTACTGTTCTCTGCGGGGGCTCTAAGGACGGTGAGGACGTGGCTGAAGATGACTTGACCGGTATAATTCCAAAAGGCAAACCGCAGCCAACTAGATCATCCATCTTGGACAAGTATACAATCCAAGAGAAGCTTGTTCCGTCCTTGAAGGCCATCAAGACGAAAGAGCCCGCTGTTATGATGGCCGCGTTGGGCGTGTTCCAACAGGTTGGCAAGGTTGCCGACACGGATTTTATCGCCTTGGAAATTCTTCCAGTCATCTGGAGTTTTAGCCTTGGCCCCCTTCTTAATCTCCGCCAGTTTGAACAATTTATGGCCTTGATCAAGAATCTCTCTTCCAAGATCGAACGCGAGCATACCAAAAAACTCAAGGAACTGTCCTCAGGGGGGGATTCTGGTGGGTTCCAAAATGGCACCGGAAGCTCTTCTAAAACCCCCGATGCCTTCATGGCGATGGATACAGATCCGACAAGGAACAACTTTGAGCGCCTGGTCCTCGGCCGCGGATCCACAGCTTCAAAGGGCCAGGATCTCGACAACTGGGGTAGCCTGATGGCCGAAGCACCAGCCGCCCAACCTTCTACCTCGCGGCCTTCATCCACGGCATTATCATGGTCGTCCCAACCCGCTCGTCCCAATGCCATGGGAAGCGCATTGTCCAGCCAACCGAACCCGAGCATGCGTTCCATCACTCCGGACTTCAATATGGGCTCTTTCCCATCCCTGCAGCCCGCTGCGGCGCAGAAATCCCCGGCGACATCGGCTTTCCCACCATTGCAACCCTCTCCGTCTCCCAGCTGGAGCGCTATGAATTCCCCCAACAACCAGTATACATCCCCAGCGAGTAACCTGCCTAGCCCTGGGTTGGGATCGATGGCCAGCATGAAGCCGTCCAACTCTTCTTTTGCTGGAAACCTTTCGCGGCCGACTACCAATTTCTCTGCCTTTTCCATTCCCCCGCCTCCATCTACTCAGGGTTCGATGGGGTCATTCTCTGGAAGTAGCGGCCTCTCCAATGCTCCAATGGTCCCACCACCGCCTCCATCTACCCAGGGCTCGATGGGGTCATTCGCAGGGACTGGCGGTCTCTCCAATGCACCAATGGCCTCACCAGGCAGGACCAACCCTTCCAGTCCGTTTCAAGGCAATACTAATAACTCGTCACAACCGCAAGGGGGTGCGAAAAAAGGCCTCGACAAATATGAGAGCCTAATATGAGCAACGTGAAGTGCACCTCCACTATCACACCCCTCGCTCTGCTTTCTTCTTACAATAATTTTTCTTTGTGTTTTCCTCGTTCGCATTTAGCCAGAAACTCTTGGGTCGTCTCTATCTACCATGTAGATTTTGTTTCATATATGGACATTCAAGCATTATTCCCCGATAGTTTTGGGCGAGAATCAACAAAAGGATGGCAAAATCCCCCTGATATTGGACAATGTGACAATGAGGAATTTCTATAATTTGAGCCCTAAATATGTAGAATAAATAGTACAATGGATGCAGGATATACTCCGATAACTAAAAGTCCCCCACTGGGGTCACCGCCTTCGGCGTTCAACCGGATATCTCCGGCAGTATTAAGCCATTGGGTACCTTTACCTGTATGTCATAGAGCAACGGAGCTGCCAGTTAGCTGAGGTTACTTTCCCCCAAGCAACCAGGAATGCTGCCCATACGAGGCGCTTTGAAACGCCTGCCGTCGGAACATCGTTCCTTTTCCCTCCGCCGCCCCTCTCTACCCCTCCATTACCAGCACGCCTATTCTCGACGTCACTTTGAGCGATTCTCTTCGTCCACCGTACCGAACATCAACAATTCCTCCAAGCTTTCTGCAGAGTCGCATCTTTCAACTCCCGCTAAATTCACGATGGATGCCAATACTAAGCAGCACTATCTCGCCGACTCTCCCCCCACGGTTGTGCGTCTGGAGGCGAAGCATCACTTTGATGGGTTGAAGGATGAGAAGTTGAGGAAATATGCCCACTACATGAGCAGGTTCGATGATCTTCTATGCTGGCGCTATTTGTCTGCTTTTTTTGTCTGGGTTGGGTGTAGAAAGCTAATTGATGGATTCATTGGTCTATTTTAGGGCTGCTTTCGAAGGCACGCGTATCACCCTTCGCCAGGTCTCCCCCGAGTCGGAGCCGATCTACGACTTCATCATCTCTCTCCACAAATCCTGCAATGGCGATTGGAGTGGTTTGGCCAAGAAAACCAACGTCAGCGATGAGCACGTTCGGTTCTTCTTGGAGTACGCTACCCAGTTTCTCGGCAATTGTGGGAATTACAAGGGCTTCGGTGACACTAAGTTTATCCCCCGGTTGCCGGTGGAAGCCCTGGAAGCTCTGGCGTCAGGAACTCCCGAGACGAAGGCCGCGTTCCAGAAGGCGAACAGCACGGGCGGCGGGTTTTTCGAGACTTCCCAGCAGGCGCTTATGCACCTTGGGTACCCGGAAGATGGCCATATGACTACCTATTACCCTGGTTCTCCGTCGATCACCAAGGACGATATCACGGCTATCGGCGACTTGATGGAGAAGAAGGGGCTTCCCCTCGAAAACACTAGGCTTAGGAAGAATGCCTCTGGGGACTTTGAACTGTTAATTGCCTCGGGTATTTCCGCGCCCCCGGCTCGGGAACGGGACCTTGGCGCTGTCGATACGCTGGAGCTGGAGGGTCATTTGAAAGGGAAAAAGGTCCGCCTCGTGTTCGGTGACCACCAGGAGGAAATGGCCAAGGTTGCGCACAGCATCAAGCTGGCCGAGATCAATGCGGCGAATGACAACCAGAAGCAGATGCTGGAGGCCTACGCCAAGTCGTTCGGCGCTGGCTCCATCGAGGCATTCAAGGAGAGTCAGCGGGTCTGGGTCAAGGATCAAAAACCGGTGTTGGAATCAAACATTGGATTTGTCGAGACCTACCGGGATCCTCACGGCGTCCGCGGAGAGTGGGAGGGCTTTGTCGCTTTGGTAAGTGACGCCGATGCATATGCCGTGGCCAATTCGCTAACATTCTGCAGGTGAATTTGGAGCGGACCCGGGCCTTTGGGAAGCTGGTGGACAGTGCCGAGAGCATGATTCCCAAGCTCCCCTGGGGGATTGATTTCGAAAAGGACAAGTTTCTCAGCCCGGACTTTACCTCGCTTGAAGTCTTGAGCTTCCAGTCATCTGGCATCCCTGCCGGTATTAACCTACCGAACTATGATGATATCCGCCAGAATCTCGGTTTCAAGAACGTCTCCCTTGGAAACGTGCTGAGTGCCAAGGCCCCCAACGAACCCATCCCCTTCATCGCTGAGAAGGATCTCGAAGTGTATCGACGATGCCGCGATCCCGCTTTCGAGGTGCAGGTGGGTATTCACGAACTCCTTGGACATGGAACAGGCAAGCTTCTCCAGGAGACCGCCCCGGGTGAATACAACTTCGATGTGCAGAACCCTCCTGTGAGCCCCGTCACGGGCAAACCCGTGATTAGCTGGTACAAGCCGGGTCAAACATGGAGCTCTGTGTTTGGTTCGATTGCCTCATCCTACGAAGAATGCCGCGCCGAGTGTGTGGCCATGGCTCTCAGCTGTGACTTTGAGATCCTCAAGATTTTCGGGTTTGGGGATGGGAAGCAGGACCTCTCGAACGAGGCCGGCGATGTTCTATATACGGGATACTTGCAGATGGCCCGCGCAGGCCTGGTCGCATTGGAGTTCTGGGACCCTAAGACCGGAAAGTGGGGACAGGCTCACATGCAGGCGCGGTACAGCATTTTGCGGACGTTCCTCGATGCTGGAGACGACTTTGTTAAGCTTGCTTACACCAAGGAGGATCTGTCTGACCTCGAGATCCATCTCGATCGGTCGAAGATCCTCTCGCACGGCCGCCCCGCGGTGGAGAAGTACCTGCAAAAGCTGCATGTCTATAAGAGCACCGCGGATGTTGAGGCCGGGAAGCAGCTCTACGACGATATCACCTCGGTCGACGACTGGTGGGGAACCAAGGTCCGGGAGATCGTCCTCAAGAACAAGGTCCCTCGTAAGGTGTTTGTCCAGGCCAACACTGTCCTTAACGGAGACGAGGTGACTCTGAAGGAGTATGAGCCGACACTTGAAGGCTTGATCCAGAGCTATGTCGAACGCGCTGTTTAAGCATTAGATGTGTCTAGATCTGGGTATGTAGATGTTGCATGTGGCACGTGAATGAATCAGAGAAGAAACGATCAGCGAGTTGATTATGGGAGCTCTCTCGTGATCTCGGGCCACGTAGATGCATCTCTTGCAGTCATTAGGATGGTAGCGCGTGACCCCAGGAGTGGCGAGGGAAATGTCAACGCAGTCCTCAGCTCTTCAGGGATGATACGCAGATGATTCCCTAATGCCCCGTAACTCTACCGAATCGCTCGATAAGTACTCCGTAGTACTCAATAAGAGCATGCGACATGGCACCTCGTGTCTTCAAGGTCAAGGCGTGCATAGATGTACAGATCTACGGAAACGCGAGATTATGACCTACTCTGTCTTCTAGATTTGTATTCAAAATGTATAGATATCATAATACACGGCCACCGTAGTCTCGTGGACGGTGCCAACTGGAGAGTTCGCTGGTTTACGGGGAACGTTGCCGCCGCCTCCGCCTTTTCTCCTTAAGCGCTCGTTCTCTTTCCCGCCTCCTTCTCCTCCCTGGTCGCCCTGCGCTTTTGGTCACTTCCAACTTGTCACTCTTCTGACTACCACTGTCACGTTGGTTATTCACTCCATTTTCTGTCAATATCGCAGAGAAAGTATATTTTCTAAATCTTTGATTTGTGGTTACTTGATCTTCGGATTCCATGTGCAATCTTTAGACATACTGTGGGCTCCTGATCGACAACGGGGAACGGGAGTCTGGATCCTCTCCGGTCAACGGCACAAGTCTGGGTCGCCTGGGTTCGTCTCGACCTCATCTTTAGAGACAATTAACAACAGCACACCGGCTCTTTTTCCGATCGAATTATTTCAAATTTCGACGACACCTTGTCGTGGCAATCAACTCCCCCTGGCTCGCCTACCACGGCGCGGCCGCCTCATCACCTAGCGGACCCTATTGCGGAGGAAGACGACGACTTCTACGCCGCGCCGCCACCCCACTCGCCATCATACTCTGAGGCGTCCTCTTCTCACTACTATCCGCCCGGTCCTCCACCGTTCTCTTCACTGGACTTTGTCCCCGGAATCGAACCCGATCGCGCTAAACCTGCGGAAACCGAACCCTCGTCGGCTCCTATCCCCCCACCCTTTGTTTCTCCATCCCCAGAGGAGCCCCTAGAACCGGATCCGTCGCCGTTGCCCTTGGTCGCAGAAACCAAGTCTGCGTTTACGCCGGAGCAGAAACCGGATTCGCAAGGAAAGTCTACGGAAGACGGAGAGCCACCACCGCCATACACCGAAGGATCTAGTCCCATTGAATCATTTACATACGTGATGGCGGCAGCAGGAGGCGCATCGAGTATCATTACTCAGGTGCAGCAGGCAGGCGGGCCCCCTATCAATACGCTTGGTGGTACGACACCCCGGATGGATGTGTAGTGTGTATCTTGACTAACTTGCTTGTCCTGTGGTATTAGATATCGGCGGGGATGAACATATCACGCTGGATCTCCGGTGAGTATCCGTCTGGCTCTTCTCTGAATCACACGGGTTGTTCTAATTGTCTCAGGGGTACCCGGTTTACGCTCTCTCGGGATGAATTGTTGACCTTGCCGGAATTTGTCCTTCTATCTCTTTTCCCGAACGGTCTACTCCCGGATGGACATATGGGCACTTTCCATGAAGGTGATATCTATCCAGTCGATGTGAGAACGCTATGACTCCTATGCGTATGTACAATCCTGACATGTTCCTCCAGTACGATCCCGCGTCGCTTCAATACATGCTGGATTTCTTCCGCTCGGTCGCCCAGTCTATCCCCTCCTCGCCATCTGCGTCGACGTCGCCCGACATGGATATGTCCGATTCCATGCAAGGATCGGCTAAAGATATGCTCCAGGATCGTGCCGGCATTATCGTGTTACGCGAGGACCTTGATTTCTATGCGATTCCGCCGCGTCAGGATATCGACCATACGGAGATGATGGAGGTAAAGCGCGCGGCTGCCAAAGCATTGCTGCAACAGGACGGGATCTTTTCCGGTCTGAGGAAAAGCGAGGAGGCCGGCTCCACCGAACAACATCTGATTGAGATGTTGACTGCAGGGTGAGTCCCGCACCTTCGATCAGCCCATTGAGCTACTTTACGTAGGGAACCCATGCTGACTCTTGCAGCGGATTTGATCGCGACGACCGGTGGGGCCATCGGGCGCCCGAGCCTAGCAAGGCCGTCATCTGTAGCTTGGCACTGGCCAAACTTCGAACCGATATCAAGGGCGACTTGTCCAATAACAATTCAGTCGGCATGGCTCAAAAGCTCCTTCTTTTCTGGCGAAAGCCCGCCAGACGGTGCTGGTGGGAGGGGATCGAATTGGACAACGTGGATGGGGTCGATGGCCCTGTTAAGATTTGGATCCGCAGAGTATGGACTCTGGAGATGGTAAGTTATGGTTTCAATCTCTAGCGTATCTTGTTCTAACATTTTTGTTTCATGCAGAGCGTCATTGGGCTCCGATAGCCCTTTAACGCGGGTTTTGTTTGTTTTTAATCTGGACAGTTTTTCTCGTTCGTTCATTGCTACACTGCATCTTACTGATTCTGGTTGCATACTTGATACATACCATCACTGCGGCTTTACTTTATTTTTGTACTTCTTTTTTGCCACCTCGATCTTTTCTTGCGAGTCAACGATATCCGTATTGACAATTGGGTGTTATGTGCTTGATTCTGTCTATAATCCCATTAGCTGGCCGGTCCCCACGCATTGATCTTGTATTTTTGATTTTATTACTTTCCTTATTCTGTGTGCTTTCATTTGTACCCTTCTATTATATTCTAGAGAAGATAAAACCAACAATGGACAATGTAGCCAATATCATACCTGAGATATATATCACGTGATTGTGTACCGAAACAGGACTAGCGCGCATGTTTGAATCTTGAGAACGCGACGAAACAGAAAAAGGCGGACGGAGCTTGAGCGCGATCACCATCATAGAATAGAAGCTTTGGCACTATTCCTCCCACCCCAACCCAGACACGGCCCACCTCTGTTTCAACTTTGTGATCGCATCGGAAATCTCGCAAAGGCACTCTTACTGCGACTCTAGAACCAATCCGTTTCCGCTTGAATTCACGGTTTCCAAGTCGCCTCTTCTACCCTACATCCATCCTTTTGTCGCCGAGGATCTATCCTACTGGGTCGCCAGTCAACGCTCCCCGCCTAGGTCCTGAAAGGGACATGTTAATTAATGTTCACCTGAACTGCCAACATGTCCCCTCTTCGAGGCTATATCACATCCTACCCGCCACGAGTGCGCCAGTATAGTAACGCGCTTCTCACGCCCATCTTTCCTACCAACCAAGCCGGCCCCACGCCGCGAACCACGAAACGAGGGACCACCGCGATCAATTATGCCGAAGATGGCTTCGACGATGAGGATTTCGATGACAGCGAGGGTCCGCGCCGACCAACGGGGTTAAGGAGTCTGCGACGGGAGGAGTCTACGTTCGAGAAGGCCCCTTTAACAGAGAAGCTGGGGAAAGAGATCCACGCCCCTGTTGAAGTCCAAGGGGTGTTTCGCGACTGGATGATTAAAAGGATGTTGCGGCCTACGTACGTCTCCCGGTGATTGCTATCCCGTCTTCCCCTCCCTCAATTATATGCTCACTCTGACCCTCGTTTGCGCTCTGCAGATGTGCCGACCAGTTACAAATCCAAGCGCAATTGCCTCTGACCCTGATACCCATCCGGATTGACTTGGAAGTGCCGGCACATCAGCCCATCGAGCCGTTCCCCCTTCCGCGGTCGATCATGGATCCTGCGATCAACTCCACCCTGCCTGCGTACAGGCGACCGGACCCCCTACCCGCCTACCGCATCAAGGACACCTTCCTGTGGAATCTGCATGAAGCGCTCGCCACGCCCGAAGAATTCGCCATTGGGTTCGTTCGCGATATGGACCTGCCAAATCCGCAGGTCATGACCATGGCGATCAGCAATCAGATTCGCCAGCAATTAGAGGAGTTCGCCGGCGTTGCGTTGCATCCGCTTTTCCAAAGCACCCAGCCAAAACCCACCAGCGCCTCGCAGGCTGGCATCTCGCGGGACGTGTCTGTCTCCGCAACGCCCATTCCCGCTCGGCCTGTCACTCCTGATAACAGAGCTAAGCCTCTAACGGGAACGAAGGAGCCGTTGGTGAACGACAGTATCCTAAACCCGGACGATGCATACAGGTGTATGATCCACCTCAATATCAACCTGCAGAATAAGCTGTACACGGATAAGTTCGAGTGGTCTCTCCTGCATCCGCCGGGTATGCCCGAGGAGTTCGCCAAGATTACGTGCGCTGATCTGGGTCTCGGTGGAGAATGGGTCGGGGCGATCGCGCACGGGATCTACGAGGCCGTCCTGAAACTGAAGAAGGAGGTCTGCGAGAGCGGCGGCCTCATCAGCGGAATCGGCGGCTATGGGAACGAAATCGACAACCAAGCCGCTAACGGCGCGGACGCCGGGTGGCGGTACGATCCCGAGGGACTCGGCGACGAGTGGGAGCCCAAGGTGGAACACCTGTCCAAGGAGGAGATCGAGAAGCGAGAGGGTGATCGCGAGCGCCAGATTAGACGTCTCCGGCGAGAAACCGCCCGGTTCTCATCCACGGCCGGCATTACTCCGGACATCTCGCGGCAAGGGAGCGGCTACTTCGACATGGACAGTGAGACACCACTCGGTAGAGGCGAGCGCAGCAGACGGAAGCGGCGGTTCCGCAGCTTGAGTCCGTCTGGCAGGGGTGGTACGCCCGGTGGACGAGGAACCCCAGATACTGGGTCAGGGGCCGGCTATGGCGGTGGTGGTGGTACATTGACAGACTGGTGCGTCATGATCCCTACTCACCTGCTCGGGTGGACAAAGAAATTTGGGTTTGGCTAATATCGTATTGCAGGGAACGGCAAAATTGGAGGTGCAGTAACTGCTTGGTATGGGGCACTGCCGTTTGGGCTGTTCGAGATGGCCCTGCTGGTCCACGGGTAAGAGACTCCATTTTTCCTACATGGTCGCTCAGAACTGACGTGTGTGTAGTCGTTGTGCCACAACTGTGGACTTCTATACGAACGGGACAAGGTTGCTCCTGAGTGGTCGAGAGATCTACACCGTCACGATATGCCCATCGCCCGGTGATCTTCCGGGGGTTTCAATGAAAAGAGCCTACCATTCCAGCGTTTCAAGCCTACCAAAGGGTAAGACGATTAACCAATGATCAACTCATCGAGAAATGCTGGCTGACCACTAGTAGAAGTGTACCCTATTACCCAAAACAGGAAAAAGACCAGAAAAGAAAGACATAACATAACATACACCCTATGCAGCTCGATCCCAACAAGTATCTCTGAGACACATATCATGTTTCTCTGTGTATTTCTCTGAATTTGGCCCATGATATCATATCTTCTAATGAAATCCTTTGTGTGTTCGAGAGTTGGCGTTCTGATCTGATCTGATCTTTTCTATTCTTTATTTACTATGCATGTCTTCTTCCCAGGTATCCATCCCTGTTTATTTATCTATCATATCTATTTGTTTGTGGCTACGGTTAGAGTTATGGTCGGCTGCCTTTCTATTTTTTTCATCTCGATTTAACTTCACCTTTCTTTTTCTTCTTTTTTCTAAGATATTGTCGTCTATTCGCTCTGATCAATTCATTTCAGAGTATGTATACTGGTTGGGGGAATTGATGGATGGATGGGTGGTTTTATCCTTTTACCTATCCTTTTTCTCTCTTTTTTGCTAAGTTGATTGGCTGTAATACCAATGGTGTATCTGATATTATCCCGGAATGCAAAGACAAACCACCATAATACTTAAGGTCTCTACTGCCATTACTAGATGATATATACTTCCGCATGATCTTGAATGGGAGCGAAGTTGGGGCATCTCGGGAAAGGAAGAGTATTGAATATATATGTATGCGGGTAAGAGCGTCAATCATCCACATCAGAGTCAATCAATATAGTTACCCAAAGACATTATGAAACCTCATATAAACCGTACATTAAACCAACACAGTAATTAATCACGCATCATACACGCAATACATTCAAGCTTTTCGATTCCTCCATCATTGGGAGAAGCGTAGAAGGAAAACAGTCTGACCCCATTTACACTCTCTTCGTCCTGGGCATATCACACGGCTCCTAGATAAACAGATGACAATCAGCACTTCGCTCCATCAACGTAATCAATAGGTGAGAGAGAGAGAGGGAAAAAACATACAGACTGAGCCCGTCTCTTCCTCCCCCCCATCACCTCCCCACTAGACGCCATCTCCTGCCTCCGTTTCCTAACAGGTCCACCAGCCTTCGCACCCAAGCACACAACGTTACCGGATCCCCTCACCTTCACCCCTACGTCGATCTTGACGTCCACGGGTGGTGCCGGTGGTAGCGGTACTGGTGATGGCTGTCCTCTTCCATTAGAAGGGATATATATCCTTCTTCGGTCTTGTAGAGCTGCGGAGATGATTTCTGTAGCTAGAGATGCTAGCTTTGGTTGTTGTTGGCGCTGGAGGGAGTGGAGGGTGCCTATGGGGGATGGTGTAGCTAATGATGACCCTGTCGTTGTAGGAGGAGTGGTAGACGGGGCGAAGCTGGGTCTGCAGGGTAAGATGATCGTGTTTCTGTCTCCGGATATACTGATCGATGCGTCGATGTGGAGGGTTACCCTGCTGCTGCTGGTAGTCTTCTCGTGGAAACAGGTACTGTTGCTCTCCTCTTCGTTGTACTCGTCGAACTCATCGTCATAGTCCTCCTCGTCGATGTCGTCATCGTCATTATCATCGACATCGACACGGTCGTCCTCTTTCTCTCGTGGGGTGTATGGTGGTGGTGGCGGCCTCGTGTCTTGTCTGTTGACTGTGCGTGCTCTCCTTGTCCTTGCTGCTTCGGAGAGCTTGTGCATGTGGTGGAGGATGGAGTTTGATGGGGGATGCATTGTGGTTTCTTTTTGATATTGTCACCAGAGGGAAGCACACGAGTAGGATTAGGGCTGGGCTGAAAGAGGAGGTCGTGTGTATAGATAGTAGTATGTATCTAGTAGGGTTCGTAAGGTAGACACGTCTGATATCGGGAGAAAGAAGTAAGAAATATAGAATGATATATAGAAAGGATAGCTTTCTTATGCCGTTTCCATTCAGGGGCTTCCAAAACATCCAAGTAGGAATCAACCCGTCTATTAAAGTAAATATCGGTGTGTCTATTGAATAGAATCAATAGATAGTATCGACTAACCCAACCCGGTGGTCATCCACACCTATTGGCATTGGCTCACCCCCAACAATATCCCATTATACCTTGGAACAAACTTCCTGTCTCAGCATTGACCGGGGTGGAACGGGAGCGTACGAGTCCGATCCTTATTGACGGGGTCGCTCTTTGTATTGTTCTCGCTGCCCGTCAATAGGGATCACGTGCCCCGGGCAAGAATGTCAATCACAGGCAGATCCTGTTCCATGGGACTGTTCAATGGGTGACTCTTCCGATTGATCGGCTGGGTTGAATCGTGGTGAAACGTTGGATTTCACGGGCTTTTCTTTGTCCCTTGTCAAGTCTTCTAAATTACAATGGATGACGGAGTACCCTCTCCCTAACATAGAATCTGATTTGGGTATCCTACAGATCGGGTGGCTCAAACGTCTAGTGTAATGCAGACCTAACATTCTATCGCGCTTCTGTCTATTCACCAAAAGAAAAGGTAAGAAAATAGGGACAATAGCAGCGTCGAGTAGAAATTGAAAGGAAGAGAACATAAGCCAATTGGGTATAAGAACAATCATCTAATCTCGACGACCGCCGTAGTGTCATCCTGCGTGAAACGTCATCACCCCCGTCGTGGCTCACGGGCTGATGGGAGCATCTGTCGCTCCACCCTCTACCGGTGTACTCGAAGTAAACTTTGTTTGGACCACCGGGGCTGTGTAACTCAAATCTGGTCGGTGTAGTCACACAGTTAGGCTTTGGTTCCGCATCTGAGGTAGTCGTGTCGGTTTCACCGATAGGACACAGGACAGGCGTTAGAGTTGGTCGGTCGAACTTACTCCTGCTATGGAAAGCACCGTGTAGTTATTCTGAATCGACGGCCGAGACCCCGCTACGGGTGTGGTTGTTGTTCGCCTTCCGGATAATATTTGCCGCCAGGATGTAGAGACTGTGAAGTCTTGGTACTGATTAGCACGGACTAAAGCCGGCATGGACAGACTTTAATATACCAGCGTTTGTGTCACGCCAGCCAAAACCCCAAAAATCACGAGCTAGTACTGACTTCGCGAAACTCATCTCCCTCCACTTGGACCTCCCGATCTCGAATGCGGCGCATCAGGGCCAGAAAATTGCTTTGTTGGAACTTTTGACTTTGATCATGGCTAACGCTGTCAAGTAGCTGCCCTGCTGTCCGGGCCAGTTCGTCGGCATCGTTGGGGCGTCCTTCCGTCTCGTTCTGGGCGGTCTGCGAAATAGTGTCCGATCCGATCCGAATTTGTTCCTGAGATAAACTTCCATTCTGCGCATCCAACTGGTGGGGTTCGCTGCCAGCCTCGACAGTTTCCTGGGTGACATCGGTTGCCTGTGATGTCATGTCCGCCCTCGCCTGTTCAAATGCGGCTTCAAAAGCAGATTCATCAAACGTCTCAGCCGACGGCTGCTGCATCGCCGTTTCCTGTTGTGCCGCGGGCATTGCATTCATGGACGCTCCATGCATGGAATAATTGGGCGCGAATGAGGACTGAAACCCTGGCCTGTACGGCTGATGTTGCTGGAAGGGAGTATGTTGGCTCTGTTGGTTCATAAATTCGGCCTGCCAGCCCTGTTGCGGGGTGGCTGATACCGAAGCGGCGGACGGCCCGGGTTGTTGATGCATTGGATGAGCAGGGCCCGATATCTGTAGCCTTTGAAAATCCCCGGCCCAGCTGGCGCTCTCTCCCTGACTGGGTATCCCATGGTGTGGCGCATGGGCGACGAAATGGGCGGGATGCTGTAAATCCGGAAGTGGCGCCCCCGCAATATTCGATTCGAACGCGGCGAATTCCGGATCAAGGGCGCCTTCATGCGCATTTTGGGATCTGAAGCCCTGGAAAAAAAAATCATCATGTTAGCATGACGACAACGCGTATACAATCGTCGGACTCACCTGAGACGGCGACTGCCGAGAAAGTAGTCGATCCTGTTGAAGCGTTCGGTCCACGGAGGTATGCTTCTGGAAATTTTGCAGAGCATTTGACGGTCCACACAAGGCGTCACTCATGATGCCGGTAAAGAGCGAAAACTTCGAGGATATTCAAGACGTGCTGCTTGATTTGACGTAGTGATCGACGGATTGTGCAATCCAGTGGCGGTATAGATCACACAGGTCGGCAACCAACTTATGTATGGGAGATAATAATCATATAAGGAGTCGGAAAACAAGAGCTGAGAATCCGCCCTGAAGAATGATGGAGATGACAGACGCAACGAGGTGTTTCAGCAGGAGAAAAGGAGGAAGGCGAGGCAAATGCATCAGATGGCGTGGGGTAACTAAGCCGACCGAGGAATACCGAGGCCTTCTATCACGTGCTCCCCCTCGCCGGGGTTGCTGACTGATCCTCCCGATAAGATAAGATTGGACACCTGCGGCTCGTCGTCCACCAAGAGAGAAACGGCCAACTTGGCGGTACAGCGTGTTTTGTTGTCTCAACCTGTTTGTTTGGATAGATCGCCGTCCAGCCACTCCACCAGCTTTCGCCTCTACTAGTCTTCTCTCTCTTCTATTTACTCGAGGAATTCAGTTGTTTTTCCGTCTTTCGCAGCGGTAGATTGTCCAAAATGGTACCATTCTCCCGAACTGCAGTGCTCTCTCCTTTCAATCGCAACCGAATCCAAGCTCGCTGACCGTCCACGCTGGGCTCCCAGGCTGCCGCTCAAGTTATCTCGAACTCCGGACATGATGATATGATCGTATGTGACCTTGTGGACCCTCCCCGGAACCGTATTGCGTGGATCTTTGAGATCTGACTACTCCCCGGTCGCACACAGCACGATGCCGGACTCGACTACTATGGCCGCAGGTTGGCTACATGCTCCTCGGATAAGACGATAAAGATTTTCGAGATCGAAGGCGAATCGCATCGCCTGATTGAAACTCTGAAGGGGTAGGTGCTTCTCTTGCGCTGGTGCGACCAGCTTGTCGACCACTAGCTAATGGGGGTGGATTGGACAATAGCCATGAAGGTGCAGTATGGTGTGTTGCTTGGGTATGTATCAACCCCTCAACCCCCCCAATCAATGATTCACGTCTACAAACGTCACGGCGCAAGCAACCGCTAATGTCATCTTTTCGCGAATCTAGGCTCACCCCAAGTTCGGAACCATTCTGGCTTCTTCGTCCTACGATGGAAAGGTGCTCATCTGGCGCGAGCAACACCAGAGCACGACGTCCCCCGTCGGCGGCGGTGCCTGGACCAAGGTGTTCGATTTCTCCCTGCACACTGCCTCCGTGAACATGGTCTCCTGGGCCCCGCACGAGAGCGGCTGTCTCCTTGCCTGTGCGTCATCGGACGGCCAGGTCAGCGTTCTCGAGTTCCGCGACAACAGCTGGACTCACCAGATCTTCCACGCTCACGGAATGGGCGTGAACTCCATTAGCTGGGCACCTGCCGAAGCACCGGGTAGCCTGATCAGCTCCAGCCCCAGCCCCGGCCAGCAGCGGAGATTCGTCACCGGTGGAAGCGATAACCTGCTGAAGATCTGGGATTACAAGTATGCTTGGTGTTTCGCTGTCGAATGACTGATCAAATGCGCTAACACGATGATGACAGCGCCGAATCTAAGACCTACAACCCCATTCAGACGCTGGAGGGCCACTCCGACTGGGTGCGCGACGTTGCCTGGTCTCCTAGCATCCTGTCCAAGTCTTACATCGCCTCTGCCTCGCAAGATAAAACCGTCCGCATCTGGACCTCGGATGCGTCCAACCCCGGCCAATGGACTAGCCAACAGCTCGAGTTCGACAGCGTTTTGTGGCGGGTGAGCTGGAGCCCCAGCGGGAACATCCTTGCTGTGAGCGGGGGCGATAACAAGGTTAGCTTGTGGAAGGAGAACCTCAAGGGACAGTGGGAGAAGGTGAAAGATATCGAGGAGTAATTCTGGTCGGGCTGTTCGATTTCCTGCTTTGTTCTCATATTTATCTCGATATCTCATCATAATGAACTAAAATGGACCTGTGTAGATCTATGGACCATCCGACCTTCCTGCCTTCCTAACCATCCCGTGGCCTACCAGGACTAGGCAAGGTAGTAAAATGGAAATGGGAAAACTGACGGTTCACGGAAAGATTTAGTAGCCCAAAAGATAAACGGCCCCCTGGCACGAGTATCAACCATGTCCACCCACTGTCCTACCATGATCTGACCTCCCGGAAGCAAAAGTCCTTCATACCCGTGGATCCAAACAAAGTGAGGTTGTAGGTCAAGCGGCGGCCATGGCTCTCGAGGGAACAAGCGGCTTTTGTTGGCGAGCACTTCCATGTAATCCTCCCACTGGGGACCTATCTGTCCGCGGTGTGTTTCATACAGCGCAAAGCAGACCCGGCGCCAACCAGGAAAGCCACCCTGTGGAGAATTTACTGCCTCGACAAAACCACGAACCAGATTAACGGGCTCGTCCACATAGCTGCTTTGATATCCGCGGAAGTATGAGCGGGTTGAGTCTTCCCCTAGCAGCGGAATGACTTCCTGGAATACCCGTGGCCAGTTCATGGGGTCAGGGTCTGTTTTGACACGGAGAACCTAAGGAGGGCAGAGTTAACTTCCGGTTCGTGTCCCATAATGCCTGCTTGCGATGTTGTCAACGCGCACGTACCATGGGGTCAGGCAATAAGTGGGATCTGTTCCCTGCACAAGTCTGTTCCGCCTCAAGGATGCTTATTGAGTTTGGGTATGGATGAATGCATGCTGTATATGTATCACGGTCGACCACAGCTAGGTTAGCATCTAGTTTTGGGATTAGTGTATGTAAAAGCCACTGACAGTAATAACCCATCCATGTGTTGGGAAGCTCGCCATTCCGGCCGAAACTCCCACCTATCCTTGGTCTCCTAGGCTCTGGCAGTCTCTGATAGGAGTTACTATACGTATCTTCATCGGTATTCAGAAGATGCCGTAGCCAGAAATTGCGGATCTGCAGTAATTTGACGAGATCTATCGTGCTCGAGTCAACGAGCGTGCGCAGTGTGTCCGTGCCATACGAGTAAACAGCTCCAATGTCGTAGTCAGTCCGGAGACAGCGGCAAAACATGGACTGATCCAGAGCCATTCCAGTGAGGCACTGCACACCACAGTCAATCGTCTGCCGAACGGCGTATTCTCTCTGTGACTTACCAACTGCACAGCGCAGAACAGCTCAGAAGGCGGGTCTGGCTTATGCTGGCTGTAACCATTTGATGGTCTATCCAGAAACCCCGAAGTCGAAGATGCGCTCCGAATGCGCTCAATATTCTTTGAAGTTGACGGGTCCGTGCATTCAAAAGATTCCAAAAGCATATCCTTCAGCACCTCCAGCCACAGAGTCTGCTCTTCACCCTCTCCGTATTCAAAGTTGATCTTCTGAGCTAGAACGATAGACCGCGTCTGGTACTCGATCTTGAACTCAGTGGAGCTTCGCTGCCGAGGTATGTCGTACGTGTCTTTGAATAGTCTCTGCCATATGAGTGACTCTGCTGGCATGATGGCATTGTGCAGAAAGGAGCAGCTCAGGGATAGGTTGGCTATGTCTGCATCTTTTGGGAGTAGGTAAGCGATGTCTTGGGTGAGCTGGAAACGGGCATCGAAGTCAGCTTCTTTGTAACAGCGTAACAGGAGGGTAGTCACCTCTGGGGGCAAGCAAAGAAGCGAGGCTCTAGCGCTGGGAAATGAGCTCTTCTTGGCCATTGTCAATTCTGACGCTAATGTCGAACCCGTTATCAGATGGGATTCTGTGTGTCCGTATATTGATTAGATGAAGCAAGGCGAGCTGGTGTTGTCAGAATGTTTGGCAGTAGAACCGGGACACTGGAACTGAGAATGCCCTAGAGAGGTGGAATGATCTATAGCCCAACCCGAGGGAAATGCGAGGGCTTCCGTCCTGAGAGATAGCTGGTAAGATTAGAGAGAGCAGCCTGCGAAGTATATCCGCATGGACAAGACCGCGAGCCTATCTTGTGTGAGAGAAGTAGTGACTGCAATCGGCTAAATGATTAGCTGACCTGCAGAGTCCTCTTCCCACCCGTTTGACCGTCTTGTATTTTAACCACCTGCAACCTTTCTATAGGACGAATATCATCAATTTCATCCTTTCTGGACGTTTCCAGCGCGTCTTTCCACACGAAGTAGCTCTGTGTGGACAAGACCGCGAGCCTGTCTTGTTCCAAATTATGTTTGGTCTGACTGTTCAAGATCGCCAGTGGGAGAATTGATGGATGTACCGCAGTCGACAGTAGATCGTAACAGGTTAACAATCTCGTAGATGATACGAGGCGCAGTAAGACCTTCTATTCATGATTTCCATCTAGAAATATCAGTATCTGAAAGGACAAGCGGAGTGGCCAGATGTTTATACTAGTGGAAGGATAGCGAGGGTCTACTGGTAGTTCTCAGCTGACCATCTAGGGTATGACGATTTCTAATATATCTAAATACTTGAGGTTTCAGATTCTAAGTCTCAATCAAATCTGACAGAGAGATATGGATCCTATAACCCCATATCATCGTCATCACGGACCCTGGTCAAACTTTCTCGAACACCCCAGCCATCAGCCAGGAGTCCTTTGACTTCTTCTAAACTAAGCCCACTCATTTCGGGATATATCGCCCACACACCCACCCAACCAATAGTGCAAACAACCGCATAAGCAGCAAATGTCCAACCGGGAGACAGCCATTCCATCATAGGTAAGAAGCTAAGTCCAACTATGAAGTTCGAGCCCCAGTTTGTTGCCGTCGCTAAGGAAGACCCCAGAGATCGCACATTGAGGGGGAACAGCTCGGATTGCTGCCATGGGACATTCCCAAGCCCAAATGCATAGGACGCCGTGTAAACGGTAAGACACAGCAGGATTGTAACCGGGAGTAACGGTGAGTCTGGGAGAGCATCGTCGGACTTTTCCTGGGGCTGCGGGTCGGGCGACAAGGCTGGCAGTTCCATGGATGAAAACGCTAGCGCGCAAACGATAAGAGCAATGACCATGACGGGTATTGAGTAGAGAAGGATGCGTCGACGGCCAATCTTGTCGATATAAGCAAATGCTAGCAATGTGAAAAGGAAGTTCGCCACAGCGACTGATAAGGAGGTGAGAGTCGGCGAGGAAAACGAAAGAATTGAGAAGATCGTGGCCGAAAAATACATCAGACTGTTAAAGCCGGACAATTGTTGCAAGCCCTGGAGCATCACAGCTATGGTCAATGCGCGTCGATTCCCACCGGTGTAGAGCAAATCTCTGGCCCGCTGTAGGGCAACATGCCACCACCCGGAATCTCTATCGTTCCCGATCAATGCATCTTCTTTCGCGACCTCCTGTTGGATATCGCGCAGGACCAGCCTCGCGACACGATCACTGTCAGAATTGCGACCTCCGTAAACCTTCGCAAGCACATGGGTTGCCCTAGACTCGAGACCTGCTTGTACAAGCCACCGGGGTGTCTCAGGCAGAGCGACAACAATCGAAAACTGCAAAACAGCCGGGAGTATCCCGAGGCCGACAATCCAGCGCCAGCCTCCACCGACGGAGGAAAATAGCCATCCGACGATATATGCTATAACTTGACCACCTGTGATAAACAAGCATAAAATGGTGACCAGCCTGCCTCTGACATGGGACGGTGCCAGCTCTGATATATACCTGGAAAGAGTTAGGTACGCTTTCTGCTTTCTCTGCTTTCATGCGCTAGCCCACGGCTCCTTCAGCGCTCCTTCAGCCGGCTGGCCCATTTCCAGAGTGAACCTACAGTGGAGTAACCAAGCTCGCGCCGCCTACTGCCAAACCAACAATGCTTCTTCCTAAGATCATCCCCCATACCTCACTTGTAACAGCTTGTACTAGCGAGCCAATAGCGAAAAGCACGTCCGCGACAAGAATGACCGATCGACGGCCTAATTTATCAGCCATAACCCCAGCCAGCGGACTCGCGATGAGCGCGAACAAGCTGGTGCAGGACGTAATCAAGCTCTTATCCAGCGTCGTAAGCGCGCGATTCGAAAGGTCCGACTGAATCGATACGAGCGTCGAGGATATAACACCTGTACTTTGATGGTTTGGCGATCAGCTAGGGTATCGGCCGTTATGGAAGTCAGACTTTACTCACTCGTATCCAAAAAGAAGCCCGCTTATTCCGGCGGAGAAGGTCAGCGCCCAAATAAACCATCCTCCGGAGTCTGTTGACTCCAGTTTCTTCGAAACTGAGTCATTGTTGGCATGGTCGTTGGTCTCATTGGTGGTCGCGGGTTCTGGTGTAAGTAACGGCGCGCTGGGACCCGATGGGCCGTTTTCGTAGCCATAACTCATGCTCCAGAGCTCTGTTTCTTGTCTCGCACCTGCATCTGTATTCTCGTCCAGTGTGTGAGTGCTAGTCTTTCTTGTTTGACTGTGTCGCGTTTGGGTGATGGGCATACAAATCTAAGACCATTGACGTGTGGAAGAGCATGGGGTCGAATTGGTAGTCTGTCCGCGGGATCCACTTACCTATTCCGAATGCTGACTAGCTCATTTGAGGACCATCCATCGATGACCTCGATCGTACTACATGATACCGGTGGAGCAATGCCGAGCATGTGCAGATTATTTTTGGGTGCCACTGGACTATACGGCTCTACATTCTTGATTGAAATGCTCTCTCACGCTCTCTACTTCTTTAAATCAATAACAGGTGAAGATAGACCGCACTGATCCACGTGGGAATGAATGTATTTTTGATCACGTAGAAGCCAATGCTACTACTCCGTACACAAGCTTTACATGGACTTAGTGAGCTATAGCTACTCCCGCCGAGTTGGCCTGCGAAGTGATCATCTTCTTGTAGGCCTCGACGGTGCCGTCGAACTTGTGCACCGTACCACCGTCACAAACCCAGAGACTCTTGCAGACGTTTCGAAGCATCGTCACATCGTGGGATACCATCACGATACCTCCCTCGAAGTTCTGTAATGCTTCGGACAACGCATCCATACCCTCAATATCCAAGTGGTTAGACGGTTCGTCCAGCACAAGGATGTGCGGGTTGGTCAGCGACAAGCAGGCGAAGGCGACACGGGACTTTTGACCTCCGGACAGAAGTTCCATGCGTTGAAGGCCCGTCATACCCGTAATGCCGAATCTAGTGAGCGTAAGATGTCAGCATGATTAATTCAACGGATTCAATGGGCTTGCAGGTTCAGGGTCAAAACATACGCTCCTAAGTGTCGACGGTAGTCCTCGTCTGTCTTTCCGGGATAGGTCTTCGCCATGAAGCTCACGGGACTGGTGGTTAGATCCAAGGCATCAACGTGATGTTGAGCAAAGAATCCAACGCGAAGTCTTGAATGTGTAGAGATCAAGCCAGAGGTCGGCTGTAGCTGGCCAGTGAGCAGTTTCAGTACTGTAGTCTTACCAGCACCGTTTGGCCCGACGATGCCTATACGAGAATCAAGCTGCACGCTGAGCTCAACGTCCTTGAGAAGTGGCCGGTCTGGAGTATATCCGAAAGCAACGCCGTCCATCTGTAGAATGGGAGGAGAAATCTTCTCCACTTCTGGGAACTTGAAATGTACAACATAGTCGCTTTCGGGAGCCTCGAGGACTGGCATCTTCTCCAGCTTTTTGATTCTCGATTGCGCTTCGGACGACTTGGCCGCGTTGTATCGGAACTTGTCGATGAAGGCTGGTCATGTTGGTCAGTTTGAAGGCCTCGAAGACTGGTAGGTGGAATGATATGGTCGGTACCTTGCAGATGCGCGCGCTCGGCCATTTGCTTCTCATACTCGCGCCTGGCATTCTTTTTCCGTTCTTCCTTGGTCCCATAGAAGGAGGCTACAAGATGTTAGCGCGCCTTACATGCGTGATCAGGGCGTTTTGACAACTTACTGAAGTTACCACCCTTGTAGTAGTCAAGTCGCTCGTTATGCTGATGTATGATATCCGTTGCAATTTCATCAAGGAATGCTCTGTCGTGAGAAACAACCAAAACGGTGCTAGGATAGCCCTGTAGGTAATTGGACAAGAATGTAATGGACGGCACGTCCAACATGTTAGAAGGTTCTATGTGAAGTCAGTACGCAGCCTTTAACCGCACACGGCGCTATATTTCGCAGGGGGGGGGTATAACTCACCGTCCAACAAAAGCAAGTCTGGCTCGCAGAATAGAGCCCGCGCCAATGCCAAACGCATACGCCAACCACCGGAGAAAGTCTTGGTTGCAAATTGCTGCCTTTCGGCTGAAAATCCAAGACCGGCCAAGATACTAGCTGCGCGGGACTCGGCCTTGTCGGATTCCATCTCCGCCAGTTTCGCGTAGATGTCACTCAGGGTCGTGTCAAGACCCTCTCTTTCATGATCGAGTTTAGCCGCATCTTGGGACGTGTCTGCCATCGACGATCTTTCCGTATCAAGCTGGGCAAGCTGCTTGGTGATTTTCTGTATGAAAGTCAGAAGGAACCCAAAGCCGAAGAATTACGATGAGATGTGAAATGAACGAGTTACTGACATCCTGGTCGGCGAGAAGGCGCTTTCGCCACACATCGGCATCCAAGACTGCTTGAAGAGCCGGGGTATCGTCACCTGTGATCTGTCGAGCACGTTAGCAAGAACCATACACAATCATGGAAAGCGGATGGGGTTTCGCACTTCTTGTTCGACGTGGAGAATCGAGATGTAGCTCGGGACTGCCACTTCTCTGCGACTCAAAGCACGCAGCAGGGTACTTTTTCCGATACCGTTCTGACCAACAAGACCATAACGATGGCCGAAAGCGAGCGTAAGAGACGCATCGGTCAGGATACGGAGACCACCGACAGACACATCGATACTGTCGATCTTGATATCCTTGCTCTTCTGCTGTGAATCGGAGCCCAACTGAAGCGGATTGACGGCCATGAAGAACTCTTCGTAAGTCATGGCGTCGTCGGGCTGGGTGATGAGGCGGGAAGATTCGTAATGCACCGTCTTCATCTGCTTCTTCTCCTGCTTGGCGCGAATCTTGCGCTCTGCTTTTTCGAGCTTCTTGCGGTCCACACGAGACTCCACCTTTCGAGCATTGGCCGATTCCAGGTCGACGTTTCCTCCGGCAAGACCCAGGGTGGAGGACATGTTTCGCTGAGAGCCGACGTTGATAGCCTGGTCCAGCTTCTTCGCGGTGAAGGGCATCTGGCTGCGTTCGGCATCCACCCCGTTGGACGCGCTCAACGAAGAGATAAACTTCTCCACCAGGTTGCGGATGGCAGCTTCATTTTGAGGAGAAAAGTTCCCCGACGCAGAGACGAGGAGCTCCGTCACCATGTCCGCGGCTTCCGCCAGTGGCGACGGGACATTTGCATCTTCAACATAAGCCTTGGAAGCATGAGTGAGATAGCCCTGTCGAATGTTAGTGTACTTCTATACCTAGTTTTACAATGCGTAGAGCAAAATCATGAATTCAGAACCAATCACATACCACAGAATATTCTGATACCACGCGGTCCAAACCGGGGATCTGAGATTGGAGTTCTGACTCCATTTTGAAGGCGGGGAACTGCAATGACGATTCCGATGCACAAGAAAGAAATTGGGGAATATGCAAGTCTATCCAATTGTGCCAGTTTCCAGCATCTAATTAGGATGCCCCTTGTATAGTTACGTTGAGGCGACTCGATATGTACCTAGAGGCTGATAGAACAATTTCTCTTTTCTGCAAAGCTTTGGAGGGGCGGTCTCGTCACGGGCGGAGTGGCCGCTGTTCTAATTGGACGTAGCTGGTTATGCAGTATAAACCGTCGGTTGGTTACATAATTGCTGCATTATTACCAAACATGCTTATCCACGGTAATATCTGCCCCAGGCAACAACACCACTGCCAACTTGACATAGTTACTATAACTTCAACTTGCAATGATGGAAACGGTCTTATGCCGATTGTATTTCTCATCCATTTAGGATTGAGGGGTTTGATGACATCTAGGCCACATTCTTTTTGCATTCACACTACAGTACTTACACTATAATCGCCAAATCCCGCTCAAGATCATTAAGTGACATGGAAGGATTTGACGGGTCGAAGAGTGTTTCATCGAGATGATTTAGTCACTAAACATCTGCCATGTCTGACCGCCTCGAAATGCAGTCTTCGCAGATGTTCTATGGGTGAACGACATGAGAGAAAGGGGATGTGAACAGAAAATCAAGGGAAACAATAAAGACAAACAAACCCCTGCCAAAGTCAGCACCTAGCTCGTATATCGCTTCAAGATCCAACCGCTGGGGTCTACCACCCCGTTGCTCCAGCAAAATATGCGTGTACGGCGGAGATTACTCGAACAAATTCTGGCAAGGCGTTTTTCGGCGTCGAGCCTTGCCCCTGCGGGGGGCCTCAACACACGGCCTTTATCGGTCGAGTCTAGCGGAAAGTTGAATCGGTAGGTTGTTGCAGGGATCGCAGATTTGAGTTCTGGACAATGATCGACATGAAGACAGCTGTTCATCGGTCAGTGCGACCCTAGCCAGTCTCGCTAAGGGAGGACAAATTGTACTCTCTCCGTGTGACGACGACGGGAAGGATTGTTGCACTTCTCCCTTTGGAAGGGCTGAAGATTGTTGTCCTGGGTGATAAGTTTAATCCCAGGTCCGGAGGCCTTCGTTGGCCAGGTGTCTGAGGGGAGGATCCGTAAATCAACTTCACCTGACTGCAAGGATACACCGGAGCAAGGGTGAGTTGTGTACCTGCTTTGCGGAACAAGCGCCTGCCCCCACCCCCAACTTCCCGTAGGGTTAATCGTTCCTAGATATTGGCTACAAGGGAGAATTCTAGTAGAGTTGAATCTCAAAACATTGATATGCCTGATTAGGTTTTGTGTTTGTTCGAAGAGGGAGAGACGAGATTGACGGAGTACTCCGTGCATTGTATTGTGCTGTGCGGAGCCGATCACACCAGCCACCAGTATCCCCTCAGCTCTTGGCAAGATCACGAAGAACTAACTGGTGACCAGTAGTAGGTCTGGAAGGATCCGTTTCGGAAGGGAGCTAGCCCCTGTTACATTTCTAGCATGACAATTACTTTGAACCAGTTAGCTGTCAAAGAGGCTCGCGAAACAGCACTATAGACTATCGAAAGAATTATCCGGATGACGAACCATCCATGAGAACGAAGGGAGGGAAAATCCAATCCCTTTTTCGAAAAAAGACCCATCGCATCGGTCGGAGATATTGCCCTTCGAGTCTAACATCTTGCAGGCCCACGTTCCGCTTGGAGAAAATTGGATGTATCATCTCGATCTGCTGTGTTTCCTGCCGAAGCAGCTTACTATCACACCGTTATGTTGGCTGTCTATTGACATCGTGGAAGGTGCAGCTTTTTCTTCCTTTTCTTTTCTTTTCTTTTCTGATTCTGTCACAGACAAGGGGTAACTCTACTGTGTTCAGTGTGCATGAATCACATTGCACACCCGCTCCTTTATTGGCAAAATTCAAAACCCTGGGGTAACCTTCCGCTCCCTTGAATATTGAACCTTGGGCCACATCGGCTTTCAAACACTAGAATCATTCCTTGTTTACATGGACCTACTCCGTAGAATCCTTACCGAGTACGGAGTAGCGTTCCAAACATCGCCTGTCAAAACCGCGCAGTTGGGACCTCGGTAGACCTAGAGATTTTGTCCTTGAGTAAGAGACGACGGGAAAGATGGGTCCCTACTACCTAGGTAGGTAGGTAGAAAGAACGATGAGTTCATGGCCCTCGGCTGAAATACGGGACAAAGCCAGGAAGTGGGGTTTAGCCGATGTTTGAACGCGTTGCCACTTGGTTCAGAGATCGTCCAACCAGGAAGTGGAAAGCATTCCCAGTTGATAGAACTCGATGAATGACTCCATAACATCTTAACCATTCTTCGTCTTTTTATTTTCAAAATTTGTCTATTTCATTATCTACTTATTTATTTGACTATTTTGGTATTTGTTTTATTGATTATAGTATCTGTTTCATAAATGAATTGCGCTCTGACAGGGTTACTCTAGATGATCTATTCTTATCAGCCTGGGCAGATGGAGAACCAATGGTAAACAGGTTATGATGATGACACCACAGGGCACAGTGGAGGATCCACTCGAACACTGGGCAGAGGAGGAGCTGAAAAGAGATCCCGAGCCTAGTTTCATTAATCGCTCGGAAATCTGATCACCATTCATCCTCCTCCACTCACCAAGATTTGTAACCTTGAGAAGTGGGATCGTGCGCGCTAACCAGCCCCATCGGCTCCTGCTTAGACTCTCGCTAAAGGATCGGGCATCTCGCTCCCTTGCATCGCTCCAGTCTCCCCCAGATACACGCCGACGGATTGTTTTTCTGTCACTCAACTAGGATTTTTATTTTATTTTATTTTATGATTCTGCAGGGAAAGGTAAGGTAGGTCATCTATGCACTGGGTGGTTAATGCCTGTTGTATGGTGTATACTCGGAGGTTCGTTCCAGCTCGGTGGGGAAGTTTTCCCAGGTACCAGCCGTCTATCTCCACTCCGATCAGTTGGATATAAACTGCATTTGTACCACACTCTCAAGGACGGGAGGCTGTAGACGGTGGATCTCTAGGTAGAGTGTTTATCACAGGCTTGTTGTCTTGTTTTTTCAATATTTGATTCTTCAAGGCAAACAAGTTTCCTCTGCGATCGATCTATCGGGGTGGTGTTACTCGATGTTGGACCGGAATGAAAAGATCGATAGTTCCTGATCATTTAGAGGACGGAGTCGTAGTCGTACTCCTATGATTGTCGATATTATGACAATTATCATCATCTCCTTCGTATCCCTTTCGAAACCCAAAGAGACAAGAAAAAGAGAAGAAAGTAGAGAATCGATCTGTTTGCTCGGCGACCCTCCTAGCGTGAGGGACCACTATTAGTATCTCGCTCCCTAACAACTGATCGAGTTTAGACCAGAACTAGAACCGCCTCGCCCGTGGGTGGAAGAAAAAGAAAGTGGCCGCCGTCCCACTCGCTCTTTGTTGATCGATGACCTCTTAATTACCTTGTTATTGTTGTTGTTGTTTTGGCTTGCGCTTCGAGTTCTTTGCCTGGACTCCTTGGATTCTCTTCTTCCTTTCTTTCTTTCTTCTCAACTGGCTCCCTGGCTCTTTCGTCCAAGCTTCTGACTCGCCATTCTTCTCCATCATTTATCATCGCATTCCTTGATGACATTCTTTTCTTCGATCCCCCCGTTCCTGATAGCTACCTAGCTCTCACGCGACCTTTTATCCCCCCCACCTCCCCAAATACGCTGATCGCGATCCTTGAGCTCCGACTCAACCATCATACCAAACTGCGCAGTGTCAAATACTTCCCTTCTGTCAAATCGATACGAACTAGATTCTTCGGAGATGACTCCCTCCTAGACGCTTTCCACTTCGGACGTGTCGAATCAGCTGGTTCTCGTGCATGATAATGCAGATGGGACGTCAATTACCTGTAATATCGATGTCGCTAATCTAAGCTTCATGGTGCTTGATACTGTTCCCCGCGCCCCATGAGAATGGAGCATGTCTCAACTGTGAGTTCTCCATCTTTCTTTTCGCATACAAAAGACTTGATGTCTTTAAACACACCATGACTCGTAGTCCTCCACTGACCTGATCTTGTCCAGCTGTGTGCGGTTAGCACCGTCGGTATTGCAGCAACCGGCTTCGCGCTCGGTCGCGTAGAGCAGAAATCCCCGCCATCGAGTCGGCTCCGAAATAAGATCCATCCGCAAGGCGGATGCGCGCCCGCAGCCACCGACGCTGCCACCTTCCCCCCGCTCGATACTTCGCGACCACGAACCCGGCACACCTCTGTCGCGGTGGATTTGGCGTCTCCCACAGATACCGGCCCTCGTGTCCACGATGATGTGGTCGGTCTAGGCTGTTCGGACGAGCCATCACGGCCGAAATCATCTTTTGGGGGGATAAGATTACGGCGCCGCGGTCAAACTTTCTCGACCACGTTGTCGCCAGCCCCAAAGGATGATTTACCCGTTTTACATGACCGTCGGCCCTCGTCGTCATGGGTCCGACGGCTCTCATTCCAGCCAGACAAGCGCCCGTCGTGCCAAAGCCCCGTCTTCCCGTCCTCCGACGGGCCCGCAAGTCCAGTATACTCGCGCCCGTCGAGCCAACGCCGGCCGCCCAACAAATTGGTCAAACGGCCCACTTTACAACACAACATCAACCCGTTGTTTGAGAGTGCGCCGTCTTCTCCGTTGACTCCCACCTTTCACAGACCAGCGACGAGCTATCAGCGATCGGGTCATCTCGGGCACAAGGCAACACACAGCTTAAACTTTGAACCGAGCTCTTTCGCCGATCCTCGGGTGCAATCCACTACAGATGGTGCTCCACAGACGGTCGACTCCTGGCGGCCATACCTAAGAACTAGCCTCGGCGGATCCCTTGACAGGCTAACGCGCAGGTTCTCAACGAACACAAAACCTAGAGATTCGGGACTACGACGAATTCTTCCCAGCTCCGACACAGCCCCAGCACTCCTCCTGGGCACCTCCGTCGCATCCAAGGAAATTTCTAACACTGTCGATCCAGAATGGCGTGCCCTTGGATCTCCGGTTCACTTCCGCAATCCATTCCAGCAGAGTGCCTCCGCCCAAAGAGAAGAACCAGAGTCACCTTGTGTGCCAAGCCACAATGAACGTGGGCCATTGCACTCCCACGATGAAGCAGACCTCCAATGCGAAGATAACAGTCCCGAGGCTGTAGGTGGTGGTGGGGGAGCCGGCGACTTTGCTCTGGACCGTCCAAAATGCAGGGCAGCCTCGACCCCTTTGCCCAACCAAGCAAAACTGGAAGGAGCCAACGTGGCATCCTCCATTCAAGAGAGGCGCAACGTTTCCCATCCAGCTGGAGTCCGTGCTCGAACCCCAACGGTTTCAGAAACAGGTGATCCTTTTTCGTTGGATCTAGATGTCATAGGAGCTAGACGCAAATTCGTCCCGTCCTATTCGCAGCCGGATATAGGCAATCTGCGGGAAAGTAGACAGCGTCCCATGACCTCGGATTCAGCCATTCCGTCCACACATCAAGGCTCAATGCGCCATCGACCTAAGCGTCATTCAATTGCGGCTTCTGAGCCCACCTCCACCGTCATTGGTTCTGACGACACTCATGTTTTTACGTCGAGTGAGGAAGATGACACGGACTTTTTGAGTGATACCGCCTTCGACTCGATTCGCACTCACGTCACAAGCAGTAGCTCGGGACTCCACACTGCTCGTATCGAGTCTATCTTCGATAAGTCGATTCCACTGGGCATTGCGGAGGACGCGTCAACGCCTCTTGGAAACCCGGACTCGTGCGATTTCTTCGCCCCCCAGCAACGCGAGAAGAGTCATTTTGACAAGGACGCCGACAAAGTACCCGCTCTCGTTTCGACCCGGCCCGCGCCTGATGAGATCAATATGTCCGAAGGAAACAGCGGGATCTCGTTCATCTCCGATCTGACAGACGACGAGGATACGCATAGTCTCATCGCTGCTTTGCCAGGGGACACCATGGGTCAGGCTCTACCCCCGAAGGGCCCGCCGTTATCCTTGACCACCCATAATCTTAATCGAGGCAAGGCTAAGCCCTCGCTCCCGGATAAGGAACAAGAGACTCCCGTGGAGATGCAAGGTCACGCACAATATGGCTTACCAGGTGTCACTAATGGGGCTCCCGGAACCACCCCAAGAATGAATATTTTCGATTGGTCTGAACAACCGAAACCCGACCGCGAAGCCTGCGGGCCTGACTGGCGGCCACGGACCGTTCATGGGAAGCATGGACCGGAACTCCGTGGGAGCCGAGCGCCGTCACGAAAAGTCCCAAACGCCCTACACCTCCGAAGCCAGAGCGTTCCCGTCTCGAGAGATATAGCAACTGCTCAAGACTCTCGACGAACCTCGGGGAAATATGGAACCTGGGGTTTGGGCAGCAAAGGAGTCAGTGAGGACTGGGACAGCGACTTTGATTTCGATGAATCGGACGAAAATAACACCAACGATAACACTAGGCCCCGCAAAAACCTCTCCGAGAGTGTTATGGTAGTACCTCAGGCTATCATGGAGCGACAAGCCAGTCTGCATGGACAATTCGGTCAGGTTCAGGAACTGACCCTCCTCGTGGAAGAGCTGAAACGACTTCGACAACGAGCCAGCTTCTTGGGCATTGTTCAGGGGCCCTCAAGTGAGCTGTGGAAAGAAGCAGAGGGTATCGTTGACCTAGCCACCCTGGACGACGAAGAGGACCATCTTTCACCCCCGGGATCGCCGGCTTCTCTTACCTTCAGCTTCGATGATTCGGAGGGCGAGAAGTCGACTACGAATGGCCTTTGGAAGCGGTCTAGCGGTGTGTCCTGGGGTGCTGCACTCTCAGAACAACCCCATCGAATCTCTTCGGAGTTTCCTATCCCAGATCATAAGGAAAACTCTGTGCTGGACATGATCTATCAGCAACGTGTCTCACATGAACCCGCCTCCAACGGATCGCATCTCACGCCTCCCAAAAAACTCCCCTTCGACACGCAGTCCCTCCATAGTCTCGTCAACCGAGCCGGTGTCGTCACGCGTGCACTGAAAGAAGTCATCCGCAAAGCGGACGAAGTCCCAAGCGGCCCTCATGACGTTCATACTTCCGCTCCTCCATTCAGCCAAATATTCAATCGACCTTCTAATGACAGCCTTTCGTGTTTCGACAGTCTCGTTGGCTAAAACGCAATGTTTCTTTTTGTTTTCCGCATTGCTTTATTTGATGAGCCCTTCCCAGCGTCTGAAGATCACATGTGCGTGCTTGCATTAAACGTTTCTTTTCCATGATTTTTTTTCTTCTCTTCTTTCTTGAAAGAGTCATATCCGCACTGGAAGTCCTCCTTCGATGGAGGCCCTGTTTTGTACAAGAGCCTGTTGGTGTATATCCCTTCCTTCTTTTCGTTTCTTTCTTTTCATCGGGCCCTTCAAACCCTGTCTGGAGTACTCTGGTGGTTTGTTTTCTTTCCAAGCATTTCCCAAGGATGGGATGTTGACACCCGTCCAACATTGCTAAAGGCATTCGGTGTATGGATTTCGTGTTTCTTATGGTTTTAAAATGGTGGGCAGGGTGAAATGTGTAATCATGTTGGGGCTTTCGCGTCCAAGGGCAGTCATGGACTAGAGTATTATGTCTCCTTTAATCTACAATTTAGACGATGCCACGTAATGTGCTTCTCTTTTACTCTTTTTTTTTCTTCTCGTTCTCTTGAACTTCTGTAGAACCTTTGTATGGAGATGAGGGCAAGGAGATATACATGCCATCTTGATTACGGCGTACAGTGCGAAGCCATCCGAATATCAAAATACATGAAAGAACGACATCCCCGACCAGACTACTTGGCCAAGACGAAGATGATATACGATAAGTGCGGCATGCTGTTGTATGATGAAATATGCAATCGGGCAACATATCAGCTGACTTGGAGTGATCCTCCCCATATACATTGTCGTGTTGACTCTTCGTGTTTTCTTGCAGTCTTGCAACTATTCGCAAGTTCTTCATAGCCATTGATACCATCAGTTTTGACTGTTTTCATTGGTCCTCCCACACATGTACTACCTAGTGATGCCTTGATATAATGATATAGAGGAAAATATACCTGCTTACGTTTATTTATCCAATGGCTTCTTTTTATCTTTGTCGTTGAGATTGACGTATATATATAAGGTAAACTATACGGCACGACAAAACATCACCCCTTGTGTTCTACTGGTATAAACACACTAGCCGTTAATACGTAGGCGAGGTATATTATAACAACTACGGAGTACTCCGTAGTATGCCGTTAATGTTTGATTCCGCTAACACAGACAAGCTAATTAATTGCAGTGTCTACCGTCCAATGATCAGCTTGGCAAATCCATAATCCACATTGCAATAGAGTTCCTTTGATTTATACCCCAACATGCTGTGTTCCGTGTAGCTAAGGTATTTATTTTCACAGTAACACAAAATCGAGAATCAAACAAAGCAATCGAGAAATCGGTGTTTCTAGGCCCGTATAAGCTCCAAACCAAGCAAAAGTGGCGCGCCGGTGTCTCATCTTTGATTATCTACAGAGCTAGCCACCCCCGCCAAGGACACTACCCCGTCCGCCGGCAAGCTAAGCAGTGTACTTGATTCATCTTGATACACAAGGATATTGCTAGCTCCAGGGAAAGATAACCAGTTAGATAGAGAGGTGCTGGGAGAAAACAACTCTCCCTGTCAATTAGCTCCCTCCTTGCTGAAATTACCACCTGTTGGACATGGATTATCGCGGTGATGGCGATGCTGTTCTAGATCGCCGAGCTGCGAGGGAAATGCCGCCAATTGATCAGGATTATTACCTAGAAGGGAGAAAGGAATACAAGATTGACTAAGCATGCCTAGCTCAGGTACAGAAGTTTAAGGTATGCTTGGAGGTGTTCTTGGCAATGATTGGCATGCTAAGAATATCGCACCTTATCTGACTGACCTCTTGATTCTGAACTCTTATTTCGATGTTACCCCGTTAGACAGAACAAGTCACTCAGAAGTAATCAGGTATTTCAGTCTCCCGGACGAAAAGGATTGTCGTTACTCGTTAGTCGAGTTACAAGGTGGAGCCCACCCTTTTAGGGAGCGGAGATGCTCCATCGTCATTGGTGGCGAAGGTCACTGGTTCCTGACGCTAGAAGGAGGAAGGATTTTGGGGCTTGGGACAGTTCCCGCTGATCCGAGGATTGTCATTCAGGGGAATTCCCAGGTCAGGTCAGGTCAGGTCAGGATTAGAGGTCTCAAGTCATTTTGGGTACCTGGTGTTGGGTTTGAGGGAGGGAAAGGAGGGAACCCCCATCTTTGTAGAGACTAGGTATTAGAGAGGAATAGGGAGCTCTATCCTTGGTACGTCCAAACTTTGGATCTCTCAGGATAGGATAGCTCCTATGCATAAATACCCTTCCAGAAATGACGATGTCCACCGTTTCTTTTTAAAGAAACGAGGGATGCCCGACTGGAGCTAGGTTGATCCTATTTTTTCATAACTTTCATTACTTGGGTATCTGTGCTATCTCTCCTCGCTGTAATTTTGGGAAATCACGCTAGACTCAGGGGTTCCATCCTGTGTTTTGTTACCAACTGATACAGTAGCTCACAATATTTACCATGTCTCGACTAGGTATAATATAACTACTCCCTTCTGGGAACTTGATGCTATGTACACATTTGTCGTCGTTCGAGTAGAGGAAGAGCAGCAGCTTAATCGCCATCAGATGACGGACAGGAGATGAATACCGAACTAGATCCCCCCTAGCATGTACCATACAATGATCCTCAAATTGTCCCTGTGTATCCCTATCTATCTACTATTTAGGAAAGGTTCCACGGGTTCAACTGTGTTGATGTAAAGTGACGGTACGGTACACCAGCATAGCCTTCGAACTAACGCCCCGTTCTTGCATCTCTCCACAGTCCCCAGTTGCAGCCGGTCAAACCACACGAGAAACAAAACCCGTCCTGTAGCAGTTTAGTCTAATCTTTCGGCCCTCTTCGCTGGACGGCCTCGTTTTCTCTCTCTTTCACCTCCTCTTCTAGCCTCTCCTTATCCTTCGTTCCCTTTTCTTCGCTTTTCATCTCCTGTCGGCGACAATATACACTCTTTTCTTTCTTTTTTGTTGTCCCACTCTCTCTCTCTCTCTCTCTCTCTCTCCCCCTCTCTTTTTTCCTTTCCCCCTGACGGGCCTATTTTCGTTCCTTACCTGAACTTCGATTGCCACTCTTTTAGGAACTCCCCAGTTCCCTTCCACTCCTTATTCAAAAAGCTTCGAGACGTTGATCCGCCTTCCCTTTGGGCCTCATATTCTTTCACCCGAATCTGACCCGTCCATATACCGTCAATTGCAACTTGTACCATATTGCCGTTCACCTGGTCTTTTTCGTCAGCATCTTGCTTGTGACTTAAATGACTCGGAGGTAATCATCACCCGGTGGCTGATTGCCGTTCGTGTTATTACCCGGGCCCGACTGGAGCGCTGTACAGCGGCCCCGGACAATCATGCACCACCATAACCATCACTTTGCCCGCCATGGCATGCATAGGGTCGCACGAGACCTGCCGCAGCAGCCGGACATGGTGCCAACTCAAGCCGAGCCATTGATCGTGGAAGCTGGTAGTCCAACGATGGTGAAGAGATCCGAGTCGACGTGTGGTAGCAGCGGAGAGTGTGAAAAGCCCACCAGCACAACAACAACCACAACCTTGCCTGTGGTGCTAGGAGCAGTGTACGCCTGATCCCAATCTCTTCCCTCACCCGTCACGTTTTCATCACTCTTGATGCTACTCGCCGCGTCTCTGTTCGGTCGCTGATCAGTCTCTAGTGTACCGATTGTATGTGCCATCATCGTGTTGATATATCTGCACCGGAGGAACACCAAGAAGCTCCGGAGTGAAGATGCCAATGACAAGCACAGGTCTCTTGACTTTGGCATGGACCTGGGTCCCACAAAAGGCTCCAGGCAGATGCGAGAGGCCGAAAAAGGGAACGGGGGTTACCACACCAAAGGCATCTCCCTGGATATCGGCCCGAGCCCGTATCTCCTCCCTCCCGGCTTGCATGGCTCTCAAGAATCGTTCAATTCCTTGTCACGGTCCATCAGTCGGGACGGTGACAAGTATCGGCCCGTCGCTTTCCCTCCCAAAGGCAAGAATCCACCACCTAGGGGTTATCCCGACGATACGGCAAGCCTCGGGGGCGGCGCGCTTGGTGACGATATGAACCAAGGGTTACTTGGAAATGCTCAGCGGATGTCACGTTCATCTCCGCCCCTGTGCGAGCAACCCGAACCCCACATGCAAAGTCCGGTGCACGGCAATGATAAACCGGCGGATCTGGACTTCCAATTCGGCCTTCCCCGAAGTCCGAGCCCTGCCCACTTACCTGGCGCCGCGGCAAATACTCCGCGGGTGAACGAGGATGGTGTCCATGGCTCAATGGCTTCGCCTCCTCCGCAAATCAACCTACCGTCGCATGATCTTCCACCGAACCACCCTGAACCGGAGCACGGGAACCTATACACAACGTCCATTCCAACCCCCAGGATTTCACTGCCTTTGAGTGATGCGGGAAGCGACTATGACAATAAGACCAAATCCAACCCGTCGATTCCTGCCGTCAATATCCACGGCGTTGACAACGATACCAGCCATGGACAGATTTTCGACCACCCCCCGGTTCCGCCCGTACCTGAAGAACCCCAAGCGCAGATGCTGAACACCGATTCTCGCCGCGATACTCGCCGGATGACCCTCGGATTGCGCCCCTTGCCCCCAGAGGATGCAACGGAGGACCCTGAGCAACGAGCCAACCGTATCCGTTCTTTCTACAAGGAGTACTTCGACGATAGCAAGGCAAACAGGGAAACCGTCTACGAAGACGACGGGAATGACTTCTATCCGGATCCCGAGGGTGACTACATCTATGACCCGTACTCGGGGCAAGAGTACTATGATCCCGTCCCAGCTCCGTTTGCTGAGCCGGTCTCGCGTCGTGCTATGACTCCACCCCCGCGCGCCCCTCCACGCTTCCAGGGAGGACCCGGGCATATGGCCAGTGGCTCCTTGGGTGGTTACAGCGATCAGTTCATGCCCCCAGGCCCGCGTGCATTTTCTTCGGCATCTAATCGGATGCCCGGTCCGCGAGCACCGCGCAGGCCGGTCCCACCGCCGGCTCCGCTTCAGAATCTTCCTACTCCTCACATGCTGAAAGATGATTCCTTCATGACCGCTATGGACTTTGCCCCCGGCAAGTCGTTCAAAGACCAACGGGAGGGTCGGTCCGAAACGCCTTTGGGTGGAATGCGTCCCTTCAGCCCGGGGAGTAGGGCTCACACCCCTCTGGCTTCCGCGTTTGATGAGCTTTCGGTGATTCCTAGTCCGTAAGTATACCCTTTTGTACCTTCGGTTCCCCACGAACTACATCCCTCCCCGTTCTCTCCGGACGATCAATTCACCGGATACTGATTCCTTTTTTAGGTTTGCACTGCGGAAATCAGGAACGTTTGACAATCTGGACTTTGCCCCTCCGCCTCGATTCAAGAACACCGAGGCTGCCAGTGACGCGGGCAGCATTCGCAGCAACGGCACGGGAGTCTCGATTGCCCACTTGAATAACATCCGCACTGGTGCGTACCGTGTCAGCCGCTTGCCCCCGGAAACCGTCGGGACCAAAGACGACTTGATGTCCAGTCTTCGCCCGGCGTGGGATATGCGGACATAGATATGAAGGGGCTGCCAAGGCCTCTTTTTTTCTTCTGATTCCATGTAATGATTATCTTCTCTAATTTTCGACCTGGGTGGGGAGTATTCCTCCCCCCCTTACGATCTGCCATTTGTTATCCTCACTTTGATACACCAGTACAGTACCCCTTTTTTGACCGAGGGGACTTGGGTCGATTTAGCCAGTTGCTTGACGTCGGTGGCGTACATATTATCATATCATACATACAAGGGACCGGTTTTAGTTCTTTCTTGAATTGATTCTGATATAGACAGCCTTCCATGGTTTTGTAGAGGGTCTGAATGACCAATTGCTAGCTTCCACGCGAGCCGGGGTACGGGGGTAGCTTTCTGTGGTAGCGGAAACTCACGCGACAACTTGGAGATTTAGTTACAGCGAGAGGGGAAATGTAATTTGGACCGATACTAAGATACAGCAAGGGATTGCTTGGTTGGATTGGATGGTAAGAGACGAACGTCATTCTATCCGTACTCCGTAAAAGATCCGATGGAATCGCCGGTGCAAATATAGGCCGTCGGGCTCGATTGGTGGACAGGAACCCCGGCCAGCCGTTAACAAGATCCGTCGATCGGTCAATGTCATAGACACCTAATATGATATAACTTATTTGAGCTGGTGTGGAAGATGGAAAAAATCAATCGGGTGAGCCAATCGCCTCCTATTTCCGGATTGTATGGGAAGCGAAAGCCTGGCAGAGATGGCCCGATCTGTGAACATTACCCTGGCTACCTTGAGAGGGGCGCTCGAGCGGTCGGGGATCTAGACCTCTTTGTTTGGACGGGCTGTGGCTTGTGGGAGGATCTTGTTATTCGTTTCATTCTATGATTGCTCTTCTTTCGCCTCTCTTATCTGTCTGATTTTTTATTCCCTCTTTCCTCGCTTTCATTTTCTTCTTCTCATCATCCTCTCGTCTGGTTTTCTTTTCTCTCTCGTAAACATAACCAAACAGTTAGAGTGCCATTCCATGGGACGGGAACCCATGGGAATAAAACCCTAGGAACGGGGCGCTTGTAAATCGGATGTTTCAATATGAATGATGATTGTCATGGCGCCGCTGCCATCATTATTTCTTGATTTGATTTTTTCTTACTTCCCTGCCATATGGATACACAAAAATGAGGTAGGTAGTGGCTAGTGACGGAGGAGTTACCGTAGTGAGGTAATCGTGATGTCGATTCTTCCCTACCGTACGGAATACATAATTAAGGTATTGTGAGGTATTGCTGATGACTGATACAACCAAGACTCGGTTGGACTTGGTTCCGATCCCCGTCTCCTGGGTTGGCGGAGGAAAAGTCCACATCTGAGCTGCAAGCAGAGATATACAATCAATCAATAAAGAAGTAAATAAACAAATCGATAAGATTGAAAAAAAAAAAAAAAGAAATGAAATAAATGAAACCGGCTCCACTGTCCCTCAAGGATGGATGCATCAGTCGCAGATACTATAATTATCAATCCACATTCTTCCAGGCCAGAAAGTCGAGACATGTATGCTAAGAATAAGCACCAGATGGGTCTTTAGAGGGCCTTTACCCGCAACCGTCAAGGAGAGAGACGAGAGAGAGTCAAGAGACGGGTGGGAAAAGATACCTCTTTTACTAGTGGTCTCCACCGGGCTTGCAGTGTGTATTATTACATCAGGTACGGAGGACTGATTGTGTTTGAATGTATTCTGTGAATGTATCAGGACTTGGATTTTACCGTGACACATGGGTAGACAATAATGCAAGTAGGGCAAACAAACTCCTTTGAACCAGCATATCAATCTCCTTATAGTTATTCTGGAGTCGCCCCTTTCTCCATGAACTGCTGCAAACCTGGAGAGGGAATATCGATCCAAGGTACTCCGTACCTGACTGTAATACATGATACATTTGATACCTCTGCTGCTCATAATAAAAATAATAAAATAATAGTAAAATAATAATAAAATAATAAAGAGAATACGACCTCCGTTCGCGGTACTCCGTCCCTACCTAAACTACCTAGTCAGTTGGATTCTTGATGCTCTCCACTTCTTCTTCCGCCCTTCCAATCTCTCTTTCTCTTTCTTTTCCTCCGTTTTGGACGCGGCTGCACTCACTCTCTTATTTGTCTTCCCCCTTCCTCTGTCGAACGTCAGTTCTTCAGTTCTTTTGTTTCAATTCTTCTTCCCTAATGTGATTCTAACCCTATACCTAATCTATTTTCAATTTATCTCTTCTTTTAATCTTGTTGACCTCTTCCTTCTTCTCATGGGCTCCTCATCTTTCTTGGTAAGGCCCCCGATTGTGATCCGACCCTACTCAACCCGCCCACCCCTGACCCTGAGCCAGGCAGACAAACATCTTGTGTTGCGTTCTTCGCGCCTCTTCCCCTCCACATAGTGCAACAATTGCTTGACCAGTATTTCATGGAGTGATTGATTGGACCTTTACTTTTATTTTATTTGATTTTATTTCTATCCCATTCCGTCTCTCCTTTACCTGAACCTTCCCTTTCTCTTATACTATACAACTTTCTCTCCCAATCTCTTGGTCACGCGAAGCCCAATTCCAGACGACATTGCTCCCCGGAGTAATTCTTCCACTCGATTTCGCGCAGTCGCGGTCGGTCAATTCGCCAGATTTTGCTGAGCCTTAGAACAAGTCTGCGCTGAAAATGGCCGAGTCTTCCGGTACAGTAGATCACCGTCCCCACCGATTCCGATGCGACCGTTGAGGGTCTGTAATGGTTTGAACGACATGCTAAGTCTACAGCAGGGGCAGCGGCAGCGCCGACAGCGGCCACAACAGCAACCGATCCGGCGACCACGAGTGAGACGAAGTCTGAGCCATCACCGACCACCGATGCTCCTCCGGAGACGACCTCGACTCCGGAGACCACTTCGTCGTCATCCTCTTCCGATACCTCCACTACCTCATCAGAGACTTCTACCTCGTCAGAGCCATCCACGTCGAGTGAGCCTCCAACGACCAGCTCCGAATCGACTTCCACCAGTGCCACCGAACCCCACACGACCCCTATCACCACGACCATCGAGACCCAGACGCCGACGGACGGCACCTCTGCGCCGCAAACCCTTACAATCACATCGACCGATTCCCCACTCCCGACGACCACCGGTAACTCCGCGGATGGCGTCACTGCGACAACAAGCGGGTCGACCGCAACGGCGTCCGCTGCCGATGCAGGCGCTAGTGGTGGATCGAAGCTCTCCACGGGTGGCACGATCGCGGTCGCAGTCGTGGTGCCAGTCTGCTCCGTAGCGATGATCATTCTGGCCGCCTTGTATTTCTATAGGAAATGGAAAGCCAAGAAGGCGGCCGAAGAGGAGCGAAGGAAAGAGGTGGAGGAGTACGGGTTCAACCCGAACAACGATCCGTCTCTGCCTCCGATCATGGGCGGTGGTGCTTTCGAAACCAAGGATGATAACACGTCCGGTTACCGAGGGTGGGGAAACACGTCGGCCGGTCGCAAAGCGTCCACCAACTTGTCGAGTGGTCCTGGTGTCGGGCTAGCAATGTCCGAAGCCGGAAGCGCCCCCGGATATCACCACACCGCGACCCCGAGCGATGGCACAATTCAATTCTCGGATGGGCCCGCAGGGGGGAGTGAAAATGAGCCGGTTGGCGTCTTGGGGGCTGCCCCGGTGGCGAGCACCAACAATCGAACCACCGATATCCACCGCGGTCCCTCCAATGCCTCGTCCGCGTATTCGGCAGGCAACCGCTCCGAGGCCTCGGACGAGAGTCACATGTCTGCCACCCACCCTACCGGCCAGTACTATGAAGACCATCCTTATTACAACGACATGCAATCGCAGTACGGCGCATATGGCGAGGGTTCATATCCCGGCAGCCAGCCGGTGATTCGGGACGTTCAAGCCCGTCGCAACACACGCATCGAGAACCCGGCTGTATTCCCTCGACAAGGGAATGCTGGAATAGCACAGAATTTTTAAGGACTTGTCGTTCCTGGTGATTTTTGTTTCCGCGAGTGTATATATACATACACCGAATTTGAGAAGGGCATCCGGGCCTCCTAGTTGCTTATGACGATTTATAAACTATCGCGTTTGGTTTAAACTGGTAAGACCAATAAGAGACCAGCAAGACAGGAGAAGCTCGCGCTGTTCACCATTTTCACTATCCGGTCGGACTTCCCCAACGCCCCGTCAGGCCGGACAAACTCTTCTAGAGGATTTGTTGTTCCTTCCCACAGGATCTTATGATTTCGTCCTCATCTTGTCCTTACTTTTCTCGCCCTGGACTTTCTCTCGCTTCTCTCCAGCGTTTCTTTCCCATGTCTAATTGGGCGTCACCTTCGTTTCCGCCGCTTCGCTACCCTTTTTCTTCTTGACTTCTTTCGCTCTTTAGTACTCTATTTTTCGATCCTCTTCAGTTTGCACTCTTGTTGTCGATATATCCCGCATTTGAAGTACTGCTCTCGTTTTTCATTTTTCTTATTATTTTGCAACTTTATGGCCTTCGACTGTACATTCATGATTCTGGAAGGTTCGATCGCGGAAGGCATTACATGGACATACCCCATCTTTCCATTTCCCTTCTTGTCTGGACTTTCAAGTGTTTTTTTTTTATTTATTCTGGGGCCTGGGTATGTCTATAAGGTACACGGATTGCGTCTTGTCTCTGCAGTTGGATGCAAGGTGTCTCATTATATCTTTTTAGGACAGGATGATTGAATACAAAAATTTCCCTGGTGTTCCCAAGTCTATCCAAATAACAGAACGATCATCGGTTTGAAAGGCCCTTCGAGGTTTTTATCAAAAAGGGCGTCCTGTGCGGCGCAACCTCCTACCTACTACCTGAAGAGGCCAGTGCGACCTAGATCTGGAAGATCTTCGGACTGCTCCGACTGGGCTGCAACAGTCTCCAGTCGAAGTCATTGTCGAGTCCAGAGCCAAGCGGTCGAATTCGACACTACTCCAGTAAATTGCCAACTAACTTTGGCTTTGCCTGATGGGCCAACAATTC